CTTGCCGCCTCGACCAACGATATGCCCAACAACAGAGTCGGGCACCACAAGCGTGCAGGAGTAGCGGCCAGGTGAACCAGCGGCAGTAGGGAGGGTCTTGGCAAGTGGTATGGTGGTGTGGCCGACGGCAATGATGGCAGGGGTAGGGGCTGGAGTAGTGGGGACAGACTGCCAGCGAGCACCATCCCAGGCAGGGCGCCAGGCATGACCGCGGGGGGTAGAGGCTGCGGTGTTCCCATGCTCCATACGGTCCAGGCGGTCATGGAGACGCTCAACCTCATGTCGCAAGAGCTCGCAGTAGGAATAGATATCCAGGTGGCCCGCGGGTGTAGCCATGGTGTGGGAGGTGTAGGGTCGAGGGTAGGGTGAGGGCAGAGTAGGAGATAGGGTGGTCGACTGGGGCTAGGGGGAGTGCCAGAGCCGAAGAATAGTCTTGTTATGCTGTAAGGGGAGTGGAGCCCAGGGGCCAAGTCAATAACAAGACTGGGGATCAGAGATCCCCAGCAACTATCTATATACAAGTAGATGACGTAAGAAGCATGACACCGCTGACTGATAACCCTCGGATCACCGCCGGAACACCGCCGGATCAATACCAATGACCTCATCCTGCTGACACGTCTCCCCTGACAAAGATACTCCAGAGTTCTTGCGCGTGCGCCTCAGTAGAGTAGGATCTTCAATCAAGATTGATCAGATTCCCTATCTCGACAAGGTGCTAGAGCGTTTTGGAATGCAGAACGCCAAGTTCGCAGCGACCCCTCTACCGGCTGGATATGTTCCAATGCCAAACGAGGATGAAGTCAATCCAGAGCTCAGGAAGAAATTCCAATCAGTCATTGGATCTCTTCTCTTCATCATGCTAGGCACACGTCCTGATATTGCATTTGCTGTGACCAAAATGTCACAATTTGCTGCCAATCCGTCCCAAGACCACCTCCATAAAGCGCTGTATATCTGCCGCTATTTGGCTGGTACTAGGAATTATTCGCTCATTTTCAATGGTGCGACGGATAGAGGGCTCATTGCATTTAGCGATTCAGACTGGGCTGCTGATCCGATCAAGAGGAGGTCTACCACTGGTTTCTTCACGAAATTGGCAGATGGGATTATTTGCTGGCAGTCTAGACTTCAGCGCACAGTCGCACAGTCTTCTACCGAAGCAGAGTACATGGCGATTTCAGATTGTAGTCGCCAGGTGATGTGGCTGAAGAGCGTCCTTTTGGAACTCCAGTTCAAACTCACCATCCCAGTACCCATTTGCGGTGACAATCAGGGTGCACTCTTCAGTGGCAGCAATGCCTACCGAGACCGCAGGATGAAACACATAGACATCCGCTATCACTACATTCGTGAGCGAGTCGAGGAAGAAGAGGTTGAACTGTTCTTTATTCCGGGCAGTGAGAATCCTGCAGATATGTTCACCAAGAACCTAGGACGCGTCAAGTTCGAGAAGTTCAGGTCCCAACTAGGACTTGAGTTCAACTCGTCCTGAAGGAATGGCCGATGAAGATTTTGCTTTCAAACACTATCCTGTGGTTTTCAGCGTGGGGGAGTGTTGATCAAATGATGATCTTATCATCTGCCAGATGGATGTCGTGATACACATCTTATGACTCCATCACGTGTCATCTAGAGTCATGTCGACTCGTCCTAAATAGACACAAATAGCCCCCTGTATTGTATATAAGGAGGGCTCTATTACCCTATAATACAAGTCTCTTGACTACTCCCGCATAGTGCCCACACTAAGCTCTCACTCACACAGGTGAGCTGCTAGACGCTCTCCCCAGTGCTCAACATCTATTAGAGGCCGTCTATTGTTTCTCCTATCATTCGATACAGGATTGACAGTCCAATTCTCAGAATCTAGTGAGTCTTGCGATCTCCTGAACGGGTTCTCCGTTGATTCTCTCCGCACGCCACAACTCTCCGATGCGGACAGCATTCTTTCCAAGAATTTCACCTCTCGATCCTTTGAGGTCAATGAATGCCTGTTGGAACTCATTCTTTGCGTCCTCCACTGTTCCTGTGATTTTCGGGGCGTCCGGGCGAAGAGAGGGACCCAGTTGATCACCGGCTCGGATCTGTACATTGGTAGGTTACCACGCATTGCATCGAACAGCGACAATGATGATTACCTGGAAAAGCTCGATCCCGATGGGACGTGGACCTGTCGAAAGCATCGCTGCATTGAGTGCTTGCTCTGCTCCGATCGGCCAAAAAATCAGTGGAATGCCTTGACTCAACCCTTCCGTCAACGAGCTATGAATCAGTCAGCAAGATATAGGCCAGGTTTGGACGTGAGCTGCACTGACTTGTAGCCCCCATGAGTCAAAAACCATCCGATTGAGCCGCCCTTCAGGATGGCTTTCTGATCAACCCAGTGGGCAGGCACATACAATTCCTCTGCCACTGGCATGAATGCGGTCGATGGTCTCTTTTGGCAAGGACGCCATCGCTCCGGCCAGCACAAATACGAACGGGATCACAGTCTCTAGACTCAGAAGCACGTCGATCATCACCTCAACGAGATGAGGGGTCGCCAGGGGGAAAAACATGGAGCTAAGCAGATTTGAGCACCCCAGGGACCTCCAATTATTACGTAAAATGGCTTCGAGGCCCCCTCCGGAGGCCATCAAACCACCCCCTACCCCCCCTGATCGGAGGCCATCCTGGAGGCGCCTTCCTAATTGGGACGCTGCCTGGCCATTTGTCCACCGCTTGCATGGTATGCTAGGGATCGGCCTGAGTGCTGATATATGCTGTAGTAGTCATTATAAAGCCTCAGACAATGTCTGACCTCTCAAAAGCATGTATTTCTTGCTTGCAAATGGCAGACCACTGGGTGCACACAATTTGGGATCTGAGTACGTGAGCACTCCTCAGGTGCATAGAGCAACAGTAGATGTATTAATTTGAGATTGAGCATGAGGTATCCGTGCCCACACGCAAAAATGAGATGTTGCTGAAGGGATGGTTTATGGCCTCCACGACCTCCCAGGTGCAGAAAAAAAGGTGTTGGGTAGCCCACAGGCCCTTGAATTCCGCTTCAATAGATCAATTAGATGCTTATGCTCTGTCAAAACAACAGCCCAGCATATAAATTGGATGCTGGAGCAGTGGCAGAACAAGCCTCCACCGCCTCCAGGGCTGGGGATCAAAAGCGGTTACTGTAGATTCAGCCACACAAACTGTGTTCATGACATTATTTATCTTCATTGAGATGCACAGGATCCTTGAGAGCGATAGCTCAACATGTGAATTGGATGCTAGAGCAGATTACAGAAAAGCTCTCCACAGCCTCCACAGCCGGGGACTGAAAGCAGTTTCTTTGGATTTAGTGGTAGAAACTATGTGTTCAATGTCAGGTGTCTTATTTGAATGCCAAGGGTCCTCTATGGAGACAGCTCAGCATATGAATCAGATGCTGGAGCGAATGGCAGAACTGGCCTCCACCACCTCCACAGGTTATTACTTGAAGAGTTGGGATGAGATGACAATGTAACAGACAGATATTCTCCTGGCTGACCACATTCTGTCATTTCTACCTCTAAATGCAAATTGAATTGCTGCAGAATGTTAAAATGAGAGAATGGAGGACCCTGGAGGCGCTGGAGGCACATGCAAGATCCAATCAATATCATCAATATCATCAATGCCATCAATAGCATCAATAGCATCACCAATCATTGGTAGATTGATCAGCCAATCAGATGATGAATAAACATCGAACATCTAGTATATTCATTCCTGAGAGGCACAGACTACATGTATGCTCATACTGAAAGTGGATTAGTGGTCCCAGGACATGCCCCAATGACATATTACATCCTTGTCTGAAGAACATATCATTGAAATTCGGAGTTTGCAAATGAACTGAAAGTCAACTGAAGATGAGTGGTACAGTGGAGTACTTTCAGCTCATTTGCCGAATCCCATTTTTAATCATATGTTCTTCAGACAAGGATGTAATATGTCATTGGGGCATGTCCTGGGACCACTAATCCACTTTCAGTATGAGCATACATGTAGTCTGTGCCTCTCAGGAATGAATATACTAGATGTTCGATGTTTATTCATCATCTGATTGGCTGATCAATCTACCAATGATTGGTGATGCTATTGATGCTATTGATGGCATTGATGATATTGATGATATTGATTGGATCTTGCATGTGCCTCCAGCGCCTCCAGGGTCCTCCATTCTCTCATTTTAACATTCTGCAGCAATTCAATTTGCATTTAGAGGTAGAAATGACAGAATGTGGTCAGCCAGGAGAATATCTGTCTGTTACATTGTCATCTCATCCCAACTCTTCAAGTAATAACCTGTGGAGGTGGTGGAGGCCAGTTCTGCCATTCGCTCCAGCATCTGATTCATATGCTGAGCTGTCTCCATAGAGGACCCTTGGCATTCAAATAAGACACCTGACATTGAACACATAGTTTCTACCACTAAATCCAAAGAAACTGCTTTCAGTCCCCGGCTGTGGAGGCTGTGGAGAGCTTTTCTGTAATCTGCTCTAGCATCCAATTCACATGTTGAGCTATCGCTCTCAAGGATCCTGTGCATCTCAATGAAGATAAATAATGTCATGAACACAGTTTGTGTGGCTGAATCTACAGTAACCGCTTTTGATCCCCAGCCCTGGAGGCGGTGGAGGCTTGTTCTGCCACTGCTCCAGCATCCAATTTATATGCTGGGCTGTTGTTTTGACAGAGCATAAGCATCTAATTGATCTATTGAAGCGGAATTCAAGGGCCTGTGGGCTACCCAACACCTTTTTTTCTGCACCTGGGAGGTCGTGGAGGCCATAAACCATCCCTTCAGCAACATCTCATTTTTGCGTGTGGGCACGGATACCTCATGCTCAATCTCAAATTAATACATCTACTGTTGCTCTATGCACCTGAGGAGTGCTCACGTACTCAGATCCCAAATTGTGTGCACCCAGTGGTCTGCCATTTGCAAGCAAGAAATACATGCTTTTGAGAGGTCAGACATTGTCTGAGGCTTTATAATGACTACTACAGCATATATCAGCACTCAGGCCGATCCCTAGCATACCATGCAAGCGGTGGACAAATGGCCAGGCAGCGTCCCAATTAGGAAGGCGCCTCCAGGATGGCCTCCGATCAGGGGGGGTAGGGGGTGGTTTGATGGCCTCCGGAGGGGGCCTCGAAGCCATTTTACGTAATAATTGGAGGTCCCTGGGGTGGATTTGAGCACAGAATTCCAGAATTAGAGAGACTTTTGTGGCGCACCCAAAAGAGATATACAAAACGGATTTGGGCCCATATGTTTTGCGCGAATTGTCTAAGAACGTCTTCACTTTCTCCTCGCTAGGTCCGGGACCTGCCGACATCGCCTCCCACTCATCATCGTGCATCTGAGGGCCGACGAGGAATAGTTCTTGTCCACGCTGCTTGTAATACTCGCGAGCAAAGGTAACTGCTGCGGGCTCCAAAGGGCTGCTCGTGGGACAGAAAATTCCGTCGGCCAACTGAGCTAACCGCTGCGCAGATGTCAAAACAGCAGCGAATGGGCGCAATGATCCCGCGCCCTGTGCCACTCGCTCATAATCGTATATCCTCACTCCACCGAAAAGCTCGATTACACGCCCATCGAGCTTGTCACTGCCGTTCGAGGCGCACACGACCTAAATGCGTTCACATGGGATGATCTTCAAAAGAAAGGGGGGAAAGCACTTACGTCGCCAAGTATCTCCTCGATTGTTCTGCCCGCTTGTTTGGATTCGTCAGCGTGTATCTCCTTCGCAGTCTTAGCGAAGTCAAGTTGACTAATCTCAGCCACACAGATCGCGACTCCGGTAGAGCACCAGAGCAAGACCTTTCCTTCCGGTCCCAACAAGGCCTTTGATTCCTCGATGACAAATCCCCCTCCAAAGAAGTCCATCTGCGATGAAATTTGTCGGCCTCGGAGCGTGCGTAGAAAATCGGACGTACATGCAGCGTGTTAGGCTGGGGCCAGGTGGACCCTCCAATGACCGCTTTGGCTAAGATTCCGAGCCATCCAGCTGTGAGCTGTGTCAGACTCGCTTCGATGTTCGTCGGCGAAGGTGAGAAGCTGTTCCTGATGAAAACATACGATCCAAAAGAAGTTCGAGACTTACTCCTTATCGCCCACTCCCTCAATCTTCAGCCTGCTCTTATCATAAGAACACGTGCCAAACTCTTTAAGCATCCTGGGGACTACGCTCTTCAGTGAAGAGAGTCGATCGAGACACCGCAAAAGTCACACACCGAAGCTTTGGTGCTGCACAATCGTAACCACCAAGTCTGGATCCAAGGCCAACATGCGAGTCGTCAGGTGGATATAAGGGAGCGCATGACCCCAAGCCGGAGCAATGAGCGCTAGGATGTGTCGAGAGGGCATGATGCAGATAAGGACTGAGGATTTAATATGATGCCTGCAGGCATTACGCTTCCTTTATAGGTGTCGGGGGGAGTGTTCGGTGGGCGAGACATGACGAATCTGACTGGGATGAGTGATTCATAGGATGTCATGTCGCTGGACGGCCCGTCAGTACATGCTGACACTTTCTTTTCTGCATGGGACATCCGGACAGACTCAACCGCTCCGATGATCGAACGGGAATGTATGCAGCAAGCTTGGATAGACGACGGGCCAGAATGTGAGTGTTTTCACACGGTTGGTGGAGCCTTATTGAGTTACATTCCAAATTTGTCTGTGGGGTCATCTACGGAGAGAATTTGGCTGCATCTGCCGGTTAACAACCTCAGATGAATATTGTGCCAAGTAGAGATTCAACATATTGACTTCGGAAACCCGACTGTAAGCATCCAATTATTGAACTGCGTGGATTGCTCATCTTACTGCCCCAAAATTAGTCAGTTTCGTCGCTAAAACGGATCCGGTTCGATAATGAACTGGGAATGTGGTCGATACTGTCAAACAAATTTGTAACATGACCATGACACAAAGCCAAAGAAGCACTTCTTTGTGAGATGCCGCCGTTTCCGTCGCTTTGCAACCTCTGGATGCGGTAGACATATTTCCCGAGGTGCAATGATCGAGCTTCGGGCCGTCTTTGAGTGCTCCCAGGAATGAATGAACGGCTCAGCAGACTATCCAGCACTGGGATGTTTTCCACCTTCCCCTGCGGAACACGCCGTTTCTCTTGATGCCCACGGTCTCAAAAGTACCGGCAGGACTTGAGCACAGCGCTTCGAGCCCAGTAATGAGCTGCATCTCAGCTTCAAGTCCGGCATCGACGCTCCACCTGTAGTCATTCCAATCGGAAGTCGTCAAGTCCCAGCTCGCGTTAGCCTTACCCTATCGTTTTCCTCGGTCTCCCACGCGATATCCACCTCGCGCTCGACGACTGTCGACCGTTTCACTCATCAGGCAGCGTGGCTTTGCGGGCCGCCGGGACCGCATGACCGCGTGCAATTCGAGCCTCGAGGGGGTTTTCGTGCCGATGAAGAGCGCTGTACGCTTTCTGACATTGATTGGAGGACGAGTGGAAGGATTTGACTTGACGTCCTGTTCGCGCTGCTTCGCCAAGGCGGAGAGACCCCTTCCGTGAAGCCAAGTCGGAGACAGGGGCAGAGGTTTCGGGTGACCAACAGTGCGCCTATCGGTGCGCGGGAGGGTGCCTACAACTTGAACGCAGTGGAGCAGGGCACGTGACCGCATCACAGAAGAGATGCACATGTACTCGACACATGAGTATACTCGGACGACAGCACTTTCTCGGCCCATTCTGGTGGCCGGAATCTTTCTCGGTGTCGGTGCTCTCCGCTTGCGTCTTCCGCTTTGCCGGTGCCCTTCTCGGCTGCCGCTCCGCCTCCCCCATCTTAGTTGTTGCCGCTGGCCGCAGCAGACCCAGGGGTTTGCACGGCCATTGGCGAGAGAGGCTCAGCGAGCTTAGTCAGTATTTCCATCGACCCGGAAGTGTTCATAAGGACAAGTTGCGTGGCGCTCTCCCTCTGTGCTGTTTTTCGGTGAAAGACATTCTCTGTTCAATGTTGGTGGTGTCAAGCAGAGGTCAGTAGATCTTGCATGTCCCGCTTCTGACCATGTTCTCATACCTACAATACGCAATGTCGATCATTGTAAATTGTTATTCCACTTTTCCCCTCTTCTTTATGGATGATGGACTCGCAGGAGGGAGAACTTTCTGCATGACATGACTTTTCACCCGCTCTTTGGGCATTCAGCACAAGTTCTGTCGGGTAATCCGTACATACTGCCTACTCCGACGCACGGAGCAGTCAAAAAGCATCATGGAGGATCAAGGCCAGTCAGTATGAACGCTATCCGACTACTAGACAAATCTGAACTGTTTGAGTCTCCGTTGAAATGCTTGGTTTGTGCACAAGAAATTAAAGAATGTGTGAGGTCGTCTCAATGCATAAGATAGAGATGACACTGAGCCAACGACAAAATAACGTTGAATTAATTCGAATGTAAATGAATCAGCTTGAGTAAATGGATGATTTCGACCATGTAAAGGCTGGGCATCTAACCCATCATGCCCATCTCAATGTTCTTCCCCTTGATGCTCCTCCACTCGATAGACAAGCAGCCGATGATGGACAGCCCCGTCATAGCCACACCGACGTAAAAGGCGGAGTCGAGAGCCTATCAGTCAGGTCAAAAGAAGGCCAAATGAGTTCCAAACAGCCAACGCACATGGGAATAAGCAAGCAGGACCCCGGCAAGCTTGTCAGCAGGAACATTCGAGCGCAGGGAAGTGGCGCCCGCGGAAAGAACGACGTTGGGGTCGAGGCCCGCCGCGTACTTGGCCAGTCCGCTCACGAGCTGGTTGGTGAACACGTTCTGGCCAACAGAGATGAACAGCGCGCCACCGAGGGTCTGCGAGAACATAATGATTGCTGTGCCAGATGGAACGTCGATCATATCCAGCACGGTTTGGACAGCCAGCGAGGGCTGCTGCAATCCGAGACCAAGACCCAACCCAAAGATGACCTGGTATGGGATCCATTTCGTGTGGCCCGAGGACACGCCGAGAGTGGTGATCAGTCCCGCGCCGACACTGGCGATGATGGTCGAGGCAATCATGAACGGGGCGTAGTATCCCACTTGAGCGATGACTACGCCGACCGAAATAGAGGCGAAAACGAGAGACAGGATCATGGGCAGGGTGGAGATGCCCGAGTTGACAGCCGAGACGTTGTGGATCGACTGGAAGTAGATCGGGAGCTGAGACCATGCGGGTCAGTTAAGCCGGTCACAGCGGAAAACATTACACGCACGTAGAACGAGAAGATCATGAACCCAGAGCCGATGGCGAACAAGTACCAGGCGCTGCTCCAGATGGTGCGCTTCTTGAAGATGCGCAACGGGATGGTGGCACGATCACCTTGCCAGAACTGGATAGCGATGAAGGCAGAGATGAGAACGCCGAACACAACGAAGAGACCGATGACACGGCCGTCCTTCCACGGGTACTTGGATCCACCCCACTGCAGAGCGAGAAGCAGACAGACGATCGCAGGGATGAAGATGGCGGTTCCCATCGGGTCGAATTGCATCAACCTGTCTTTGAAGGACATCTCTTCCCTGACCGGCGGCTTACCCGGCATGGTGAAGAAGAAGGTGAGGAAGAGAAGAGTGAATGCGCCAGGAGGAAGGTTCTGGGTGGCTCAATCAGTGTCGATTGTCGCATGTAGCAACCTGCTCACGATCAGGAAACACCACCGCCAACTGAGTTTGTCGGTGAAGACACCACCCATCAACGGGCCAGCGACACTGGCGATACCGAATGTGCCACCAATGATACCGGTGTATATCGGCCTCCTGGCGAGTGGGACCGTGTTGGCGACGATGATCATGGCGCCGGAAAAGATCCCCGCCGAGCCTAACCCGGCGATCGCACGACCGATGATGAGCGCATTGGAAGTCGGGGCTGCACCACAGATAGCAGATCCTACATGTGATATCATATGTAAGATCTCCGGAGGTCAACGCCAGCAGAGAAACAGACTTGCCGAGCTCGAAGACAAGAATAGCCGTGATGAATACCCACTTGACTGGCATGAACGTGTAGAACTTTCCAAAGAGCAATTGTGTAGCGGCAGTGGTCTGATAAGTCCAATGAGTTCAATCAAGGAGCCACAGAAAAGGAGTTGTGCACGAACGAGTTGATATCTGGACACAGCAAGCAGTCAGTCTCCGGAATACAGGCGCAATCGATGAGATGCTCACGCAGAACCATACCACCCCACGTCGTTCAGCGACTTGAATTGGTCTGTGATCTTGGGAATAGCGGTCGCGATGATCGTATTGTCCTGCCAAATCGAGCGATGAGACTGCGTCCGCGCGCACAAGCGACAACACGCACCAGAGCGACCAGGAACACACTCAAACACAGGGCGATCGTCAGCAATCCGAGCCTTAGCCCAGAGGGATACACAATTTCTTCCTCTTCCAATTCGGCAGACTTTTCAGTGGGAGCGGAAAAGGAACTGTCCACGCCATTGGATATGCCTGTCAAACCAGACTGCTCCTTCGAAGTTTGTAGGGTGAGACCGGCGTGGTCGTTCACAGTCACCGTGTGCTCGGTGGCGACTGAGAGTGAAGACATTAGGGTGTTCGTATAGGAGGAAGGACGTATGAATGAGGAGGGATGCCGGATGAAGCAGAGATCAGTGGTAGGCTTTTATGTTCGCCCCAGGGGGAGTGCAAACGGCCAGATTTTACGTAGGGAGAGTGACTGAGGCGGGCCGTACATGTTTTCAATCTGCAGTGGATGATGAGGAGCGGTGCGACCTGGCAAGATTCGCATAAGCAGAGTTGACTGAAGCCGGGATGCGATTCCGAAAATGGTAAGGCCGCTTCCGACGCGCCGAACTTTCCCCAAGTCCTCAGTCACGTCCACGAAAACTAAGGAGCACGCACTGTGATGACGCAGAGGGAACCCGCCTTAGGATTAATAGAAGGACCAGGCTGAGCTTGTCACCGCTACTGTATAACGAGGGGCTGAACAGATTGTCAGAGATCCTATAGACCAAAGCAGATGCGCACAGACGGACACTGGAGGATGAAAACACATCACCGTCGAACGCGCTCGGGACTGTATGTGTCGGCAATGACGCACATCGGGCCTAGAGTGGCATCCACGGGCCCGGCAGGTTCGAGTCTGGCGGCAGAATTAATGAAATTCGCCGCGGCACTGATGAGGAGGCTTCCGCAGCACCTTTTCAGAACCAAGTAACCACGCGACTGTCATGCCGTGCACGATCGTCAGGTGACGCGGAGACATGCCTGACATGTTGGCACCGAAAGACATCGAGTAGGCGGATACATTGGCGCCGAGCGGGCGGGGAGTCGAGACAGATGGAGAAGGTGACAAAAATACGGCCCGGTTGTTTCACCGTTTGCGCGGACTTAGAAGGCCCTGGTCACAAGCGAGCATGGGCCGGCCATGATCCGTGATGGGACATCAATAGTACCTCGCGCACTTCACTGAAATAGTCATATCCTGTAGATGATCTGTTGATTCCAAGCGAAGAGATACGAGTCAAATTAATCTCCTTTGATACCTGATGCTCTGTGTGTGGTGCCCTACAGTTGTAAAAGTCATATCCTTATGGATCACGTGATGTGTTAATGCGGTTGCAATGTTTCGAAAATCGTGTTAGGCGCTCATCTTACCACACCACACTTTGGATTCAAATCACCATTTGACAGAAAATATACTATGGTAAAAAATCGAAATTTACAGAGTTTTGAGAAAGGTGACTAGACGAATCTAGCATTGGGGTAGGTTGATCTGGACTCTTCCGAAGCACAATAGCTCTATAATCACGGAAAATTGGGGAAAACCGGGTCAGAGGTATGTGAAGTTGAGACAGCCTGGCCTGCCTAGAAGAAAATTTATATCTGCTATCTGCTGCTCACTTCGAATGAACATCATGGTGTGAATGTGGACTGTGATACAGTGCCCAAAAAAGGATTACATAGGCTTCGCAAGGGACCGAATTCAATGCATCAAGAAGTATTCCAGTCATGTCAAACCTGCAAAAATTGTTTTTTCCCTCTATCTAATGATTGTCTAATACTCGATGTCATTCATTATATGACTATCGATCAAATTCTCAGAACCTGGTAAGCCTCGCGATCTCCTGGACGGGTTCTCCGTTGATTCTCTCCTCACGCCACAACTCTCCGACGCGGACAGCATTCTTTCCGAGGAGTTCACCTCTCGATCCTTTGAGGTCAGAGAACGCCTGCTGGAACTCAGTCCTTGCGTCCTCGACCGTGCCCGTGATCTTGGGCGCTTCCGGACGAAGCGAAGGACCCAGTTGCGCGCCAGCTCGGATCTTTTCATTGTGAATCACTGGATATTTTTCTGATAAGCAGCTGGCAAATACCTGGAAGAGCTCGATCCCAATGGGACGTGGACCTGTCGATAGGATCGCCGCGTTGACAGCTTGCTCCGCACCGATCGGCCAGAAGAGGAGCGGGATGCCTTGACTCAGCGCCTCGGTCAACGAGCTGCAGATTATTGAGTGACATGGAGGTCAGTTTTGAGCGACAATAGGACTGACTTGTAACCGCCGTGAGTCAAAAACCAACCAATCGTGCCGCCTTTCAAGATGGCTTTCTGATCGACCCAGTGAGCACAGACTAGTCCTCTGCCGCTGGCGTGAATGCGATCGATAGTCTCTTTCGGCAAGGAAGCCATCGCTCCGGCCAGGACGAAGACGAAGGGAATCACAGTCTCCAGACTCAACAGCACATCAATCATCACCTCGACCAGATGAGGGGTCGCTAAGGGGAAAAACATAGAGCTGAGGAGGTTTGAGCGCGGAGTTTCCAGATTAGAAAGACTTTGTGACGCACCCGAAAGAGATGTACAAAACAGATTTCGGGCCGTATTTCTTGCGTGATTCATCCAAGAATGTCTTCACTCTCTCATCGGTGGGTCCGGGACCTGCCGAGGGTGCCTCCCACTCATCATCGTGCATCTGAGGACCGACGAGGAACAGTTCTTGTCCCCGCTGCTTGTAAAATTCGCGAGAGAGGGGGGCGGTGACCGGCTCCAAAGCACTGCTAGTAGGACAAAAAAATCCGTCCACCAAGTGAGCCATCTCTTGCGCTGATGCCATCAGCGGGGCAAATTGGCGCTGTGATCCCGCGCCCTGCGCAAAATGTTCATGGTCGTATATTTTCAGACCACCGAGAATATCAAGGGCCCGTCCATCGAGTTTGTCGCTGCCATTCGCAGCGCACGCGACCTGAGTACGCTAGCATGAAAAGATCTTCGAAAAAACAGAGGGAAGCACACACATCGCCGATTATCTCCTCAATTGTTCTTCCCGCTCGCTTGCTCTCCTCAGCATATATCTCACGCGCAGTTTTGCCGTAGTCGTATTTGCTGAAAGTGTCCACGCAGGCTGTGACCCCAGCGGAGTTCCAGAACAGGATCTTGCCTTCCGGCCCTAACAAGGCCTTCGATTCTTTGATAACAAATGCCCCTCCAAAGAAATCCATCTGTCACGGGGATTCAGGGCTTGTCCATGACCTCGGAAAGTTGACGTACATGCAGCGTCCTCGGCTTGGGCCATGTGGAGCCTCCGGCAACTGCCTTCGTGAGGAACTCAAGCCATCCAGACGTGAGCTGCTTGGTCATCCCTTCCATGGCCAGGGGCGAAAATTGCATGCTGTCTCCGATTGAACAAGATTGTCGGAAATAAAGACGGGGACTTACTCGGGATCGCCCACACCCTCGATCTTCAACCTGTTAACATCGTACGAACAGGAGCCCAGCTCCTTCACCATCTTGGGCACTATGCGGTTGAAATTAGAGGATTGAATTGGAGAACCGAATGAATTATCATCTGAGACACCCACCTAGGATGTTGTGCTGCACGATCGTCAGCACCAAGTCCGGATCCGAAGCCAACATGCGCGTGGCAAGGTGAATGTAAGGTAGCGCATGACCCCAAGCCGGGCCGATCAGCGCTAGGATGTGTTGAGAGGGCATGCTACGGTTGAATGGTGTGAGCGAGTCTAGTATCAATGGTGGAATGAGTGAGCATTAGATAGGGCATCCTTTATAGCTGCAACAGAGTTGACAGCGAGCGGCGTAGACAGAAGGACTTGTCAGTGGGCCATTCGGGATGAGTCATCATCGCAGATGTGCTTGCGCAACACTTTCGGCTGCACAGCCTCTCTGATGACAATCGTGCCGGAAGATAAACAACTTCAAATTGCGTTGACCCTCGGTAGACGACGCGAAAACTGCAATTATGTTCTTTTTGTTTCTATAAATGAGCGGGACTCTCTCTCTCTCTCACTAGACGTCGCTAGCTTGAGTCAACGAACGGTAAGCCGGCGGTTACTAACATTAGACGCCGAATGCGATGTTAATCTCTGTGCTTACCAGCGTCAAAGAAGCAGTTTTGTGAAAATAAAAAGGTCTGAGCGGTGTTCCGCTGCCAGAATAAGCACGGTAATCTGCTCCTTTGTCATTTCAGCCTAGAATAGAGACGAGAGGTCGTTCTCGGAAGGCGGTGTTCCGCTCAGATCTACATTGTGGGGAAACGGCTGGAATGAATGGTGAATTATGCTTCTTGCACCGTGCGTCTGAGCTGCTGACAATTGACTTGACCTATGTACCAAGCTCTTTTTCGGTTCCATTCAGCCAGATTCAATCTTGGACGCACGGATTCCTACAGGCTACGTGAAAGTACCCCGAAGTATCTTTGGAGCGCTGCAGAGCGTTTTTGAGATTGTCCTCGCGCCGGAAAAATACTCTGAATAATTCCAAGTCAAGTTGACCCTTCCGGTGGTCAATGAGCTCCGAGGCAATCACCTTCCAGGTATCATTAAGACCTATGACTCCAAAATAGGCTTTCAGGACATCTGTATCAAATATAAAATCCCATTGAACATTGACCAATTCATTTCAAAATACAAGAACAGACAGCATTGGATGCGCCTGCGGCGCTCTCCAGTGCTTGGCTACGCTGTGGAGTGCCGCAGAAGTGTAATTGTCATTGCTGCTCCTGACGAAAACGCCTTGCAGGATGTTGCTGCTACCTTCGCGTATCGTTCCCACGTCCACCAAGGTCCCAGCCGACGTTGGCAGCATCTTGATCGTCGTTGTCGTCGAGGTCAATAATATGGAGTGATTGGAGTGCCTCAGTAGCACTGCTACGGAACTCCGCGGCCGTCTAAGTGAGCCCGATTCTTACACCTGCATAAATGTCTCAATCCAGACGATTCCCGTGATGACTGTAAGTCCCCACGTGACCGCGACACGCTGACCCAAAACTCCAAAGCTCCAAGGTTGTTAGCCGTTTAGGTTGATCGTTGCCCGCCCTCAGCTCGAAGTGCTCACTAACCAGCACTCACTCGAATCTTTTCAGGCAAGGGTTCCAATATCCCGGGCCGCTGAGCCGAAGTTTCACGTGCAAGAAGATTGATTCCGCAGATGATCGATTCTAGGATTTCCGACCTTATCTTGGCGAGATAAGAGTGTCATACACGATCAGAAGTCCTTTCATGGGAACAAATCACACGCAAGTGCTCCAGAATTCCACGACGAATTTGCGAAGCCACAAACGACGGCATTGGTTTTTACTTCACCATGACGCTCTCCCTCACTCACTCGACCCCATATTTTAGCGACGCCACTCTCGTCATTCAATCAGAGCAAACACTGTTTCGGGTCTACCCAGCCATTCTCGCAGCCCAGTCTTCTGTGTTTCGTGACATGCTAACGTTCCCGCATCCTGGTCACCAGGACGGTTCCGCACGGGCATTGGGCGAATACTACGAGCCTGGATGTCCACTGGTGGTTGTACACGACAAGAAGGAGGATATGGAGGTCTTCCTAGATGCGATATATGACTCCAGGTGGGGGATCATTTCATTCGTATTGCATTTGTGTGAGCTTTCTCAGCTTTCTCGCACACCCGGAAGCACTGCCCTCGGCAACAATTACCGCGCTTCTTCGTCTAGGACGGAAATACGATGTCCCGCATCTCGAGCGAAGAGGCATCTGCGAGCTCTCAAAGATTTACCCGACCACGTTGGACGCATGGGATGGCACCCTCGCTAGATCGCCCCGGATTGACTCGACCAAAATTAGACGCAGCAGGGCAAGACAAAACCTCCCCATTCCAGATGTCCTTGCGTTGATCCGCGAATTCGACCTAGTTTGGATGCTGCCTGCCTTGCTGTACCAGCTCTGCTCCCAGAGTAAGACAGACTACACGATCTCCGCGGAGAAGATCGCCGAATGGGATCCGGACATCGCCACCACAGCCGATCTGCTACGGGCTCGGCAGATCGCTTTCAGTCAAACAAGTCTTCTCGAGTTCCTCATCTGCCCGTTTGGTGCAAGGAAACATCACTGTTTATCACCCAAGTCGTGCCTATCAGAGAGGCGATCTCTTTTGGATTTCGTGCTGAATTGTTGGACGGACTGCCACATGTGCCCGCTGGAGATGTGGACCGAAGAAGATTGGGCGGTGGTCGAGGAAGATACATTTTCGGATGATGATTCAGACTCCGAGTCTTCCAGTCGGTCGTTGTGCCCGATGTGTCTAAGAGAGATGCGACGTGTTCATGGACAGGCAGGCACGTCGTGAGTTTTGGGATCTGTTGCCTTCAATGGCTCTCAGAACAGGCACTTCATGGGAAAAGCTTCGGAGACTGGAAGCGACGAGGGTGAGTGAGTAGCTGGCACGGAACTGCGGATCTGGGGCGCAGTCAGTGCACAGGATGAAATACTTCGAGTTCAATATCACACTTTACTTTGATTGCATCTTCTTTGTTGTCATGACCTGGAAAGTCACCTGTCCAACGAACTGCGGAAGGCGATGTCTTGCGGCCGTCGGTTTCGCAAATGGTGTTGTAGCCTACAATCGGTCGTCATTGAGCGCCGATCTCCCATCAATCCATGCGACAGCAAGCACCACGTGGCACAGCCTCCATGGTGTCCAGATATGGTCTCCGCATCACATCACATTGTAATTCTGACTAGATCAGACATACATATCCTCTTTGCAACTTCCACTTCCCTTTCGTCCCACTTCCATCTATTCACTCAAACCACCACGGTATACGATGTCGCTCCCTCCCGTTCCTCCGTACCCTTATCCACCCCTTACACAACCTCAATACCAAGAGCCGCAACAGCAGCCGCAGCAGCAGAATCAGCAACCGCCGCAGTTCACATTCGTCGAATCCCCCCACACTTCGATAATCCACTGGTGGCGCCGCGGCCCCATAGGGTCGATCCGCAAATAGGTGCCAATGTGAGTCTCTGCGTCCATCGGTGCTGGCGGAGGGAGCATCTTGTATAGTCTTGCCTGCGGTGCGAGGGCAGTCAGCGAGGGGCACCGCGCGAGGAGTTAGATTCAGCGGCGATACATCATGCGTGAAAGGGCTAGGCTCTTACGAAGGCTCGAAAGGCACGAAAAGGAACGAACGAGCAGCCTTTACGTTACGTACGCGATGTCGTCGTGCGACTGGGCACTTTGTCTATGGGGATGGTGCTGGGACGACTGGGACGAAGCCGAGCCAGAAACCGCTTCGTCGCCTCCCCCGTCCGCCCCTACCCCACGTTCTCCGCGATCTCCATCCTCCGCCTCATTCCCACCTGTTTCGCCTTCGTACACTAGCACGACAAAGGACAAGATGAATGCTGACGCCAGTTCTCAGATGGCCCGCGATCTTGACGCCAGCACATACGTCGCGACAGCTTCGTCTTCCTACAATGCGCCCACGCTCACGCCAGGCTCAGGGAGGACGCCATCACCATTGCCACCACCACAGGGCTCGGACTGGTCCCCGTGGGCCGGTGCCACGGGGATGGGCTTGCAGCAGAGGCCATCGACAGCAGCTTCGATGTCAGGGCCGGGAATGGACTTCAGGTTGCCTACACCACCCAGGTGAGTGCTCGAGTATCTACTGCGCTGTTTCTTTAAACGGCACTTGGCTTTTTTTCGCGGGGGGTGAATTGCCGCATATGCACGTGGTCCAGGCTGTGGGCCATGCGGGAAACCGCCTGGCCAGTGCTCCAGCGCCCAATCCTGTTGCGAAGCGGGATCTACCTGCTGCCAAGTGCCCAGTCACTCGAAACAGGTTGCGCCAATCTCGGAGATTGTGACCTCATCGATTTGATCATTCTTTCTCTTTACACGCATATACTCACCATGTCTGACAGAGACGGTACTCTCACCGTGGCGCTTCCCTCGTTATCTGCGCTTAATGCCGCGCTCACGACCGTCACCCAGCCATCCCATGACCCGCAGCTGCAACTCGCCTGGGCGCGGGACGTCATGTTCCTCGTCGATCGCACACCGACACTCGCCTCATCCCCACTAGCCCTCGCCGCGGTCCCGCTCATCCTCTCTCTCGCCCAACCACCCAGCAGCATCCCTGAAGCAGTCTATTTGCGCGCTACGTTTGCTGCGTCTGGCGCTTACCCCAATCATGTCCCAGCCAGTCCCCGTGCCGCATTTCGAGATTTTGAAGCCGCCGCTCGCGCCGGGTATGCCGCGGCGTGGTTCCGTCTCGCGCGGGACTACGAGGCGTTTTCGGACAATGCGCATGCCATCGATTGTCTGAATCGGGGGGCGAAGGCGCGTGATCCGGCATCCCTGCACCGACTGGGCACCGCGCATCTCCTCGCGCAACTGGGACTGCCAGCGGATCTCGGCGCGGCTTTGCCGAATCTTCACCAAGCAGCGTGTCGCGCAACGCTGCAGTGCCCCCAGCCGGCTTATGTGTTTGCGCTTATTTTGCTCAGCGAGTTTAACGGCGGTGGAAATGTGCCGACGGGTGCGGTGCAGCCGTTCCTGCCACCAGGAGAGTCCCGAGAGGGTTACGCGCGGAAGATGCTTGAACGGGCGGCGGCCCTCCATTTCGCCCCCGCCCAGTACAAGTTAGGGCACGCCTTCGAGTTTGCAGTCCCCGCGAGGTGTGTATACATATGCGTCTGGTTCTTCATGATCGCCAATGACCAACTTCCGCAGCGCATTTCCATTTGATCCGTTACTGAGTGTGCAGTGGTACAGTCTAGCGAGTCAGGCAGGCGAGGCTGAAGCTGATATGGCGCTGAGCAAATGGTTCTTGTGTGGTGCAGAGGGTGCGTTCCTTATTTCGTCTGCACTATGCCCACTTATCCTGCCGCCAGGTGCATTCGACAAGGACGAATCGCTGGCCCGTACGTTTGCCGAAAAAGCCGCTTCGAAAGGACTAGCGTCGGCTGAATTTGCAATGGGGTACTATGCCGAAGTCGGGATTGGCGGACCGAAGGATGTGCCATCCGCTAGGTCTTGGTACACCAAAGCGGCGGGTCACGGGAATGCGGATGCGCGAGAACGGTTGACGGCATTGCAGCAACCGGCGCCCCAAACGCTCGGGCGACAGGAACACGACACTTTGACGGAGAACAAGCTCATGAGGAAGAGGACGCAGGCGAGGATACGCAGTGACGAGCAGAGTCAGCAGACTGGGTGCGTCTTCCCTTCTGTCCGCGGCAGTCAAACCGACGCTCGATCAGCCTAGTAAACCCTCATCCTGACCCGTATGAAGCACGTGGTCCACAGCAACAGGCTCAGCAACAGCAGCAACAGCAGCAACGACCGCCTCCAGGCGCATACAACAACCCGAATCAGCGCCGCACCCAGGTGATGGAACTCGCGCGGAAAAGCTCGATCGCAGAATCATCGCATTACCGGGGTGCCAGCACAAGTTTGGACTACCGAGCACCCAGCCAGCCGCAACAACAGCCTCAAAGGCAACGGATGGGTTCCAACTCAAATCCACCGCGAGAAGGATCAGTTCCCCCGAACCGCATGCCGCCGAGGGAACCGAGCGTCCCGCCCGGCGCAACGCGGTACTCGTTGGCTGATCCCGGCGCTGGCCGGCCGGGGAGCGGGCAGAGCAGTCGACCGGGGAGTGCGGCGGGTGCGTCGGTGCGGCCGATGGGCACACCTCCGATGAGGCGGCCAGGAGCGAATGCTACCACGGGAACGCCCGGGCCGAAACCCTCCACGAGCGACGACGAGGGGATTGTGACCAAGACGGGTGGAGGAGGACCTGCGACGTTTGCGGAGATGGGATTCACGGGTGCGAAGGCTGAGGACAAGGAGTGCGTCGTTATGTAAGGAGACATCTAAGTACATGTTTTGGTCTATCTATTATATTGCAAAAGGACTCAGGATGATAGAATTGGATCCCCCCATGTCGATCACGTGATACGGCAAAAGTATCGCACGCCCAATTAGAAAGTATTTCAAAGAAACGGCGATGGATGATAGTAAATAATGAAAAGTATGACCGCTGAGAAGATCGAAATCCGTCCATGATCCACGCCTCCCAGAAAAAACTCGTCACTCGCAGCGGAAGACCTGTCCATCCCACACACTTCTTTGTGGATAGCGGCAGTGATCTCGTTCAGCCTGTCCGTCGGGTGTCGTGCCCGTGATTATGTCTGGCGCAACGCCGTTCTCGACCCAATCGACGACCGCCCAGAGGACATTGTGCCTTGCGTCGTTCTTTGCATTGGACGCGAGGCCCCCCTGCCCGAAGCGGGACGCGGCGTTGGGTGTGCCGCCTTCGCAGTGGTCCATGCCCGGAACGAGAAACAGTCGGTAGAACGAATCCAGAGAGGACATAGACATCGTCTGTGCGATCAGGTCGTACATCCGTTTCGAGTTGCCTGATGCGATGAGCTGTTTGGCCAGAATCAGTCGCTGATGACGAGAAGGCTGGCGATGGACGGATATAGGCTCACAGGATCCATGCGACCGTGGTACGTCAGAAACTTGCCGCCCCTATCTCGGAACGCAGAAAAGTCGCCCTCAAAAGTCGATATCCCGCCCGGATTCACAGCATCCATGAGATCCAGTTCCTTGCGGCCATACTTGTGAAAGTCGTATTCGGTGGTATTTGCGACCGTGTACTTGAACCAGTGCTGGAAGCGTGTGAGTGAGCCGTAAACGCCAACGAGAAGACCCTATTTACCTCGGTGAAGATGAAGAAGTCGCCATTGAAAACCCATCGCACGAGCGGACTTGCCTCTGCACCGGGATCGAATCGGGGATAAACGAGCTCGTCATCGGCGTACAGTGGCGCATAGATCTTGCGCAGCACTTTGACCTGCTCCAGGGACAAACAATTGCTGTTGCCGTCACTGCACAGTAGAGCCTCAGGCCTGAATCTGCACGCATCCGGCTCGGTCACGATGCCATCCACCACGCCATCCAAGGCGTCACACTGCCTCATGATCTCAGCTGTCACGGCGCCCCATTGCTCGGTAGAGATGAACGCTGGGGAGGCGGGCCCGTCTGGAGCCCCCGCCCACCTCGTGAGCATCCCGACCCAGTGCACGAGATGGTTGTTGTCCGTCGCCGGGGCGCCAGCAACGATTCCGTCAAAGTCGTCCGGGTGGTGCAGCGCAGCATAGGTCCCCTGCCGGCCGCCGGTAGAGCAGCCGAGATAGTAGGACTTTGAGTGCGGCCGGGTGTAATACGCCGATAGAAGTTGCTTGGAAATCACAGTCGATACGTGCACCGACCGAGAGGCGAAATCGGTCAATACTTCGGGTGCGTCGAGGAAAACGCGTCCGTCGTTCCCATCGTGTCCGTTGTTTGATCCAACAGTGGCAAATTGCAGCGACGCGCCGTATTGGAGTCGGTCATAGTCGATGCCTGATACCCGGGATGATCAGCGGGTCTTCGAATACGAGAATACATGGACACACGCACATCCACCGATTCCCGAATTCCCCAGTGCCAGAAATCGGCCCTCCCACTGATCTGGACGGGGCAGCCACGTCTCCGCTGTCACCGCAGAGACGTTCGTCGTGTGCACGACGAACTGGACCCGACACACGTCCGCGCTGACGCGCACCCGATCTGTGGGTCCAAGGCAGGTGCCTTGCGGTTTGACGCGGGAGCCTGCGCGCAGATACGTCGCGCTCGATATCGTCGTGGAGAACGTCAGGTTGAGGTCTGCGCGCGTGCCGAGGGCGAGACACGCGGCGGCGTGTGCAGAGTAGGCTGCGGAGTCAGGGACTAGCATTAGTGGCAACAGGCGGGCGAGGGCGGTGAGTCGGACGAGCAAAAACTCCAGCATTGTGTAAGCGCACAGCGGAGCGAGCGGGTCAACGTGATGGCCAGCTAGAAGGGGGGAGGTGGAAAGGGGAGGGGCAGATGGAGGGTAGTGAATACTTAGTACATATGGTCAAATTTTGACATCGGAGGACTCACGGAAGTACGACGCGGTGGCGGCGCGCAATCAGATTCAGATCCCAATCCAACCCAATCCAGTTCTTTCAGTGCTAGATATGTAACCTCTCGGGCCCGTCGTTCTTTGCATCGAAATTCGACATCAACGATCATGCGGCCGTCTGGAGATCCAGGTGCACTACCTGATTGCACCCGAGTAAGAAAACCGGCCAAGAGGAAACGAAGGCTGGACGCGGTGGGTCCGCGCCCGCAGGGTCATCAGTATCAGCCAAAGGGAAAAAGCTAAGAGGACGTGACGTGTGGAAGCGAGAGGCAAGCTGAGAGTATTTTGGTTCTCGATCGGGTTTAGACTACGGAAGCCGAAACCGAAGGTCCGAAGCGATGTCGGACCCTCCTGATGCCCGGACCTCGTTCTCCCACGGTTTGAAAAGGAAAAGGGAAGGCGCCTGCCATTTGCTGACTTGCCCCTGACGAAGAAATTTCGACAATCTCCTGATTCACACGGTTCGATTTGGCTTGGGCAATTGCTTCCGGCTCGCCGTGGCAGACTCGTCAGCTCGGACGCAGTCTGCTAATTCTCCGAACGGGAAGGACTGGAAGAGGCAAAAACGTAGAGCTAACGATAAATTATAAATCACGAGTCCCAAAGGTCTTGAAAACTCGGCAAAATGCATGTCTCTGTGCCTTGCTGGAGATGAGTCCAGACCCGACCCTAGGCTGCTCCTAATCCCCTTCTGTTATTCTGAGCCCTGGCTTCGAGTCTAGAGACATTGGAAGTCACGCTGCACCATTGAATAAACGAAATCTTCTTCTTCTCCGCTCAGCATAATGGCTGACAGGTTCTCTTCCCTTCTTTCAGGCAGGAATCCCGACGATTCACGTCACATTCGAGAAGCCCCTTATCTTGTTGTAATCATCCCTCGCCTATGGATGACCGAAAGAGTATGCTTCGTATTTGCTCCGGACCCCGAAGTCGGACCTTGATAATAGTATGAGCATGAGCACATGAAGTGCAACTCTTCCGGCCCGGCCGCAAAAACAAACATCCAGATTGGCTTTGTGATATGGTCGCGAGCCAGTGAAACCCAAATTGTGTATCATGTGATGCGCGGCGGAGTACCCATGCCGCCAGCATCTCCATATTTCCCAGGAGAAAACATACGATCTGATGTTTCCTGAACACGTTGAATTAACTCTGAAACGACGGGAGCGACTGAATAACCGGGATCCCAAATATATATATCGGTTGACAGATGTGATAGTGTCCAAGGACCTGGCCCGTCGCGTCGAGCGATCTATCCTCAGGGTCCAAAGTCCTGGATGAGGCTCTCACATGTGTGCTCTGTTTTCTGTCGCAGCGACCGACCATCGGTCCGGAGCTAAGCCGAGCGATCATACGGTAATTTCTGAAAATGGCATGTAAGGGCGTGAAAAGGCACTTTATACATAGCCCAGTTTGAGACAGATCGGGATATGTCGGTCAGTAAGACCAGGGCGAAGTGTCTTGGCTGCCTGTGCGGACCTACATGCTACCATGCGATGATCTTAGTGAGGACAGGATCACGATCAGCTCAACTTACTAGCGCCAGACGCTAGCTCCCGAAAGAATCAGCTACTCCTCACAAACTATGGGTGAAGCGAGGAATAGGAAGGGGGCTGGCTACCCACACTCGGAGATTGGCCTCTAAAACCGTACCTAGCTCCCGAGATGGATGATCGGTAGAATTCTCGGGAAGCAAGCACACTTGAAGCCAGGGATGGCTCCATGATGAGCTGGCTGTATCCACGAGTCTGACTCTGTTCGGCAGTTGTAGGCCGTGGCGAGCAAGCGAGGGAAAGGGCTCTAATGGACCGTCAATAATTAGTGATACTGGCGGCCAAATTCCGGATTCTGAGACCGGCTGAGAGATTGTCGTTTTTTGTGCAGAACGTGCTCATTCAATTTGGAGGAGCTCGTGAAGCGCTCACTGAACCTCGTTGAACATTTGAATTCTCATCAGACGTTGCTATTGGGAATGAATGCGGGCGCTGGTGATGCACTGATGACTGACCCACGTCGACGTAGAAGGTCCGCGCTGGCATTTCAAATCTTGGAGATTCCTGTGAGATGAGATGAGATGTGGATCATACGCAACGTTATCCTACGACCTTCTCAGCCTCGAAGTTATAAGTACTGGCGCCTGCAAGAGCGACGTCACTAGGATCCCCTATCTGGAATATCAGAGCGGTATAACCGGCCCGGCTCTCGTTCCCCGCGCCCTCACCAGTGCCAAACACTCCGTCCCGCTCATTTTTCCGAAGCAGGACTTGGGCAGATTGAAAATGAACAGAATGCATTCCATGCGCGGAACTCCGTGTTCGACGCCCTAACTCCACGTTTCAGTGGCACTCGATAGCTCACGCGCCCAGCGCCACACACGTTTCCATCTTCGAACGACTGCTCATGCAAGGCAGAGATCGTCATTTGGAACGTCTTCTTGGGACTTATTACCTGGCTAAGACTGTGGGTCACACGTTGCACTGAGCAGTTTTGTCGCTTCTTGAAGGCATCCCTATATCTTTAGACCGCGTCTCGCATGGTGCAGCGCCCCCATAAACAGCTGCAACCCCTATGCAGAGACGGATTTCTCGGCGAAATGTGACTTCTATACGTTCTCTTGATCTTTCGGTTTCGTTTCATGTCGGCATGCGGCTCGAGGGAGGTAGAAAACACACGTTCAGTCTCCCTCATAAATTCAATGAGCCTCTCAGCTTGAGGAAGGCAGAAGAACTCACTCTCTGAAGGAAATGATCCAGTTCTCTTTTTTTTCTTCTTTTCACGGCCGTGGACGCTACTTGCGCCACTCCGACCAAGCGGAACCGCGGTGGCTCTTTAATCGGACCTGAGCACCGTCAAGTTCGATGTCACGACTCCTGATAATCCCATCGCCTGCTTCACTGCTGGGAATGTGATTCCACTCTGGCGCATACACGACACCTCGGGCTCGGTGAATAATTCCAGCACTCACGCTTCGTGCAGATCATTCGTGGCGGTACCCAACACTGCTTCCGTCGTTTTCAACAGCGATCGCAGCTTTCTAGAGTCGGAGCAAGAGTGTGAATTCATTACATGGGTAGATTAGATATTGAACGTCACACAATACAATTAAACGATTATTCCGCTGCAGCGAGCTCCAGGATTCTACATCCGCGGATACAACCAATCTCCTATCTGTCATATCAGTGGCTGTTGCCTCTGACAAAGATTCTCGACACTGCCAGTCCACTGCCTAAGTCATTCAACGAATTTGAGCACATTCCCAACTCCTCCTAGTCTTCGCCCACATCCCAACTGGTTAGAGCCGAAGAACATGACTGTGAGGACCAAGACCCTGGGGATTGAGGTTGTCTGGAGCTACTCGACACCGGCCTGCTCCGTGTGCTGGACCTTTGTGCTTCCGCTTCCCAGTGCATCCACGGAGGTTTTGTCGCGAACGGAGATGACGTATATGCCTGAGATGGTGCTGTTGATGAGATAAGAACGTGGTCTAGCATACAGTAGCAAAACATACGCGCGTAAACTGTCGCCAGTCGAGTCTCCGACTCAGATTGCGACACTGTGGCTTCATCTTCATCTTCATCTTCATCCTCATCGTGCTTGTCCTCCTCACAGCTCCCTTGTGTGTCGACCGTCACAGAGCCGAAGGCGATCAAGGATGAGAACTCTCCTAAGGGCGAAGGCGACCGCGGCCTCAACCGCATGGCGGGAATCTGGGAAGATGGTGGAAGCGGCTGAGTGACGGAAGTTGGAGAAGGGCTCAAAGATGACGCTCTGGCCTGCCACGGGGAATATCGCTTCGCCTCCTCGCTCCAGCTTTTCCATGCCGGTGGAGGAGAGACGCTGACACTCTGAGGACTGGGAAGCGATTCTCCGCCAGCGTCCGAAACTGCATCGTCAGAGTCACTCGGAACCGACGTGTCGCTCTTTGGAGAGGGATAGCCTAGACTGAACGCGTCGACTAGATGGTATATATGACAATGAGCCCATTGGAGTATAAAGGGGACCTCGCACTCACGAGAAGAATGTGATAAGCTGTCGTCCTCGCACTCGTCCTCGTCCTCGTCCACATGAGATATCACGATCGATGGTATACCATGGTGGACGTGGGGGTCGACCCACCCTGGCTGAGGAAGCCCATGGACAGCGGCAATCGGGGAAGTTTTGCCGCGTGGTGATAGACGCATTCGACGCTGCAAAGTGGACCTCGACTGTCGTTGACGGCCCCGTCGAATCGTGCCGTCAGCACCAGTATCAGAGTCGCGAGGCTGGGGTAAGGGCCATAGAGGTTTTGCGTTATCCTTGGTGAATTCGTAAGAGATCCACCAATTCTCATCCGGTTCGACCTTTCTCTTCCTGGCATCCCAGTCCTCGGTAAGATCTGGCGGCGGCTTTGGGGCAGTCCAAAGCATGCTCGGTGTTGAGTCTCGCGTGTGCGAAGCTCTGTGAGACCGCAATGGACGTTCGCTACGAGAACTCATGGATCGAGTGGCTTGGAATGTGCAAGCCTCTGATCTGGCGGATGGGTGCCGAGCTGTGGCTGAAGTAATCGGCACCTTCTCACTGGCCCCAGGACTGGTATGATTACTTAGAATGATGTCCGCATTTGAGAACTGTACAATCTACCTTCTGGTCCAGATGTGACACTCAAGGATCTCCTGGCTGACTTGACCATCCAGGAGGCGTTCGATGTCTTGCCCAGTAGCCCGGGGTGACGATTGAGGCAATAGCTTCTGTGGCAGAGGGCTGTACAAGTGTTGAGCGGCCATGGGACATGGATCGGCAAGGACAACAAACCGACGTAGCATGGAAACCACCTCACAGAATTTTTTGAAGCTGGAATCGTCTGGGTCGAGGGTGGCGCCGGGTCGCTTGGCACGTTTCCGGACGAACTCAGTTCTCCAGGCACACATTCCATCCAGCACCACGCTAATCAGAAGATCCAGCCCGTCAAAATCGTACAGTGGACGCTTATCGATATCTTGCTCGTCGATTGTGGGATTCAGATTGTCCATGTCCAAGTCCTGCAAGACGAGCAAGATGGTGACACAAAGTTTTCGCACAAGCTCGATACGTCGCCGGTCGAGCGAGACCCAGAAGAGAGGAAGGGTGAGGATTCCATGGAGACACCGGATGGCCAGTGGGCGATGAGCGTTCTCGTGGCTACGTTCTAGATTAGATCGCTCTCAAATTTGGTGAGAGAACTTGAAAGCCCACTCTGAGACACTGATCATTAGTTTTTCGATAGCACACATCTCAGAGCCACAAGCCGTCAAATTCTCGACCTGAGTGCGGTCGAAGAGTTCAGAGATCTCCGTCTGGGCCAAAGCGGAAGCAGCCAGTGTAGACCAGTACTGTCGTTCCTGTAACTCTCGGTCCGACCTGAACACGCTTGGTCTCGACGAGTCCCACAATTCCTGGATGTTCGGTGCTTGGAGACCTCCAGCAGAGCGCAGCATAGACGAGGCGAGGAAGAAGGCGCGTAGTCCGGGGTACAGGCCTACGAGCCCGAATATGCTGTTGAACGCTTGTATGTGCGTTATGACGGCCTCAGAACTGGAACCTCATCAGTCTCACAGACGAAAGAACTCTGGAATGAAGTCGCTCACCGCTGCGTATATCTCAGCAACGCGGAGCAATGTTTCCCCAGTACTTTGATGAAATCTCTATCTTCTTTCGCGACAGAATCGATCGCGTTTTTCGATTCGACGGCGCGCAGGCGCGCAAGCCTGAAATCTCCTTCTCCCATCGAAGCCACGATCTCTTTCTTTGCCGCAAGAGGACCGTATCCTAATTGATGTGCAAGTTGGTTTGCTTTGGTTTCGAAGACATAACCAAGATTTTGGTAGAACATGTTGATCGTGCGCCCTGGACCGTATGACTGCATGTGGCCCAGGTGCGATCGGGAAACGACCTGCTGTTGCCGACGAGCATCGGGCGGTAGGCCAGGTCGATCGTGGTCGGAGGGGGCGCTTTGGGAGGGTATCTGAACAAGCGCAAGAACAGTCTCTGCCATTCAGTCGGAAGACTAAGAGGGAGGGTCTCAACACCTTGCGATGATATCGATTGCAAGTTTATACCTGTCGAAAGGCTGTGAGTCACGGAACGTGGTAAGGTAAGCTGACATGAGGATGGAACGTTGTGGAAGAGAGTCAGCGCAGAAGGCTGTGAACACGTTCATAGTGGAATGGTTCAATGTCACAGTGGACGACGTCAAGGGGAGTCGTACCACGTGATCAATACTGGGCCTTCGCCGGGGCGCATCAACTCATCCCGATTCATTACTTATGTTCGATGCTTCCCGACGAAGCACCGCAGAGCGCGGCAGGCAAAACGCCTATTCCGACCAAATCATGCAGGCGGACCAATGTTCGTACACACAAGCTCAGAACGACTACGTCTCAGTCTGCGGATCGGTTTTCATTGCTCATCTAGTTTGCATACAGATCAGGGTAACTCAAGGTCGATCTGAGTGGATACTACTGGCTCTTTGGCAGAGGAGCCGATTTCGGTCTGGGATTCTGCTAGGCGATCTGGTGAGCTCAGAAACAAGGAGTGATGTGAACCTGGAGACGAACAGCTCATGTACGACTGCCCCGCCTAGAACGCAGTGGTGGTGGACCAAAGCTCGAAGACAATGACGGAAACAAGAAGAATAGGGCCAGGAATAGGACACTCTGGGTGGATCTCATATGCCCGTAAGTGTTGTGATGAAGCTCGGTGTCCCATACCGCCAGGAATCCACCCACACCAGACGGAAGGGCCTTGAGCTTCATGCCAAGAGTGACTTGATCCTCGCCGTCGCTGTTCTCCCCCTCGATGATAAGCGCTCCTTCGCCGAGGTCCGAGCCCAGTGATCTCTTTGAGCTTGCGCCAATTTCGCTGGATGCTTCAGAGCCTGTGCTGTCGGCTGAGACAGAGTCAATTGTCGATGTAATCGACTCTTCGCGCCGTTTCTCATGACACTCAGATACTTGATAGGCTCGCATGAAAGAAGGCGTGGATCGGGGCGTTCGTATGGGATTAGGCACAGATACGATCCGCTTCAGTGCAGGCTGATCGAAGGGAGAGACGAAGTGCGAGGCGGGAGGCACGAATTCCGACGCGTTGCGGTAGTCAGGGGCAGAGAAGATAGGAATCCAGGTCTCATCGTGAGGTTGCCGAACGGGGGAGGTTTCCGTGACATTGAAAGCTTTGGTGGCATACATGCTGGAAAAACGACGAAGCCTTGGACAAACCCTCTGCGGCTGGAGTTCATCACGCTCGAGCAAGAACGAGTCACAGTCAGAGTCGTTTGGTTCAGTGTCCGAGATGTTCGATTGCATTGCGAGAGGGTGCGGTCCAAGAAGCGAGGGAGAAGAAAAGACGAAGATAGCGAAGAAGGAATGTCACGGCGGGAGCGTTCTTGGATGGAAAGGAGACTCTAGTTCCTCTTCAGGGTGATTTCCCAGAGGAGTTTTCAGAACTTCGGATGCGTGTCGATTCCCCCGCGTCTCAGTCTCAGTTCCCGCGCCTGAAGCCAGTTCAGATGGTGACTCCGAGTCAGACTCATTCGCTGAATCAAACGGGATTATGCATGTGACTGTTTGTTCGGATCATCCCGAGACATTTATAGCACAATGCGGATCATGACTGTTTACGAAGGCTGCAACGTCAATCTGCCATGGAACGACTGAACAGCGCCGCTGGGCCAGCGCTCGGCCACGTTTTTCCTATCTCCCTGTATCGCATTTGCTCAGAGCATAGCCGGAGCTCGGCACCGCATGCGTGTTATGACTCCAGGACGATGCATGTCAAAGCGCATTTGCTCTGGCCCTTCATATAGGGAGAGCACCCTGAAAGCACAGATCTCAAAGCCCCATATCTCACTCATCTCATGGAATCTATCCGCGCGAAACTCTCAGGCAAAGGGGTGAGCTCACACACGGCATTGCCAATTTAGCCATTATTCTGATTCTCTGGCATAGCCTCGCTACATACCTAGCGGCAAAGTCGACTTCGAAGCAGCTGGTCTCCCTGTCTACATCGGATGCTATGCCGCCGTGCTCGACTCGCTTTTCTCAGAACTAGAGACCACTGCTGTTCTTGCGGAGGCCGAGGCGTTCTCCCCTTGGGAAATCGCGCAGGTGAACGCAGGAGCCTACGCATTTACCGACACATCATACCGCAATGGACAACGCATCATCTACGACTCCTTCGAGCTTTCGGCCAAGATCTTCGATAAAGTGCGGCCGCATCTAGCTGATATCGAAGAGATTGAGGAGGTCGTGCACGTCCGCGGCAGGAAGATGCTGCAGACATGGAAGATGGTGAGGTTGAATGAGCGACTGAGGTTCCTGAGGTATCCGGAGGGCGGGTTCTTCAGGAAGCACATTGACGGATGCTACTTCGACGAGTGAGTCATGCCACATCTCCGTTGTCCTGGCATGCATCTGACGTGAGCGCCTAGGGAAACCGGCCGACGCACATTCTACACACTCCAGTTCTACCTTCCATCTGACGCGTCTGGGTGCCCTGAAAGCTACCAACCGGCACAAGGAGGATCGACTCGTTTCATCGGGCCCAAGGGGGCATATGCCGACGTCGAAGCCCAGCCAGGACGAATATTGGTATTCCAGCATGACAAATTGTTGCATACAGGAGAAGAGGTGTGTTGCATGGCTCCCCAGTACCTGTCCATCAACTTACTGTTCCTCTAGGTGACTGGGGGCGTCAAGTGCGCTGTACGATCAGATATCTTGTACGAGAAAGTTGGCGCTCCGAAGCCAGCTTCGAGATGAATGGCTCGAGCGCGAATGTAAGACAGATTCCCGAATGCGCTTCTCTATACCCCTCTATGGCTATTACAAGGTGTTCGTACAACAGGAAATACTAATACAGTTGGAGCGCAAGAAAGTCGAAAAGCGCCACGTTCAAACCCTCAGCTATCGTCGCCTCTTGCGGTACTCGACAACCCTGCCTGCTTTTGACACGGGTTCCAGCGGAATAGCAGTAATCGTTGCGTCGGTGGACAAGGTGCCATGGTCGCTGCCCACACCAAAGTGCACGCTCGCCCACTCGGCCGTGAACGCTGCCCTCTGAGCACGGGTCGGCGAGAAACCCGGTCCAGTGACGATCCGAACTCCTTGATCCTGCCTGACGGCAGCCCAATCGAAGTATTTCTGCTGCTGTTGGCGGACCCCTGGAGGGATCGGATCTTCTTCAGCAGAGCTCCGCTGCAAAGACGGCGAGGAGTCCACGTGAGTCACAGTCGAGGCGGGGGAGAACGATTGATACGAGGTGCTGGAAGTAAGAGGAGACGGTGCATCGAAGGAGCACAAGCCATGAGGAGGATGGTGGATGGTTGGGAGCGACGAGCGTTGAATGGGAATGATCTGGGATGGAACAGGCTCGATCGACGCACAAGCTTCAATACGTCCGGCTCCAGCTTGGGGCTTTGGCGATGTAATTCTGGGCACGTCTGTTGGGAAATGGTTGGGCAGTGGAGGTAACTTGGCAGCTTGTCGCATACGTCTCGTCATGACCGGCATCAAGGGCAAAAGCGCAAGAAATGAATAGTGCCCAAGATTTGCTGCAACACATTCTTAAGAGCTAAGACAGTCTTTGCATTCAACCGAAAAACGATTCTTGAATGGTCGTAAAACGTCCTTTGTTGAGCTACCATCAGGTAGCGTTGATCCCCTTGTCCAGTGACCGGTCCTGAGATGATGATCCCTTTGAGAAGAGCGGACGTCTAAGAACTGTGTCAAGGGACCTCGCTTCACGCAATGGCTTTTGTGCAGCGGAGTGGCCGCGAGTCATTCACCAGTTGGCAGGCGATACAGTCACTTCATCCGTCAAGAGAGCTGAATTATGGGTGTCACCGGAACGCTCTCCCCTTGCACCGTGTAGAACGCAAGCAATCATACATAGCAGTAAGAAAGCATAACAAGTCCAAGTGCGAGCGATGATCGGTCGTTTCAAGAAGGGTTGTGGACAGTCACGAACGCGGATGTGCTGGCGTCGGCTACTGGCTTCCTCAGACCATGCTCTGTTCGCTGCATTACAGAATTGCAGAGTCCCGTCCTCTCGGCCACTTTGGAGTGTTGGGAGGACATTCTCTTGATTCGGCTCCGAAGCCGGTTTCACCGCTTCTATGACATCCCAAGGCTGTGTCATACGGCTTGAGATTTTGGCAAAGCTGCGAGCTGGACCAGCAGCGGACTGCGGACTGCGGCGCCCAGTGCATAGAAAAGGACCATGGACTCATGAGCACCGAGGAAGAGCCAGAGATCACGACACAGCCCCTCCTTTCCTTTCCTGTCACCCCATTTACCCTTGTCCGCAACCACCATGGAGGCACTCCGACTGCAGAAGAAATATCCTGAAGTGACCCGCGATGAAATGTTCGATCTCATAAATCGATTCAAGTGCGCCCCGTCTGCATCTTCCTCGGTCTCCATTGAAGCGATCCACACTTGACAGCTCGATTTCGACGGAGACACCCGGACGCGTAGATAAAGGCGCCGTCCTGCAAGCGCTCCAGTCCAGTGGACAGTCGTACGATCTAGCGAGAGAAACATTGAAGAAGGTCAGCGTGGATGCCAGTGGGAAGGTCGAGCTTGAGGATTGGGTCGAGGTGCGCCATTGCGAGCCATGATGTCACCGCTGCGGCTGATGCCTGATATCTCGCAGCTCAACGTGAAGATGAAGTCAGAGGCAGCGTCGCTGAAGACCAAGGCCGGAAAGGTGACCGTGCAGGGCTCCAACGCGAATGTCAGCCACACGATCAACGAGGATGAGCGAACGGAGTTCACAAATCACATCAATAGTGTATGTCTGCTTCTAGTTGCGCGCGCGGGAGTGTCTATAATGTTACCTCCCGGCCATGCATTGCTGTTTCTGACTGTTTGTATGTCAGATTATCGAAAACGACGCCGACGTCGGATCGCGCTTTTCCATTCCGACTTCGACCATGCAGATCTTCGAGGAGCTCAAAGACGGGTTGATTCTTTGCAAGCTCATCAATGACTCAGTACCAGACACCATCGACACTCGTGTGCTCAACAAGTCCACGGGGCGCAAACAGCTGAATGCGTTCCAAATCACGGAGAACAACAACATCGTCATCACGTCCGCCAAGGGTATCGGGTGCTCGGTGGTCAACATCGGCTCGACGGACATTGCAGAGGGGCGCGAGCATCTGGTGCTCGGGCTCATTTGGCAGATCATCCGCCGCGGTCTCCTCGCGCAAGTGGACATCAAGCTGCACCCCGAGTTATACCGGCTGTGCGAGGAGGGCGAGACGATCGACGATCTGCTGCGGCTGACGGCAGACCAGATCCTGCTGCGGTGGTTCAACTACCATTTGAAAGCAGCGGGCTGGAAACGGCGGGTCAACAACTTCAGCCGTGACGTCAGTGATGGCGAGAACTACACGGTGCTGCTTCACCAGCTCAAGCCGGACCAATGCTCGCTTGCGCCGCTCCAGACGACGGACCTCCGCCAACGCGCTGAGCAGGTTCTGCAGAACGCCGGCGCGATCGGGTGCCGGCGTTTCCTGACGGTGTCGTCCCTGACCGCCGGGAACCCCCGCCTGAATCTCGCGTTTGTGGCGAATCTGTTCAACACACATCCCGGCCTGGAGCCGCTCGACGAGCAGGAGGCCAAGGACTACGGTGTGGTCGAGGACTTTGACGCGGAGGGCGAGCGGGAGGCGCGGGTGTTCACGTTGTGGCTCAACTCGCTCGGCGTCGAGCCCGGGGTCTTCAATCTGTTCGAAAACATCAAAGACGGCCTTGTCCTGCTGCAGGCGTTCGACAAGATCGCACCGGGGACCGTCGTATGGCGCCGGGTCTCGAAGCCCAAGGGCGGCGTCGCCGCTGAGCCTGTGTCATATGCCAGCGGGGGCGCAGGCGGTGACGACGACGAGGGTGCCGATATCGGTGTGACGCCGAACCAGAGCCAGCTGTCGCGCTTCAAGGCGGTGGAGAACACCAACTACGTCGTCGAGCTGGGGAAGCAAAATGGAATGCATCTGGTCGGCATCCAGGGTGCCGATATCGTCGATGGATCGAGGACGCTGGTGCTTGGGCTGGTCTGGCAGCTGATGCGGTGCGTCTGTTCGGTCGATGCCTTCGAGCTTTGTCGGCTCACATTTCTGCAGGATGAACATCGTGAAGACGCTGAACCAGCTCTCAGGGAGCGGCCGCCCGATCTCCGACACCGAGATGCTCAAGTGGGCCAACGCTAAGGCCAACTCGGCGCGCCCGATTCGTTCGTTCAAGGATCCCTCGATCACGACGGGAATCTTCTTGCTTGATCTGCTTGAGGCGATCCGACCGGGGATTGTCGATCCAACGTTGGTGTTGAGCGTGAACGAGAATAGCGACTATGATGACAGGCGGGCGAATGGTGGGTCTCCTTTCTTCTTGTTGTTATCGTTGCTGCAGGCCCTGGTGCTGACGTTCTTCGTAGCCAAGCTTGCTATCTCGATCGCGCGTAAGATGAATGCGCTGATCTTCTTGGTGCCCGAGGACATCGTCGACGTGCGAGCAAAACTGGTAAGCTTGACAGTGCGCTGATTTGCGGTGGGGCTGACCGTATCCTCCACAGATCCTGACGTTTGTGGGTAGTCTGATGGCTGTAGCGTAGACTTGGTTGGCGTTGTTGTTGTAAGTGATAAGTATCACGTTGGACTCATAGCACGTAAAGATCAAGGATAATGTACCAGTACATACATACTGAACCCAATGCCACAGAAAATGCTCCAGCTCCGGCTCGTGCCAATCCATAATGCATGGTCCGATGTCTGTCCGCAGACAAGGGGGCAATACCGCATCCGTTTCCCCAGTAGATTATCACGCTGGAACTGGAGCTGGAATATTCAGAACGTGTCTATGGAAGGTCTGCACCTTGACGGAGAGATCGAGCTCATCACACGCTGCTGAGTGGATTTCATGAAAGAAATATGGAATAAGAGTGATCGCAATAACAAATCACGGAGGCTTATGGGATACTTATAGGTGTCCGCCCAGGACTCAAAAACAAATCGTGCAGCAGTTGCATCAGACCTCCGAAATCTGCGAGACGCGTCTCTCGTTGACCGCGCGACGATCAAGCACCTGTCGTTAGCCGAAGAGACCGATCGAGCCAGGCCTCTTCACTGATCCACAGGTGATTTGTGCAGCTGACTACGAGCGGGGGACACGGTGCTCGATGCTGGTACATATATCAATGATCGCACCGAAGTTGATTCAGCACTCGTGTATAATTCTTATTCATCCTTAACATTTGATTGGCTGGAACCGACGTATGGTATATACAACAGAACGGAACGGAGCACTGTTGAACGGCTTCGGAGCGCTCAACTGTACGCAGCAATGGCACTCGCAAAGGGAGACGCGATGCTCTGCTCGAGGGCGGTCGCAGTGGCCTTGATGTCGGCCTGGAATCCTCGTTTCAGGGACCAGGGCAGGACAGAGTCTGGCGAGACAAGTGCTTACCGGGGCGGCCGCGATAAGGGCATTCGCGAAGGCGATCGTGCTCGCGTTGAGGTTCTTGAGATCCTGCAGGACCAGAGCGGGGATTCCACCGACGGGGAGCGCATTCTACACACAATTTTATCACACCTGCGGCAAGAGAGAGAAAAGAGCTGGGCACGCACGAAAGCGGCTTTACGGGCGACGATGCCGCTCAGAGCGTCGAGGATCGTGGGCTCGAACGCCTGGACGCTGCTGAGGATCGTGGACGCGTCGCTCTCGGAGAAAGTCAAACCCTGGGCCAGGCGCCGGATGAGATATGCGAGAACGGAAACGAAAACAAACTTGACATACAGCGGCATCCGTGTTTGACTTGGTGAGCGTCGTCCCGAGGGTAGTCGCAGCCGAGTGGATCGTCTAACACAGCGAAGAATGAGTGGCGGGCACATATGCAGAAAACTACCACCATTACCAGGGCCTGGAGAAGAGTTCCCCCCGAGGTGGGGAACGCTTTGACGTCCGTGTCGAGCGTGTTAACCTGCGACGAGATGGTGGCGATGTCAGATTCGACAGCCGCGACGGTCCGCTTCTTGATCGTCGGCGTCGGGTTCGCCAACACCGCCGCGGCGAGACCAAATATGAAGAGTGCACGGGTGAATTGGACCATGGCTGCTGGGCTGGATCGAGTCAAGCAAAGTAGAGTGAGAGAGCTACTACTGCTCTCCCAGCTGCCTCTCCCTGCAGCATTTATACCGCACAGCGCGCAGCATGTGTTTCTCGAGTCTTTCCGCTTACCCGTTCCCGCGGGAATATTCTTGCGCGCGGGGCAGCCCCACCGGCATCGAAACAGGATGATCAGGAGACGGGTCGCAGTCTCTGTCGTCGACTGATCAATTCGCTGTCGTGCGCTGGGTTCGAACTTACGTACTAGTCCATTTCGAGCGCTGCCATGCGGGGGACGGGCCACGAGACGCCCCGCGAGAACGCTTTGGTGAGCGTCGCGACATTGATCGAATGCCGGGCGAACGAGGCGTGACAGTGGCACGTTGGCACGGCCGTGATTCCTGTGGGAGCGTTCGCGCACAGAAGAGCCGCGCGCCGCGTGGGCTGCTCTCTAGTCGGAATTGGGACCCAGTCAGATGACCGACTGAATACCCTCATTCTGCGCGTGAAATCTGCGCTATGTTTAGCCTGAGCGTCGTCGGGGAACTCAGCTAGACGTCCTATACGTCCTCCTTCGGCTATGGTTAGGCTTGCCCAGAGAATTGGTTGCGTTCCCAAGAACGCGAACAGCTTCAGGAAGGAGAAGGGTGACTGTTGCACGATGTCCAGTCACAATGGCGAACACGATCACGGGACTCACATGGTCTGGCCTCCATCATGATGCCATCGCTGCCTGCAGTGTCCTTTGAAATTCCACCCACTATACGTCGTATAGTGCTCTCATGGGTCGTGCTCGCCAAGGTCGGCCGTGGGCAGCTAGCGTCGAAATCAGCCCTATGCAGTCATGCGGGGGATCTGCGGGGGCAACGATGTTGACATGTCCACGGCTTGGCACCGGGCGGCCGGGTCTCGTGAAGAAGCTGTGGGCGTCGTTGCGCTGGATGTTGCCATTCCCACTCAATCTCGTAAAACTCCCAGATGGGGGAAGATCAGGACTGCTTCTCGTGCCCTGTTTTGATATCAGACAACGAATCCGGGGCCGACAGAACAACGCAATACAGCTCACTGTATATAGTAGTACATCACGAACGAAGCTAGAAATACACCGGCGGCAGCCATACACTGAGAGAAAACGAAACAACAGCGACAGCAACAACAAAACCCATCAGCGCAGTGCCCGACCAACGATGCGCGCGAAAAGGAGAACGTAAAAAACAACAGCCGACAATCAACCCATCCTGCCCTCGGTACGCAGGCAGCTCTGCACCAGCGCCACAAACGGCGCTGCCTGGATCTCGAGCGCAGCCAGCATGCGGTAGTCGTTGAACTGCAGTTGGTATTCCAGTCCATCTGCGAACTGGCGGATCTGCGATATGTGCCGGACCATCCGACGCCGGAACTCTTCCGTCGTAAGCGTCAGGTCGGGCGGGTATTCTGCGACCGGGTCGTCTAGCGCTGGCTGTGTCATCATTAGGGGGTGGTGTGGCTGGGAGGACTGCGTGTACTGTAGATTTTGGGTGTCCATGCGGTGGTAATCTAGGGAGGAGATGTGGCTCGCCGTCGCCACAGACGGCGGCGGGGGCGGAGCTATGGCAAGGGGGCTTTCGGCCGGGAGGTGTATCGCCGGCTGATGGGGGAAGTGGGAATGCAGCGCAGACGTCATCGTCATCGACGGATCAATTGAGGGCTCCCAATCAGCGTGCAATCCGTCGTCCGGTAGAGAAAGCATGTGCGTCGGGAGCGGGCCATTGACGCCCTGCATAAAAGCAGAGCCCACGTGCTGCAGCTGCCGTGGCTCGGGATCCTCCGGGGGCGCATACCGCTGCTGCTGCTGCTCCGGCGTCGGACTCTCCATCCGCAGCTGGTCAGAACCCGACGCCGCCGCCCCAGCGACATCCGTCTGCGGGGAGACCGCGGTGTCCGGCGTGGTGTCGCGCGGATAGCCTTCGTGCCGCTCGTAGTGGTGCAGCCGCACGGTGACGACCTTCGTCCCCTGCGCGCCCTCAGGGAGACAGGTGATCATCAGCCGGCTGCGGCACGAGAAGCGCTGCTTCGCGCACGCCTCGGTCTGGCGCGCCGAGGCGTCGGAGAGCGCGCGGGTCTTGGCGCGGCGCGCGATGTCCTGCGAGCACCACAGGCGTGTTTTGTGCCCGCGATCTGTGCGCGGGTGGTCTTTCACTCTCGGGTCGGCGTCAGCGCGGGTTGCGGAAGGGGAAGGACAGACGGGCAACACACGTGAATCGGTAGCCGGTGGCTTTCCACACATCCAAGGAGGCTAGACGGACGCGCTCTTTGTCTGAGACAGACTCAGCGTCGACCTGGGGGACGAGGAACGACGCGCTGAAGTCGACCTCGAAATTTTCATCGCAGGCTAAGCGAAGGGCTTCCATCATGTCGTCGCTAGTGTCGAAAACCCGGGGCTGGAAGAAGTCTGCGTGAGCATGTTGTTGTTGTGTACACATAATTAGGCGAGGAAAGCCAGAAGCGGGTGGTTACGTGACGGAAGGATGGGAAGGGGAGCATCATCTGCGCTGCTCTACACGGAATGGGAGGAGCACTCGCCGGACTCACTGGTTTAGCCTTGAGCTTTCCGCTGGGGCCGAACGACGAACCCGAAGCCAAAGCGGTCGGCTGCTGCCTCACTAGCACCCGGAACTGGTTCTTCTCGCCCGCTGGATTGGGCTGGACCCCAGCCGCGGAGGAGCTGACGCGTATGTCCGTCGTGGGGCGCACCGGATGAGCGCTCGTGCTTGCGGAAGGAGAGGATGTGACGATAGAGTGGACGGGCGGGCGCCCATGTGCACCGAGCGGAGGCCGCGATATGTGGCACGACCGGAGGTAGCGGGGAGAAGGCGATTGGAGAGCATCGGGTGTGTACTCCGAGCCCGATGACGACGACGAAGCCGACGGAGAGCCTGAGGTCGGAGAGTCCCCCATCGTAGCAGAAACTTGAAAGGACGAAATGATCGTGCCAAGTTTGGATATTTTTCGGCGTTTGCCAAAAAAGTGAAGTTTTGCCCTCGAGCGACAGTTTGACGGCGACGCCGAGCCGCCGCGCGGTGCTCTCAATGATTGGCATAATCGTCGACTGAACTCAGGCTCTCATTGGCTCCCATGCTCCAGAGGGGTGTGTACATCCTTGGAATCCGCGTCTGCCTACAGATCCTTTCCAGCCTTGTACGTACGCACACGTCAATGCAGTGACCCTTTGGAAGCTTCCTCGCTGGCATACGCCGTGCGGTGGGAACGGGAACTGGACGGCTCCCTCGTGCTTTCTTCGCTAGCCTCCCACATCGATCCCTTGGTCTGCGGCTCATGCAGGGCTGTCAAGCATGCCCAAAGCAAGAAAAGGACGCTCGAACTCTGATGATCTGGAGTGAGTGGATCCTGTGGAGGACTGGAAGGGAGGGACCGACCATGATCAATCTCAGCGCAACGTCATACACGTCTTTGCGCCAAAACCCTGGCTGCGCGTAGCCCTGTTTGGTCGTATCGGCAGGGACCCGGACGAGAGGCCCACCGGTCACGGTACACTCGGAAGAGATCGTGACGGTGGAGGCTATGGGGCCCTTGGGCTTGGGCTTGGTCTCTGTCTCATCTTGTAGTGCATCAGAAGACCGGGATCTATCGACAATTAAAACCGCGACCGTGCTCTCGGAGGAAGTCGATGTTCTTCGCTCGTGCTCGTCCAGAGCGTCTTCCAGACCACCCGAGAGCTCGGCCCGCTGGAAATAAGGCGAGATGCTCTCGGCTGGTGGTACCTCGGTTCCTTTTTCCTGTGTGTAATCCGGGACGGTGAAGACAGGCGGGGCCAGGTCCGCATACGACGGCGCAATAGGCTGCACGAGCTCTGAAACGCACGGCCTGTCGACAGCGGGAGGGATCGGGAAGCTGCTGCGGGGCGATCGGAGCTCTGATATTCCGGTGGTTGTTCGCGATGGGCACAGCCGACACGCCGCTTTGGGACTGGGACTGGGACTGGGAGGATGGCGCAAGTTGCTTCGCGGCTGGTGGAGATTCGGGACTACGACTTCGGGTAGGGCTTGTTTCACTTTGGGACATCTATTGCCAGCCTTCGACTTTCTCTTGGGACTGCAGGCGGCTCGGATGGTGGAGAACGTCTTTCGGAAAGACGACTTGATTGGGTTATTGGTCACCGCCTCCTTCGAGGACGCAGAGGTCGGGAAATGGGTCTGAGGAGACATGTTTTGGACTGAAGAGATTCTTCCAGGAAGAATCCGTTAAATAGCGAACCCATTGGGCATGGATAGGGGTCTGCCGCGGCACCTTTTTGTTTCACAAGCTGAGAATGGCAAATCAGATGCGATTGATGATGATCATGCTTCCCATCTGATCCCACTAGGAAGCGCCGACTGCGTCGGCAGACATGCCTTGCCTCTCAGACAGATCAAACCAATTTTTTTTGGACTTTACAGGCGGTAGACAAATACGTATCAGGCACCATAAACTGAGCACCTCTTCTTAGTTGGGCTCTGCTCCTCTTCACCTTTGCTGTCATGCAGTGCCAGCTTCCCACGCTTCAAGGGGCTCGGCGCAGTAGACTGGTTAGCTACTATGCACATCTTGACAATATCGGCAGATACCAAATCTTCCTTCTTCGATTGGAAGGCGATGTGAGATCGGTTCATTGTCAGCATCACAGTCGTACCATGCAGTTTGGACATGTAGTCCTCTGGTGCAATGAGTCTGCCATCTTGGTCATATGCCGGTATGCCATGCACAATGTGCATTCCCTAATACGAAAGACATCATCATATATCGGCGGCGAGAATAGCAACAAACAATGGAGCACAGCGACGGAAGAAGACGGAATGTCAAACGGAGAGAGCCGGCAGCTTTTTGATCGCGAATTATGGTGGTGGAGATGCCTTGACAAGCAAGGCAATTTCTTTGAAGCGCATCACGCTCAAGAAAGAATCATCGCCAACTAAGGGAAGAAACCCGGCTGGATGAAGTCTGTCCAGCGAGCTTTCTTGGCTCAAAAGAATCTTTCTTGCTGCCATGTTTTCTGCATGTGAAGTGTCACATTAGTCATATGCTTGAGCGCCCGGGCACACAAGGGCATCGTGACATTGCCATTTATGTATAGGAAAGTGAAAATGAGAGCGAAAGAGTGGATTTCTTCGATAGTGAAAGATCTTTGAGGAATATCTTTATTACAAGCCCGCTGAGAGGCATCCTTTGGCAAAGAAGTTTACTGAAAGTATTTCTCCATCTCAGACTTTCACTGAGTAAAATTATTTCCGAAATCCGTGTGAATAGCAAGTCCGGACTTCAGAGCAAGCTATGATTCTTGATGCTTGTATCATGTTTCCCATATGCTTGCGACCACACGCATCAAGCAAGAGGTACCAACGAAATGACGTGAAAAGGGACGACAAAATTGTCAACAATGACGTCTCCCGAACATCCGATCTTCTACAACTCGTGACACCTACAGGTACCGAGATGTTCCCGCGAGCTTGTTCTCGCTCTACATCCACGCGCAGTGCCTATGGCCTCGCGCCCACCGCGCCAGCCACGTCCTCCAGGCCCACCCCCGCCATGGGCGACGCCGGGGCCGTCTCCTGCCCAGTCCTATTCGACCACGCCGTCCGGGTCGCAGTGGACATCGCCATCACCCCCATCACTCTCCCCAACGAGCTATCCGGAACGCCCGTTCCTGCTCCCGAACCAGGGCGCAGGGCACAACGTGTCGTTCCACGGGATAGAGCAGGGTGATCGACAGGCTCCGGTCCCTCTCGCCTCGTCGTCGTACCCCACCCTGCCTCACCGGGAAGGAGACCCTGAAAAGGGTAGCGCAGGTGCGGGAGCGGATTTTATCCGCAAGAAATCACTCGTGCGGCCCGACCGCGAGAAGATCGAACCGGGGCATAGGCAATGGCATTATCGTAACGCGGTGCAGGAGGATGAGGACAAAAGCGGGGCGGGGATGTGCGTTTTGCCGTCGAGTGAGTCGCGTTTCGTCCTCGATTCCTTTCCCAGATCTGCTGGGCGTTCTCGAGGCCACACGATGAGGCACGAGGCGCTGTGCAGCTGTAGAACATGCTCCGGCGCCCGGCGTTCATCTTTCCGCGTTCCCTCCACGCACACCCACGCACACGCGTACGGATCTCTTTCATGCGATTGGGGATACCACGCCTAGTTCGAATATCCGTTTTTCGCAAATTTTCTTTCGATGATTCCATCCGCCTGCTGCCTGCTCTGACACAGCACCCCAGCTACAGGAAACTACCCCCAGCGTGGCCCGCTTCGCAGGGGACGGTCACTCCTGGCGCGCGACCAGGATGTGCATGAATCGGGACTGACGCTGTTCAAGCGTGGGACCCTCGGCCGTCGGCGGTCATCCACGACGACCACGCAACCCTCGTCTCCAGCGAAACTAACGAAAGGACGATTCAGCGGAACGGCAGCGTCGCCGTGGCTTTTCTACTGCCAGATCCTCACGCTCCCGCTCGCCCCGTCCCTCCTGCGCACGTGCTTTGGACTGCGGACACCCGAACGACAACGCGCGTTCCGCGAAAAACTGGGTCTGCTGTCGCTGATCCTCGTCGAGATGGCTCTCGTAGGATTCATCACGTTTGGATTCACCGAGGCTGTGTGCGGCCAGCCGCCCAACCGGTACCACGGCGGGAGAGTGGGCACCGACGGCATCGGGGAGACGAGCGTGGTGGTCAATGGCTGGGACTACGACTTCGGCGCGTTCCATCACCCTGCGACGCCCGATGGCGCGTTCGATGGGACGGCGAACCCGGTCTTTGAGGGAAATTGGGGTCTGGGTGGGAACGACGCGAGCTTCCTGTTCCAGAAGACCAACCAGAACTGTCTGGGCATCGTCACGCGCCCCCCGTCGTCTCAGATTCCAAGCTCTGGAGGTGGGGAGAGCATGGACTGGTACTTTCCGTGCAATGTGCGGAGTCAGTATGGGGCTGCGAGACCGAATATGACTGGGGCGACGCAAGCGACGAATTGCCATGTCTCGAGCAAGGGACAGCTGGCGACGATGAAGCCCATGGGTGCTGTCTATCTTACCTGGAGCGATGTCCGGAATACGAGTCGGAGGTTGGCTGTTTTCGAGAGGTGTGTCTTGCTGTGACTGTCACACAGAGCAATCTTTGACCCGGGAACAGCTCAGTACTCGACTTGGAACTTCTTGACTGGCTCGATCCGACGCAGATCACGGTGCCGGCGATGTTCTCTCACCTCGCTCCACAAAACGATCTTACGATGCAGCTGATGCGACTGAACGCCCGGGGTATGGGCCATTGTTTGCAAGACCTCATCACAGTCGGGTTCATCGACACGAAATCAATCGGCTGTGTAGCATCTGAGGTTCTGCTCTACCTCTCGCTGATCTTCATCGTTGGTGTTGTTCTCATCCGATTCGGGATGGCTGTTCTGTTCGGCTGGTTTGTCGCCCCGAAGATTGGCGGATTCCCTAGTGAAGGCAAGGAGGAGAGGTTGAGGAGAGCCGAAGAGATTGAGGTGTGGAGTAATGACATTTACAAACCTGCCCCGAGCGGCAGACGGCCCACTGTCGAGAAGGGCGGGCTGAGACCTTACGGCAAGAAGAAAAACAAGACGCTCATTCCTAGCACCTCGAGGTTCACAGTCACCGCCCCCAAGACACGCCCGATGACGACATACGACCAGCACGAGTACAGTTCTTCGTCTGTGGGGGCAGGCTCGTCCGCTGGTTCCTCGTCCTTCTTCCGGCCTGCGTTTTCCACCAGCCCCAGCCCGTCCACGCTGTCTCCGAACGTCATTCCCCAACCCCCACCGGACTACGAGCCGTTCAACTTCCCGCTGGTGCATACGATCTGTCTCGTGACCGCGTACTCGGAAAGTGTCGAAGGACTGCGCACGACACTCGATTCGCTCGCGACGACCGACTATCCTAACAGCCATAAACTCATCGTGATCATCGCGGATGGGATGGTCAAAGGCGCAGGGAACGAGATGACGACACCGGATATCTGTTTGCAAATGATGCGGGATTTTGTTGTTCCTCCCGACCAGGTCGAGGCCCACTCCTACGTCGCCATCGCCGACGGACACAAGCGGCACAACATGGCGAAAGTCTTCGCGGGCTGGTACGCTTATGACGATCAGACGATCGAACGTTCGAAGCAGCAGCGCTGCCCTATCCTGCTAGTCGCGAAAGTGGGCAACCCGCTCGAGGCGCGCGATGCCAAGCCGGGGAACCGCGGCAAGCGGGACTCGCAGATCGTGCTGATGTCGTTCCTGCAGAAGGTGATGTTTGACGAGCGGATGACTACGCTGGAGTACGAGCTGTTCAATGCGCTGTGGAGCGTGACGGGCGTCAGTCCGGATCGCTACGAGCTGGCGCTCTGCGTCGATGCTGATACCAAGGTGTTTCCCGATTCGGTGACGCGGATGGTCAGCTGCATGGTTTCGGATCATGAGATCATGGGTCTCTGCGGAGAGACGAAAGTGGCGAACAAGGCTGAGACGTGGGTGACCATGATGCAGGGTGCGTGTTCTTCGTTTGCTATCGTGTGTACACACCAATATCCATTTTCAGTGTTCGAGTACTACATCTCACACCACATGACCAAGGCGTTTGAATCCATGTTCGGCGGTGTGACCTGTCTTCCGGGCTGTTTCAGCATGTATAGGATCAAAGCGCCCAAAGGATCGACGGGGTTCTGGGTGCCGATCCTTGCCAACCCGGACATTGTCTCACATTACTCGGAAAACGTCGTCGACACCCTGCACAAGAAGAATCTGCTGCTGTTGGGTGAAGATCGATATCTCACGACACTGATGCTCAAGACCTTCCCGAAGCGGAAGAACATGTTCTGCCCGTCCGCGGTTTGCAAAACCGTGGTCCCCAACACTTTTGGTGTTCTGCTGTCTCAGCGGAGACGATGGATCAATTCGACGATCCACAATCTGTTTGAGTTGGTCCTGGTGCGCGATCTGTGTGGGACGTTCTGCTTCTCGATGCAGTTCGTCGTTGGGATGGAGCTTGCTGGGACGCTTGTGCTGCCGGCCGCGATCTCCTTCACGCTGTATCTTATTATCCAGTCGATCGTTCCGGGCGGGCCGAATACGACGATTCCGCTCATCCTGCTCGCGTTCGTGCTCGGGCTGCCGCTCGTTTTAATCGTGATAACGACGCGGAAAATCGCGTATGTGGGCTGGATGCTGGTTTATCTGTTCAGTCTACCGATCTGGAACGGGATTCTGCCTGCCTATGCGTTTTGGCACTTTGATGACTTTACGTGGGGTCAGACGAGGATGGTGGACGGGGAGAAGGCGGATGCAGAAGACGGGGAGAAGGAGGGCGAGTTTGATTCGACGCATATCGTCATGAAGCGGTGGGCTGAGTTTGAGAAGGAGAGACGGTGGAGGAATGGAATCGATTCAGACGAGTACAAGCGCCATTCCCTCGTGAGTGTGGATGACTCGCCCTACCAAGCCTCGTCAGGGTCCAGCCAGAGCAACCGGCCTCCGTCAAGGCAGAAACACGACAACGCGCTGTTGATGTTGCCCCCGCCCCTTGCTGTACCGAGGAGCACCACTTCCAGCGACGAGGGGAGGTCGACCCGCCGATCTCGGCGACCCCGGCATCGCGCGAGCCTGGAACCACCGCCGGCCGCTGTGCCCCGGCATCGGCGTGCGAGCATGGAAGTGCCCCTGATGAGCCCGCCGCAGGCCCCGTACGCCGCTTCTCGGCCGGGGAGCAGCACGCCGCCGCGAGACGACTCGCCATCTCCCAGCCGGGGATTCGCGGGCGTCGGCGCTGGCGGGCGACGGCATAACTGGTCCCCTAATGGACAGGCTGCCATGTACCCCGGGGCGAACTCGAATTCGAATCCGAATCCGACTCCGAGGAGGTGGTCCCGGACTTCTCCCGGGTATGATGATTGATGTTGTGTGTGTGTAACGCTGTAGATGTACTTGACTTGTGGACCCTGAAATATATACTCACTTACTTAGATGTACATGTGACTGACTTTATTACGCATACTTACGCTCTTGGATGATACTCGACGTCCTTCTCCCGGTTCTGCTTCCCATCACAGCCCTTTGATGCCGTCAGATGTCATTGATGTACATCGATCTTTACAGGTGGGGTGTGTCAGACTCTGTGCTAGCGTGGTCTGTTTTCTCCTCGATCTGTAGAGCGCCCTTCTCAATATCCGAGATAGAAGGGCCTCCTTCTGTGGCCTCGGCGACGGGCTCCACGATTTCCCGCCCGTCCTTGTCTTTGCGAATGATCTTGCGCTTGAGACTGTATTTTTTGAGGAAGAGGACTGGCGACCCCGGTCAGCCCCAGCTTTGTTTCGTTGATATTTTTGGAAGAGAGAGACTCACCGGCTATTAGGCAGATGCAGAGTACGGGGGTGATCAGGATCCAGATGGCCGAGATGCCCGCGGTGTAGGCGTGCAGCACTTGCTGCTTCATCGACTGCGGCTGGATGGTCTGGATCTGCCGCACACCCTCGGCCAAGACGCCGCCGGAGAGGTTCAGCGTCAGGCCGGGGATTTTTTTGAGTTTGTGCAGCACGACCTGATGGTACGGTGCATGGTTAGCTTCGCTTACTGTAGACGGATGAATAGGCTGTGTGTGAGAGCTTACCCCGGAGCAGAGAACCTGGCCGACAGAAACGCCGATCGTCGCACCGAGGGTTCTGTGTGCGATCAGAATGTTGGAAAATTTGGGCAGACTCGGACAGGACTCACCGGAACAATCCGAACGTCGTCGAGCTCGTGGCCATGTCCTTTTGCGGCATCGCGGCTTGCATTGCGATGAGGGGTGGGAGGAACAGGGCGCCGATGCCGAGCCCGGCGATGGTGGGGTAGATAAGCTGCAGTGCCCTGTGCCGCGGCGTGAGTACCTTGATGAGCGAGGGGAGGAAAATTTACAGGGACGATTTTTCGTTGAGCATTATCATGAGACCGTATCCGATGATCGTGACGGTCTGGGATCGGGTGTTTAAAGAGTGCGCTCAGATCAAGCTGAGACAAATCTCACATATCCAACCCACATCACGGGTCTGTCATGCGGATCAGGATTCCGTGGCAGGTGTGAATGATAAACAAACTCAGACTCGCCTGTAATCACCCATCTTGCTGACGACGTATCCCGCCAGCGCAGACGTGACAGAAGAGAGCAGCGCAAAGGGGATAATTCTGTACCAATTAGGACAGAAATGTGGGGGGGGACCTCTTGTCACTCACAAGATACCCGATTTCGTTGCAGATGCGCCGAGGATTTGGAAGTACAGCGGCAGATAAAACGCGGCTGAAAATGGTTATATTCCGGAAATAAGAAGATGGATCCTAGCATCGCATACCGCAGAAAAACGACAGCGAATGCAGAAACACCGTGAGGAAGATCAGACTGGTCGTTCGCGTCCTGAACAGCCGCGGGGGGATGATGGGCGATCGGTTCGTCAAGTTCTCGTTGACCATGCCAGCCAGAATCGCCGCGAGCCCCACAACGAGCGGTGCGATGGTGCTTGCGGTGTTCCCTGTGTGTTGGCATCAGCCGCGGGTGGAGGTTGTTGTTTTGTTCTGTGTTGTTTTGCGTACATCCTTTTTCGCTCTCGCTGAATCCGAGCAGGAGAGCGACCACGCCGCCGACGACGAGCACGAGCCCGAGGAAGTCGAACTCGCGCACGTGCTCGCGAAGCGTCTTGCCCTTGTGTGGATTGAGGTTGAGGAAGAAGAACAGCATCATTCCGGCGACACCGCCCGTCGGTCTGCGATTCGATGAGCTTCAATCTGTTGTCGTAATGGACGAGAATGGAAAATACTGACAGGTTGATCCAGAAACACCACCTCCACGACACGTGGTCGGTGAGCGCCTGGAGTGCGATCAGGATAGATGGTGGAATGGGAGTGGGGGGCTTACTCCACCGACTAAGGGACCGACCACGCTGCACGAGAGTGATGAGCGCGTGGCCCCCCGTAAAATCCACGACGGCCCTGACTTACCCTGCAACGCCCCACATCGCGCCGACGTACGACCCGTATGTACCACGTCTGATCGCGATGTGAGCGTCCAGCCATGTAATGGAAACGGAATTGGATTTACTCCTCCAGCGAAACGATGTCCCCGATGACGACCTGCACCATCTGCTGGATGCCTGGCCATATATTACGAACGTCACGGCAAGGTCCGTTCCGTAGTTTTTGGAAAACGTGACTCACCTCCGCCGCCAACGCCTTGGATGACCCTCGCTGCAATCAGCCAGGTCATGGACTTGGCCGCTCCACACAGCGCGGATCCAAACTGGCGTCCGGATCAGATGCGGGTCTTGTGAAGAAGCGCAGCCAGGGAAAAAAAAAAAACATACAAGAAAAATGGCGATGCAGGGGTATAACACGAGTTTGCGGCCAAAGATGTCGGAGAGTTTGCCGTATGCGGGGGCGAACGAGGCCGCGGCGATGAGGTATGAGCTGCGATCCATAGTCGGTTGGTTGGTTGGTTGGGATTGGATCGGGGGTGCCAGGTGGAGCAGAAGGCATCTCGGCGCACCTTCCGACCCACGAGTAGTTGTTCCCGCCCTGCAGATCAGACACTATAGTCGGCAGAGCCGTCGCGACGCTGTTCAATAGCAAGGGTGTGTGCTCAGATTCGGTTCGAGATGGCGCGGACACACGGGGACCCACATCGTTTGATCGAGGGCGGCCTAGACGGACGGATTATGGTAATCGCGGTCAGATCATCATCATCTCAGCTGCCTCCCCGGGGGCTCGGGCTTCGACGCACCAGGAACGCAGTCATCATCAGTGCGAACGAGACGAGCGGCATGTTGTTGTGCGGCAGGATGTGCTCGTCGTCCTCCTTGGCCCGTTTCTTCGCTTTTTCCTGAGGCGGAACTGCGTTGGGGGCGCTGGGCGTTGCATCCGCGTTGACGGGAGCCGATATCGCGTCGTGCTTGTGCGAATCGGAGGGCATGGCTGCGCTGGATGGGCTCTGGTCGTCGCGCACAGAGTCAGAAGAGAGAGCCAAGTGGGCGGCGGGGAAGCGAGGAGTCATCTTTCTTTCCGCGAAAAAGTTCTCCCCGGCCGCGGCAGATTTACGCTCGAGTGATAATCACCACCGGGCACGGAGGACACACTCAGCCGCTAATACTTCAGTCATGTTGATGGGCGGAGTGTCGTCACAGGACCACGTTTTTGTGTGCATGGTGCGCAGGCATCGGACAAAGAACCACGCCTTCAAGCTGCATGTATCTTGCCCGAATCCGACTCAGGGCCAAGGCCCAGGTCCGTAATCAGCGTGACGTGCATCACGTGCCCGGGCCGTCCCAGCCGCACTCGAAGCGGAAACCGTCACTGACACTTTGCGGGTGTCGTCGTCGTTTCGGGCTGAAGGTTCCATGTCATGGACAACGCATCTCACGGCGGCTGCCTGCCTCCTCGCGCTCCTCGCGCTCTACATCTACATCAATGATCGCCGGCTGACAGCCATCCCGCCAGCCGCCCTCGCCGTCTCGCCGACCCGCTGCACCGTCGAGGATGTGTGGAAGATGGACGCGCGCCTGCGCGTTGCGCCCGTGTCGAATGCGGGCCAGATCCCGCCGCGGACGGGCAGGCGCTACATCGTTGTCGGCGGCGTGCGTGGGCCTGCCGTTTTTCTCTCCTTGAACGCCGTCGGCTGAAACACGCCCTCTGTTTTCCCAGGCTGGGTTTCTCGGCGGGTGGATCGTCAGGCAGCTGCTGGACCGCGGGGAGGAGCCGCGGCGCATCCGCGTGCTGGACCTCCGCCCGCCCGCTCGCGCTGACCTGACGACGGGCCGCGGTACCGCCGTGCACTTCATGCAGGTGGACATCTCCGACGGCGACGCGGTGCGCGCGGCGTTCGCCGCGCCCTGGCCGGAGGGCGCCCCGGACGCGGGGCTCACCGTGTTCCACACCGCGGCGAACATCCGGTTCTTCGAGAAACGCCGGTCGCTGCTCCCGAACTCGGCGCGCGTCAACGTCGCGGGGACGCAGCACGTCGTCGACGCCGCGCGGGCCGCCGGCGCGGGCGTCCTCGTGTACACGTCGAGCGGATCCGTGTCGGTGAAGAGCAGCCGGTTCCTGCTCTGGCCGTGGGAGCGCGAGCCCGCGATGTTCGTGCAGGCGATCAACGAGGACGAGGCGCTGGTGCCGACACGCCACGAGCAGTTCTTCTCCAACTATGCGGCGACCAAGATCGTTGCGGAACGGCGGGTCAGGGCAGCTGACAAGACGCCATCGGGGCAGACAGTGCTGAGGACGGGGTGCCTGCGCCCGGGGAACGGCATATTCGGGCCAGGGGGCGATATGCTGTGTGGTGCGTTTAGAGTTTGCTTTGCGCACTTGCCGGATGTTCAGATTGCGTCCGTCAGGCGCCTACCTGGTGCGGCAAGTTAATCCGACATGGCTGGACTCGGTCGTCCAGAACTTCACGTACGTGGAGAACGCCGCGGTCGCCCATCTATTGTACGAGCAGCGGCTCCTGGAACTGGAGAACGGCGGACGCAACCCCGACATCGGGGGCCAAGCGTTCGTGATCGCGGATCCGGGGCGGCCCCCGACGTACGGCGACGTCTACCTCACCCTGTCTACACTGATGGACGGAGAGACGACATTTCCGTTCCTTTCGCCGACACTCATGATCCTGCTTTCAGTGAGTTCGGACCGCACAAATCTCTTCCATTCTCTGAGATAATGCCAACAGCACGCCATCGAGTGCTACTATCTCTCGCGCCCGCGCCTTGTCAGCGCCCTGCCCTTTCTGAAGCACATCCTCCCGCCGCTCGCAGGCGATCTAGTCAACCTCCAGCCCCCGCTGTTCAACCTCGTCAACGTGCATCTCGTCTTTGACGACTCGAGAGCGCGCCTCCCGCCGGAAAAAGGCGGGCTCGGGTACAAGGGCGCGTGGACGACGTTCGAGGGGCTGCACAAGACGGTCGTCGAGCACAAGCGCGGGGCGCTGCGCTCGGAGCAGCGTTCCGACGTTGCGGGGATCAGTCTGGGCTTCGGGCTGGGCAAGGCGCAGAAGGCCGTGGGCAGGATGGGGAAGAAGGTGGAGGAGACGGTCGGCGTTGACCCGGTATATGTTTTGGGCTCGACGTAGCGTAGATGATGATCGTGATGGGCCATTCGAGCGACTTGTCTTTGAATTTCTCACCACCCGTCTTTTGCTGTTTGTTTCAGAAAATCAGTCTTACTTACGCGATTGCGGGAGCACGGAAACAGTGAATCTGTCTCATGCCTCCTCCAATAAGGAGCGAATGAGACTGGAGTCCCGAAACATGCGGATAAAGTCTCGGTCAACCAAGACACGAAGTAAAGCCTGGGTATAAAGCGCCTGCAGTGCGCACTGTGCTCCCTACTCCAGCCACCATGCCGTCCAATACCAAGACAATGAAAGCCTCCTCTTCCTCCAACGTCGTCGCTGCGGCCCAGCGCACGTACGCCTCCCTCCTCACCGCCTTCGTGCGGAAAAACGTCCCCGCCTACGAGGAGAGGACGACGCGTAACCTCGAAGTAGCGGGTGGCACGCAGAGGGCCGCTCCACAAAAATACACCGCAAACCCCGCCCCACACGCGGGCCTGAGACACCGCCCGATGCGCACATCCGCCGAGGTGGACCGCATCTGCCGCGCGTACGACGAGACGTTCCGGCACCACCGCGCGCGGGGCAGCCGTCAGCCCGCACCCGCGCCCCCTCCCGCGCCGCCACCGCGCCTGAGGACGATGCACGCGCTCGTGCTCGAGGGCGACGCCGCGCTCCGCGCGACGGATGCCGATCTCCTCGCTTTGGGCGACGGCGAGTCGTTCGTCGTGTTCCGCATGCCGGACTACGCGCAGCCGGCAGAGACGTGTCGGCCGCCTGCTCTGGAGGTGTCTCCGCTCGCGAGGCTCATGCCGGATGGGTCGTATCTCGAGCCGGGGGATGGTGCGTGCTTTTGGTTTCTGCGCGCGCGGAATGTACTGTACGACAGGAGGACTGATTTTTGTGTGGCAGAGCCTGGATCTGAGGACGAGGACGGCGATTGTGAGTCGGACGATGCGCGGACGATACACGCCGGGGACTCGGATTCGGAGTGTGAGTCGGAGGACGCCGCGTCTGGTGTGCTCCTGGAGGACTTGGTTGTTGAGTGGATGTCTTGGATCCACTCATTTGCGGGCAGAAAGTGAAGGGATGCAAAGTAAATCATATGCCCGCCACTTATTCGATGTCGTTCTGTACTTGCTGCGTTCCATCGTCCTACTACCAAGTATTCAATGACCACGCCGGAGGTCACATGAAGTAATGACGTCACGCGTCGATGCGATATGATAAGATAAAGTCCGCGGGCGGACCGTTTGGACCGCAGTTGTTGCACCGCGTGTATCGCGCGTCGCTTCATCTTTATATTCCTCTCTATCACTGCTTGCCCACGCCTCCCATCTGACCACCGACCCCCATGAACGCTGTATACTACCACGGGGTACCCGCCAGTCTCTGCCCCCCGCAGGACAGCGCTGAGTGACTCGTCCGGCAGGTGCAGAACTTCGAGGTGCTCGACGCTACGCCCGTCGTGGAGATCACGGACGATGAGGTCCAGATCAAAGGTGCGTTGCCGTCCGCCCAGTCGAGTCGTCCCTCAACGTCGCGTAGTTTCTGCGTGTGGGATCTGTGGAACGGACAGGTACGTTGAATGCACCCCCGGCTTGGACACCGGAGCTCAAATTTCGCTGCCGCCTGTCAGCCATATCGCCCACGGTGCCTGTCCCTGAGAATCCTTTGATGTTCCGATAATTGACGCTTTGAAAAGGCGAATTTATCGCCAGATTTCCCGTGAGTCCCCTCCGTGACTTGGTAGGCCCCGACTCACGCGAACAGCTCATTCCGGGCCACGAAATCGTCGGCACCATCGCCAAAATCGGGAAAAACGTGTCCGGATTCGCTGTGGGAGATCGATGCGTCGTCGACCCCGGCATCACCGTCAGTAGCATCCGCCCCGAATCCGAGCGGGGTCTATCCAGTCTCTGAACCCGTTCGCAGTGCGATAAATGCTTTTTCTGCCGCCGGGGCCAGTCGCTGCTGTGCGAGAACTTCGAGAGCCTGGGTGTGACCGTGTCCGGCGGGTTCGCGGACTACGTGACTGCGTAAGTAATAGTAACAGCCGGCTCCCGCGAATCGATATCGGACACGGAACGGACAGCTGCTGATGTGATTTTGGCGGTGACAGGGCGAGCAAGAAGGTGTACAAGATACAGAATCTATCGGACGAGGAGGCCACCCTCGTCGAGCCGGCCGCCTGCGCGCTGCACGGCGCGGACAAGCTGAACCTCCCCGTCGGCTCCGACGTGCTCATCCTCGGCTCTGGGCCGACCGGCCTGATCCTCGCCCAGATCCTCAAGCTCAACGGCGCGGCCAAGGTTCGTTTGAGGCGTCTGTCTGTCTGTCTGCTCCTCTGCTCGAGACTGACGACGGACCCGCGCGCCAGGTCGTTATCGCCGCCAACAAGGGCATCAAGACGCAGATCGCACGCGACCTCGGCGCCGCGGATGTGTACTACGAGATCGACCGGGCCGCGCCGGAGCAGACGTGGGCGCGGCTCAAGCAGGATTTTCCGTACGGATTCGACGCGGTGGTCAGTCTCCACGGACGTGTGCCAGTGACCAGTGACCCACCACCCGTGTTTCGTCCAGGTCGAGGCGACGGGCTCGGAGAAGGTCGCGAACGACAGCATCAACTACGTGCGCCGCGGCGGGACGCTCATGGTCTACGGCGTGTACTCGAACGACGCGCGCGTGCACTGGCCGCCGTCCAAGATCTTCGGGGACGAAATCAAGGCGCGTGGTGGTTGCGATGATCCGAGTGAGCAGGAGCATTGACTCGGAGACCCACCCCCCGCCAGATCATCGGCTCCTTCGCGCAGACGTTCTGCTTCCCCCGCGCCGTGGCGTATTTGGAGAGCGGCAAGATCAGCGTCAAGGGCATGGTGAGCGGAGCAACATCGATCATCCATGTTCACGCCGGGTGACACGGCCCTCCAACCAGGTAACGGATGTCTTCGCCATCAAGGACTTCCAGAAAGCGCTGGACAAGCTCGAGAGCAAGTCCGCCCTCAAAGTCGCCGTGAAGCCCACGCTGTGATCGCCAACCAAGCTGCGCGAGTGTGCGATCCCCGCACCGCATGTATACTCGTTGTATTTCAGAAAGCATTGTCGATACACACCACGTCAATAATTACTAGGCTACACATTATAGATACAAGCGCAAGCACACGCGCAAAAAGGCCCTATCGGTCGGCATCACCATTTGCCGGGCGACCGGGCGGCGGACCACACCGCGGAACCGCCCCCAGTCCTCGATCGCGCAGGCTCAAACGGCGCTGCACGGCTAGACAAGGTCGACGCAGCCGTCACCGACGGCGCCGCGGTCTCAGCGAACATGGACTTGAGCGACGAACGTCGCTGTGGGGCCTGCGCCATCATCCGCGGGGCCGGCTGGTGCCGAGGAGCGGTGGACCATTGCGGGAAGCTCGAGCTGGGGGCTGGCTGGCCTGGCCGCTGGATTGGTATAGGGGACGGCCGCGTCAGGATGCCTGGGACCTGCTGCTGCTGCTGTCGTGTCCACTGGAGGTTGTATGCGTTTAGCTGATCGGCTTCGTCCAGGGCGTCCGCGGTGTCTTGGGAATACGGGTACGCGAGTGGATCGGACTCGAGATGCTGGATTTCCAGTTCGATATCCCTCAGCTGATCCTCGAGATCGGGGATGACCGTCCCTTCGAGCTTGTCCCGTTTCACTTGGACCTTGTCCATCTTGTGGCTCAGCATCGTCAGCTCGCCCTTCATGCCGTCTTGTCTCCTTCGCTCCAGCTCAGCCTTGCGCTCGCACTCTCGGCGCGCCTTGTCCGCGTCCTCTTTCAGCCGGGCATACACCGCCTCCTTCTCGGCGCGCTGGGTCCGCAAGTCCGGCAGCTCGGTCTCGAGCTCGCGCACCAGCTCCTCCATCTCCCGTGTCGAAGCCTGCGCGCGCTTCGCCGCCTCCTGCAGCGCAAGCACCTTCTGGCGCGCACGGTGCTCCGCGGCGGCGTTCTTCTCCGACGCGCGCTTCAGGATCTCGATCTCCGAGCGCAGCGCAGCGTCCACCTTCTGTGCATCCCGCCGTGCGGCCTTGAGAGACACCGCCAACGAGTCGCGCTCGGTCGACATCAGCGTCAGCGTGTGCTGCAGCTGGCTCCGCCGATCCTCGAGCGTGAACTGCGGCCGCGGCGCTGCGAGGGGCGGTGTTGTTGAGGCGGTGCCGGGCGACGAGGACGGCGTCGGCAGTGGAGACTCGCTGCTTGAGTCAGATTCACTCTTTGAGTGATCCCCGTCTGAGGAACCGTCAGTTTCAAAGAAAGAAAGAAAAAACTGAGAAGAAAGAAGGAAAAAAGTCAACTCACCATCAGTGACAACCTGTCTTCGAATATTGTTGCTCTGCCCGCCTTGCACGAGCCCGAGGTCGATGTCGTACTTCTTGCCCGGCATGAGGCCGTATATGATAATGACCGCCTCGTCAATCTTCTCGTCAATGCGGATGTAGACGCCTTTCCAGACGGTGCCGTTAACATTCACTGAAAGGCCCTTCGCCAGCGCCTCCGAGATGATAGACGTCTTCTTCGGCTCGCCTGACCCCGAGTCGTCCGTTTCGTCGTCCTCCCGCTCGTCCTCTTCATTCTCGTCCTCCGCCGCGAGACCCAGCGAGGCTAGGAACGGGTCCGCATCGTCCGGCCCAAAACGCGCGCTCGAAAATGTGGACGAGAGGATGAACGTGGCGGACACGGACGTGATCTCGCGCACGTAGAGCGACAGTGGTGGCTTTCCGGGGCGGATGGCGTGCCACTCGGAAAGCCCGAGCGCATCCATGAACGCGACATCGACATCGGGTGCCATGAGCGAGTGAGCCAAGAACATCACTATTTATACATATTTTCTCATATATCCATTGGGAGGTGGCGGTGCTCAGCTCGGAAGCGAGCGCCGAGTTTTCGTGCGTCATCAATGCAGATCCTGACCAGTTGGGAAGAGGGGATATGTAAGGGTATACCATTGCCTGATCGGTAGTAAAAGTGAACACAGCACACCGAAACCTGGCCCTCAATGAGGACTGCCCAGGGCAGACACCTACGCAAGACCGAAGCAGCTGACTAAGGAGGTTAATCGATAGGCAACACGTCGGCGGAATCTGAGGGCATCAGATGAGAATATCGTCGCTGTAACCAGCTTCGGGCCGCGCCCCATGCAAGGACCTCATGAGAGATGCTGATAATGATTTCATAGAGCAGTAATTGAAGCCGAGGACATATGTACAGTACGTACTACGTGGTCTACTAACCGAGCAGAGGCCCGACGCGCAAAGGCTGCCGCAGTTCAAAAATCACGGCGGGGGGTATCTCCTTCTGGTTCCAGTAGATCATGCCGTGCCGGATCCAGTGACCATATGTCCCAGGAATGTCATCGCTTCCGGTATTCTGCTTCCACAGAGTGCCCAAAGTCTCACCCATCATGCGCTGGATGATGCCCGTGGCGAGCTTGACCGCGAAGCTGCGGCCCAGGACGCCCTCGACGATTTCCCTCGCCTGCTTCTGCTTCGCGCTCTCCTCCTCGCCCGCACCGGGCATTTGCAGACTCATGAGCTCGAACGCGAGATGCCCGTCCCATGCGGTGTATTGATTGATGAGCTGGGCGCCGACCATGAAGTCGATGCAGTACACGTGGTCTTGCGCGTACCGGGGACCGTCCCATCCCCCCGCCTCGTCAACTAATCCGAGCACTGCAGTGATCACCTGGCCCTGGATGATGTAGTCCGTCAGCATCCTGCTGCACTCCTCCGGGCCGTAGGTGATCCCGTTCTCTTCGAAGCTTAGACTTCCGTCGGCGCCGAGCATGGGTACCCCCGCAAGCAGAGGATGGCAGTACAGCCCCTCGGTGTCGGTTCTCCCCTCCCAGAGCTTCAAGAGGAGCCGGTGGCAGCGCTCGAAGTACGGGTTCCCGGGCAGAGATCCCAGGAAGTAGTTCGTCAGTCCGCGCGCGCCCGAGCCGAAGTCGTACGAGAGAACCTCCCAGGGAGACTCCGCGTTGCCGATCGTCTCCATCCACAGCCGGTCTAGGTCCCCGATCTGCATCATCCCCACATCCGCGTAGACCCCGCCATGCGTGACGAGCAGGGGAAAGCGCACAAGGTCGGAGTTGTGCTGGATCGCGTACGTCCCCGAGAGGGTGCGCTCGCGGAACGCCTGCGGGAAGACCGCTGGATCGGTCACGTCGAGGTAGTGCTTCACGTGGGTCGGGGAGTCTTCGGCGAGATCGACGACGCGCGCAACCCAGCCGGCGCGTGAGAAGCGGCGATGCCATGCGCGGACAGTGCGTTTGTGGTGGGGAGGCATGGTCGCGAAACCGCTGTGCCAGAAGAACCATATGTTCTTGGTGTGTGTGACGGGCTGCGGGTTGAGCAGGGCGTGGTCTATATCAGCGTCTGAGCGAAGGTCGAGGTGTGAGGGGTCGATTGCGTAGAGGCCGTCCGGGATGGGATAGTTCTGGGGGTTGGGCATGATGGTGGGCAGTGAAAGTGCGTGAACTAGGCGGCTTATCCTTGACTCCAGTTGAAAAAGGTGAGAGAGCGGTACCGAATATCTATGAGAGTCAGAGTGATACGACGATCGATAAAGAAGGCTTGAGCGCTGAGTAACGCTCAGTTGCAAGGGTAAGTGGTGGCTGGCACAAAACTTATCTAGATTTATCTGTTGCAATACGAGTCAGATTAGCGCTTAGCGCGCTAATCCGGCGGGAAATCTGTTCCCCTTACAGCCACGGCGTACCGACGAATGTTCATCACGATCACCTGACGCGTGAACTGCTTGGCCTGATAACTGCAGGTTGCGCAATGTTTTTATGAACATACATACTCTGGAATCGTCAGACAGGTTGCAAGAGCAAGCAATTATGAAACCGGTAGACTCGACCGGTCAATTCTGTGGCGACTGGCTGAATGTCGGCGTGTTGCTTCGCCCGATCGCGTGTGCGTACGGAGGTAGAACTAGTGTCCACGGAGGTTTTAAAGTTTTGACGCCGGGGTCAGCAGATTCATGAAGTTGCTTCTTCGTTGTGCACGGACTCGGAGACGCCCTACTTTGGCTGGAAAGTCAGCTCGGTTGTCCGGATCGGACACTCAATTTTTTGCCGAGTACCCCATGTCACTCATCGAAGCCGTCACGCCTCGCGTCTCTTCACCGCCACTCCGAACAGCGATCTTCTCCGTTATGATCTCAGCCCGCAGGTGCTCGACGACGACTCTTCTCGCATGCTGCGCAGAGCCGCGAACCTGGTGAGCCCGCCCTCCCTCGAGCCTGGGGATGCTGGCTCGGCGCGTCGTCTCGGACGCAAGATCAGACGAAGTCTTCGCCGTATCACACGTTCGAAGTCCCCAGCAAACAGCTCCCATGCGCGAAACGGACGGTCACCCTCGAGTACAGACGACACGATTCCTCAGGTACTGCAAGAGGGAGTGATGCTGACGAAGATTTCTGCGAAGAAGCAGAGAACAATGCTCTTCCGCTTGGATCCCACACGCGGGCAACTGATTTGGGAGTCCAAAGTCACGAAATACAGTACGTCTAGGGCCTCCTTCATGGTCCGATCTCTCACGTCCCAAGTCAAGTCTCGATTGACGCTATCCGCTACGTTCGCGCCGGCCCAGAAACCAAACTATACCGCGACTCGTTACAAGTGTCGGATCCCGATTGCGAAGACCGTTGGATAACGCTCATTTATATGATCAACTCCACCAACAAGACAATGCACCTTCTTGCGCCGACCAAGGACATCATGGATATGTGGCTCGCAGGACTGCGCAAGGTCCACCTCCTCCAGACAGAGTTGATGAGCGGCCTGACGCAAGGGGAACTACTGGAAGTGGTGTGGGAGAGGCATTACTGGAACGGGAAGGGATTCACCTTCGACGATGTCGTGCGTCTGTGTGCTCGATTGAATGGGGGATGGAACGAGGAAGAGGTGCAACGATTGTTCCAAGTTCGTACCTCTCTCCGACACGACGCATATCCCCCTTCTCATCGTCTCGTAGCTTTCCGACTCGAGTTCACGTGGACTACTTGACATTGACGACTTTAGTCGGTTCGCCAAGCTGCTCAAAGCGCGACCTGATATCGCACGAATCTATAAGCGATTGGTCGGTGCCCGCCCGTGCTTCGACTTGGGGGTCTTCACAGAGTTTATGGGGGTCCAGCACGACGTTCGTCCAGTTAATGTATCATATCCGTGTACTGACTCTCTTACAGTCTCGACTGAGCCCTCTGCCATTAGAGGCTCTTTTCGAGGCTTACGCGGACAAGTCTATCTTGTCCGTTCCATGCATCTCGTTAGAATCTTTCTCCGCCTTTCTCTTATCGGCAGATAACTCGTGCTTCGCCGATGAGCCAGAGAAAGCACAGGAAAGCAAGTCTTCCCACCACCATCACCACCACCATCATCAACCGCCTCCGAACACACTGGGCCTCATGGTCGAGTCAGAGCCGTACGACGGAATCTCCGGGACCGGGACATCCCACGAGATGACGCGGCCGCTTCCCGAATACTTTATCTCGTCTTCCCACAACACTTATCTTCTCGGCCATCAGCTGGTCGGGCAGAGCACCATCGAAGGCTATGTGCGAGCCCTTCAGGCAGGATGCCGATCTGTCGAGTGTTAGTTTGTTAGGCGTCTGTCTCTCATGGATCTATTGTTCTGATTAGGCAACAGTGGACATCTTTCCAGGAACCCCATCTCCGGTTGTGACGCATGGCAACACTCTCACGACCAAGATACCATTACAGTTGGTCTGTGAAGCCATCAACCAACACGCGTTCGAGACGTCACCCTATCCCGTAATCATCTCTGCGGAGATCCACTGCCCGGTCGCTCAGCAGGAGATGATCGCACAGATCATGTCGGATGTGTTTGGGGATAAGCTGGTGCAAGCATCCATCGATTCTCGGCCCACCTTCGATGAGCTGCCCAGTCCGCACGATTTGCGGGGGCGCATCCTAGTGAAGACGAAGAACATCTACATCTCGCGTGATGATCCGCTCGGGATAGATCTGCCCCGGGATGTCAGCTACACTTCGGCTGATTCCACGGCGGATGATTCAGAGCTGAATGGGAACGAATCTGGTCAGTGATAACTCGCAATATGTCAGTCACTTGCTCAACCTTTCCAGATAACAAGCGGGAGTCGCGTTTCTTCCGCAAAGCCAGTGACGCAATTCAACGTGTCCGGAGTTCGAGTCGAGGACAAACATCCCGCAGAGAGTCCTCCCCGTCTTCCAGCCACTCCGACAGCAAGCCAAAGATGTCGCAGGCCCTGCTCGATTTGCTGGTATATACGGTCGGCGTCAAGTACCGCGGGATCAATAAGAAAGAGGCGTATGCGCCGCAGCACATGTTCTCTCTCTCGGAGAACGCGGCCTCGCGCATGGTCCGCTCATCAGCCGTACTCGACCTCATCAAGCACACCCGCACGCATCTGGTGCGGATATATCCGAAAGGGATGCGAGTCAACTCGTCCAACTGTCTCCCGCATCACTTCTGGAGCTCTGGTGCACAGCTCGTCGCGTTGAACAGACAGACTGTGGGTTCGTATTCTGTCCGATCTCTCGCACGCGATCTGACACAAACGTTTAGATCTTGGATCGCTGATCAACCACGCGATGTTCGCCCGCAATGGGGGTCTCGGATACGTGCTGAAGCCACGAGCACTGCGCCTGCCAAATCAGAAAGAGCTGCTCAATCAGAAGACCGAGTATGTGCTGGAAGTCACCGTCGTGTCCGCCCAGCAGCTTGCGCCGCCCAAAGACTCTGCGTCGGACCTCTCCGTCGAAGTCTCGTTGCATCTTCCAGACTGGACAGGGTTTCAGACCCAGCGAGGCTCCGCGCCGCCCTCCGCCGCCTCGAATCCAACCTCCATAACAATGCGCACCTCCTCCTGCAAGCGAAACGCCTTCAACCCTGTGTGGGAGGAGAAGCTCCTGCTGCCATTCAGCTGCAGGGGGGATATGACGGAGCTTGTGTTTGTGCGCTTTGCGGTCAAGCAGGACGGAAACAAGGACGACGACGACCCATTCGCGCAGTACTGCACTTCCTTGGCCTGTTTGCAACAAGGTACGCCCGTATTTTTTCTTCTTTGCAGTGACAGAAGACTGAGTGATGACTGGCCAGGGTACCGCCATATCCCGTTGCACGACACGCAGCTCTCCCAGTTTCTGTTTTCTACTCTGTTTGTCAAAGTCCGTTTGCGGCGGTTGTGATGTGTTGCAGCTGCGTCGTGTTTATGCTTATACTTTCAATTTTCGGGTCGTTCATCCGTTTATGTCGTCCAACAGCTTGTATAATTCATGATGATCATTGATTTCTTCCTTGGCGGCTTGAATTTTAGGGTATCTGTCGGCTTGATTCTTCAATGCGCTTTCGCTCAGCTCATAATCACCGTGAACTGAGTTCGATCTCAATGTTCGACTTTTGCTGGTCGTTTGATCATCACCCAAGACGAGGATCAATCAGTGGTTGTATAAGCTGATGAACGACTCGTATATGGACGGATGGACGGATGAACGGATGAACGACTTCGAATTGAGCAGCTCTAGTGGAGTGGAGCATCAATTCTAGCGATGGGGCTCCAAATTAACTGAGAATCTGTAGAAACTGCCTTGACACTTCAAATTCTAGATCGTTTAATATTCTGATCTCTGTGCCCACGATCTGAGTCGGCTGCTTGCAGCTTACTTCAAGGAATCACCCTCACTTCAGAAATTGCTCCACATTGGACAGATAGATTCTGGTCTAAGAGACATGCACCCGAAATCTCATTCTTGAGATAAGCGGTGATCTACAGTAAGTGGACAAAATGATTGACTGATCAGTTTTTTGATTGTCCTGGCTCACAGAGCTGATTTTGCCCAAGGGTCAATTGGAATGAAATGCACCTTAAGAGTATTAGTTTCCATGTGTAGAATATCTAGAACTCCAGATTACAGTGTAGTAAGTGAAAATCTTGTCCATGTTCAAATGTGCCCACCCTTGCCTGGAATCCTCCTTGCCTGATGGCAGTGGGTGCTGACCTTCCACTATATGTTTGAGAGAGTCCTACATGTGCTAGATGACATTGAAATCAGGACTCAAGGCTGGCCACAGAAGCAAAATGTTGTCTTTATTGTAAAACCAGTCATTGATAATTGGTAGTATATCTCTACAAATAATTTTGCAACAACTTCAGGGGTTCAGTGGACTATTCTACAGGCCCAAGGCTACATTTTGTTCTTAGAGACCCTAGGATGATATGAGCTCTAAGAGCCTGGAAAGCCCATTTTTAATCAAAGAGAACTGATCAGTCAATCATTTTGTCCACTTACTGTATCTCTGGCGGCATCACCATCACATCGCTAAACAGTCTTCTCCGCTACATAGGGGATCGCCTTGTTCTCCTTCTTCCAGAGTTCTGCTTGCTCGCTACCAAGTGGGGGAGGAGCCATGCCGTTGAGGTGCCACAGATGGGCCTGGACAAGCGATCAGCATAGCGCTAGCGAGTGGCCAAAGACACGGCTCACATCGCACTCTTGGACTCCGATCTCCCAATCGACACCGCGCCCAGCGGTGTAGGGCTTGATGATATCCTGGTACCTCGCTATTAAATCACGCTTGCTGGCGACTCTGATGGAGCGCATGGTGAGTTGAGCCGATGCCTGCGGTGTCAAATTCGACGATCAACGCACCCGGCTTCTCCAACGGGGAATTTCCCCGCTAGATGTTCGACTTGGATGCGGACCATGTTGTCGGCGCGCTTGGTCTCGGCGCCGACGAAAAAGTTGCCCTGCTCGAGCTCGATGAAAGCCACGACGACGTAGAACTCCGGGAGGGAGATCGGCGGGGCTGCGTAGAGCGCAGTGATACCCTTGGCGAGTGCCGCTTTCTCGGCGTCCGAATAGAGTCCTTTGGGAGTGTAGAATTGGTGGAAAGGCATTGATGCTTGATTCTTGGTCTGGATCGCTGTGAGGCAGTTGAGTTGTGCAAAACCAGACAATCAGCTCGTCTTATATATGTACATACTCGCAAAATGTCACGTAAGTCCCCGAAGACTTGCTGACCAACGAATCTCTACTGTGATAACTGCCTCGCATGACGCCTTCTTGAACTCCACGCCACGGGGTCGTATTCGTCCGATATTTTTGTCGCAGTGGCATCTCCATTTGCTGGTGGTCCTTCGCAAGTATCGCGCGGGACTGAGTTGGCATTGACTTTGGATTATCCATCGAGACGCTTGTACCTCGTCGGTACCAGCTCCAGTCGCATTGAACCTCCGTGTTCCGCCAACGCTCGATGCCCGCGCTGATGGGTCCGAGTCTGCATAGCACGTGATCGCGACCGGAATCAGATCCGAGTATATACAGTAAGTGTGTGAATGCGATCCCGCCTGATGGCAACATTCACACTCTGATGGCATTTTCGTACTGTGATCGCTAATCCCACTGCAAGCTACTGCACGATCCACGTCTCCGATCTTGCTGCTTAGCTCCACTCACATGTCGTCCCGCTGTTCAGGCGCCCGTCCCCAGCCGCGGCCGGACCTCTCGCCCGCAGGTCCCCGCCAATCACCGACGTCAGACGTCAATCAATATGGCACATTTGTGACACTACGCGTCGAGATCGGGACTGAGTTACTGAGCAGTAGGCTCATGGTCAGACAGCCATTTTAACGCTGCGAGCATGAATAAATACATGATTTATATATTGAAAACCATCAGGCCGCACAAAAAAAATAGAGTGAACAATCTGCTACCGACTTTTACTCCTTCCTTGGTCTCTTCCCGGTCGTTTCACCAATCACATTGTCTTTTGAGCGTCTTCTGGTCTTGCGGGTGCGACTGGAACACCGCAGAGGGTGTTCATTTGTCTCCACCACAGTTGAGATGTGTGTGCCACCATGAGAACCTGAGATCTCATGTTCGACATTGAGGACCGGCGGTTCGGCAATGAGGACCGGCGGCTCGACATTGAGGACCGGCGGCGGTAAGGTTAGACCATCACCTAAAAATTCCGTACTGTCCCTCCCTGCAGAATATTCCGTTGCCTCCAGATGAGCGGGGATGTTGCTGAGAAACATCTCCCATTCTTCCGCCGAATATTCGGGGAATTCTGAGTTGGGATCGGCGGTGGGAAGGGGCTGTTTTGTGCATGAATTGAAAGTTGGATTTAACCAAAAACTAACGAAGCCACTTACCATTTCCCCTGTGCTGTAAAACGGGGGATAATTGGACGTGTTTGGCAATGGAGTATTCTCAATTACATCTGCAGATGGCTCAACGGTAATAAATACAGAAATATAGAAATGGTTCGACTCACAGTTAGGTCGTTCAAATGCACCGACACTGACGTCAGCGTCCTCCATCCAGACGCTCTCGTCCCACTGATGGTCGTTTGAATCGCCGAATCCAATGCCAGACCAAGGGTTGGACTGCCATTGATCTTTAGCTTGTGTCGGATCCGCCCACTGGTTTTTCAAATGAACGTTGTTCGAGAAAGACGCTGGAGCTGCCGTTAATCCAAGAAATAATGATGCTGGTGAGAACATACGTTTTGGAGGCAAGCTGAATTCCGATAAGCCCTCCCTGCCCTCGGAGTTGGAACCGTTGGCGCTCGGGGCGAGATCTATGGCCGCTGGTTGAAGATAAAATTCAGATAGAATGTAAAAAATGAAATAAGGACACACCATGCATGCCGCTTGTGCTAGGCTGGGATGGAGACTCGCAAATCGCAAGTGCTAGATCATTGGAAATGAGACTCTGCAGCAAGAAAGATGGCAGTCAGACGCACCAGGTGTAGAAGTCTTTGAACGGGCAGGAATTTGTTTGCAAGCCAGTGGTCCCGCACGAAGCTCCTGGAGATTGGCATCAATCTCTGCCCGACGAATTTTCCATGCTCGCCGAGTTTCCATCTCAGCCTTCTCCTCTGCGCGGAGCTGCTTCAGCCTGTGCGAGACATGCTCGCTACGCCGATCTTCTTGGAGAAGCTTGTTACACTGTTGAATTTCGGCCTTGATGCCCTTCGAGCGCTCAAGCGAGGCATTGTTCTCGGATTTGCCCTCCTCAAGCTCGTTCTGAAGCGACTGAAAGTCTTGGATGTGCATGTTGCGTTCGTCAGTCACTCGCTTCTGCCACATCGCCCGCTGGACAGAGTTTACTTCGCGGTGATAGGTGTCGTTACCGCGTTTGTGCAGCACCCCACTGAGCTCCATCTGGCAAAGATTTGCTGCATGGATGTTGTCGCGAGCTTGGGCACTAAAATAACGACATGAATGCACATGTCGAGAGAAAAGGATCATTCACTCAAGAATTGCATCCAGTAATCCAACATGAATCTCCGTCTCGGCGTTACGTGCTGCATGGGATGACTCTGCAAGGTTGGAGTGGTTCGGAATTGTCTTGTAGTCCTCGAAAGAGATCCAAGAGAGAACTTGATTAAGAGATGGGAAAATCCAACGATTGTTGAGTTTGTGTTTGAGCCAGTCTGTAAGATATTAGACAAGTCCGGATATGCGATGGTTGAGTAATATCGCACTATTGGCCGCGGGGAAGGGCTCCACAAGGTCAGGCATCTCTGAGATCCATTCGTCGATTTTCATTTGCGAGTCCAGGTAGGGGAATTCCCGGATCCGGTCGATAACGTGCCGCGGAACATCTTTCGCCGCAAGCTCCTTTGCATGACTGCCAAGGAGTTATGATTTACGCCCATATTCGATAAAAAATTGAACTTACCGATCAAAATGAACGACACATGTCTTGAGACAGTATGAGAGCAATTCGATCGGATCACAAGAATCGATGCCGCTGATTGACGGAACATTGTAAGTCTTCAAAAACTCCCCAAGTCCAAGAGCCTGGGCAGCCTCTCCATCCAGAATAATTGCCCGACAGGTCGCCTCTGGATAGAATGGCGCGAGCTTGAAGGTCTGGCCCCCTAGACGCTTGATTGTATCAAATAACTCCGTCCAAAGTTGTACATAGGCTTCGGTGGTCTTTGTATCGCAGAAAAAACTTCCGAATGTATATCCTTCAATGACAGTGATCAAAACAATTCATTTGGATAGCGCAAAAGAGACACACTCTTTTGAACCGAATCCAGAAACCCAGTGATCTCCCACTCATCCATCTTCTCCGAGGCACGCACACGTGAGAATGTAAAATCGATTACTAGATATCGGACCTGATGGATGTGCATGGCAAACTCGGGATGCATAGTCACAACCAATCAAAACCCTCCCTTGTCAATCACAGCCTGAATGTAACGATTTGCCGGAAGTAAATCGCGTCTTAGAGAGTGATAATGAACGAGACCTGCTGGATGCGTTAGTGTGATCCAACATGTAAAATTTACACACCTTCCCAACCGGTACCGTATCTGAATTCCTGCTTCTTGTAAGACTTGATTTCGTGGCGAACATTGCGCATATTCAAGAGAGCAGTGCTGGATTCTCCCAGGGCAGCGGTACCAAATGCATCGGTCAGGACATTAGCTTCGGAGCTAAATCAGTAAGCGATTTCAGCACTGGAGATTTGACTCACATTTGAGGAGTTTGCTCGCTGTCAATCCTCGAACACCAATAGTGTTGATCGCAGCTGAGAGGCGTTGTTTTTCTGACGATCCCATTTTTGAGACTGGCCAAGCTGGATGGTTATGTGGGCTCAAAAAATAAATGATTGCCTTGTAACCCAGCTGCGCCTCCGGATGCTTTCGCTGCTCGTCCGTGGTCGGGACAAGAATGATCATCTTGGCGTCACATTTCCGTCGAACCATTGGGGAGCGGAAGATGGTGCCATTGATGATGTGACTGTATACTGCAAGAACTTCAATTCTGAAAATCGCAGAGGAAAAAAAAGACGAACCACAGGTCTTGGTTCCAAAGCGTGGGTTGGAAGTGAAAGAACAAAGATTGTTGACTACAGTGACATTGGGCAGTTGACCGTCATTCTCGAGCGCATGTTTGATAAGCTCAAACTCGACGTTATCGGGAAGCATGTAGTAGCGGTGCTGATTCCGCTCCGTCGATTGGAATTTGGAGCAGCCAATAAAGTGTGTGTGACCCTTGATAGTACGGCCCTGTCATGTGACACAATGTTGAGAATCATTGCAACAACGCCGAATTAAACTCACTCCGGAGAATTTGATCAGCTTTGGATTTCCATCACAGGAAATCTTGCATTTGGACTCGATGGCATGGCGGTAGCAACTGTAGGCACAATCAGAATGATCAGGACATGACACACTAGCAGTTTGCGCACCGGGCAACTCCAGCCATGTAAGACGAAGCCTCGTTTGCGTTGGCCTGCATCTGAGGTGCCCATAATGCATGGCTCTCACTCGGATCCGCCGAAAACCGCCGGTAGTCATCTGAGAGCAGGCTCGGATCCAGACGAGAGCACATGTCGAGTCCATTGCAATGCATAGTGATGCGACGGCATCGGACAGTCTCCTCGGAGTGGGGAAGGAGCTGGGACACCGACACATCCCCTGTAGCTGACGCATGACCACCAGACTTTGTGTCCCAGGAGTCCTGGTCCTAGGAAAAGATTAAGAAACAAGATCAGGCCGATTCAACAAAGCTTACCTCCTTCCTAATGAGAGGCCCCAGCGGTTTGAGAGTCCCATCTTCGTTCTTCAAGAGAGCGCGGTCGGCCTCTGTCACAGCATGGAAGAGATATGCAGTCGATTTCGGCGGGTTGGGGATATCCCAGGTCCTTGGAAGGACAGAGATAGGGACGAGGTGGTTGACTGATTGATGGCTGGTGATACGAACACCTTCGACTCTCGACTTCCCCTTGAACTGACCACTACGCTTGGAAGTCACCGAAACTAAGAAGCGAATCAGAAATTTATCAAACTATGACGCATATAAGAGTCAATCAAACACGCACCTTCATCAGGCTCAGAAATCTTCGCAATATCAGGATCTACTGGATGAGGATTATTGTTAAATGAACCGAATACAAGTCGGTTCTAACTCACCGAAACTTTCTGAGGGAGCCATAGACAGAGAACTCTGAGGTCGGGATTTGTAATTGCCATCATAGAAGGATGAAGTCGAATGGATGGACATGGAGGACGCAGGTCGAGAGGCGGGGACCAGAGACCCTCGGCTTCCAGCTGTAGAGTTGAGATCACAGAAAGAGGATGCCGGCGAAGTTGGGACAGCGGACTCAGAGTCATGAGTCTGGAGCGTATCTACGCCGGATTCTTGAGCATAGCAGCGAAGAAATACCCCGAACGTTCCAGGGTTGATCCACTCTTCAAGACTATCGACGTCAAAGAATGGATGGTCGCGGTACATAGGTCCAAGGATCTACTCAGAGTTAATGCAACAGTAAAGCGATAATAAAGGACAACAGGGCGCACCTCTGTCCGATACCGATCAATCTGATCCATCGTTGCAGACGCCGGATCCACCGCATCTGCTCCACCCGAGTTGCTATTGAGCAGAAAGGTCTGGTAGCCAATTGAAGTCATCCACTGAGTCGCAGTGCGGAGATTGAGAAACGGGTCATGTGAGCGATCCGACAGGGCCGAAGGAAAAGCCTTAGATGTGTTAATACAACCGGCCAGGATCTCTATGTGACTTACCCAGGCACGGTATCGCTTCAACTCTCCGATAGAGAGCGTTGCTGCTTCTTCAAACATAGAGCCTGTGGATTGAAAATGCGACAGGAGATGTGACAAATAAGGGGGCAAAGAAAGTGTGGACGTCTCAAAAACTTAGAATCAGGATTTATATAATATTGGGCAGCCTAAACTAGCTGAACCCTCTGCCCAGGGCCACATGTATTGGTCAATTTCACCTTGGAAAAAAGGAGTAGAGTCATCCAGATAGGCAATAACTTGCTATCGTTGTGCTGCGATCAACATGAGGCAATTACATGTAGATTACGCGTAGATTATGACATGCTAGTGACCTGATTGATGCCACCCAATGAGTCCGGCACTTTAATGTCAATAAATGAATCGCTACAATTGTGTTGGCTTACCTCGCCCAGGCAAAGGACGGAGCAGGATTTCATCATCACTGTACTATCTCACGGAGCAGAAGCCATTGACAGATAGATGTCAATTGCGACATGACATGGGCGTGATTGATCTAATATTTACCGAGCATCAAGGCCGCAGATCTCAGTGTGATTTCCGACATCGAGTGTGATTTTGAACATCACAGTGTGAATATTACCATCATAGTGTGATTCCTCGAATTGCATTAACACACTTTTCGTCATTGCTCATCAGATCCTTTTGAAGGAATGCTAGATCCATCTTGCTTTCGTTTACATTGATGGACACTGCAAACGCGGATTCCACTTCGGAGACAGTATGAGCTGCCCGAACACGTTAGTGGTTGCGTCAAATCCCTACTCGCACGGGAATTAACGGCTGGATCTTTGCGATTGGTTCGAAATTGAGTTTGGTCTCCAGAGCTCAGGCTAGATGCCCGAGCCCGAGCCCGAGTCTATGCTTCTGGGACTGTAATTCTCGAGTCGTTCATCCGTTCATGTCGTCCATCAGCTTATATAATTCATGGTGGTTGTTGATTTCTTCCTTGGTAGCTTTGAGCTTTGGCGGTCATAAGGACGCGTCTGAAGAAGTGTAATACTGTGTGAGAGCTGAATTTTTGGGTATCTGTTGGCTTGATTCTTTAATGTGATTCCCTTTGGCTCATAATTACCTTGGACTGAGTCTGATCTCAATGTTCGACTTTTGCTGGTCTTTTGATCATCACCCAAGACGGGGATCAATCAGCGGTTGTATAAGCTGATGAACGACTCGGATATGGACGGATGAACGGATGAACGGATGTACGACTCGGAATTGAGCTGCCCTAGTGGAGCATCAATTCTAGCGATGGGTTCCAAATTGACTGAAGATTTGTAGAAACTGCCTTGAAACGTCAAATTCTAGACCTTCGGATATACTCTACTCTCTGTGCCCACGTTCCGAGTCGACTGCTTACTTCGAGGAATAACCCTCGCTTCAAAGATTGTTCCACATTGGACGGATAATAGATGCTGGTCTAAGAGACATGCATTCGAGATCTCAGTCATACGATAAGCGGTGATCTATCTCTGGGGCATCGCAACGCTAAACTATATTCTACGCTACGTAAGGGACCGCCTTGTTCTCTTTCTTCCAGAGTTTCTCTTGCTCGCTCTCAGGTGGGGGAGGAGCCATGCCGTTGAGGTGCCACAGTTGGGGCTGGACAAGCGATCAGTATCGCGAGCGAGTGGGCAAAGAGATGGCTTACATCGGAGTCTTGGATCCCGATCTCCCAGTCGACACCGCGCCCGGCCGTATAGCGCTTGAGCGTTCCCTCGTACCTCGCCATGAAATCACGCTTGCTCGCGACTCTGATGGAGCGCAAGGTGAGTTGAGCGAATGTGAGATTCGACAAGCAACCAACGCACCCGGCTTCTCCAACGGGGAACGTGCGCGCCACATGCTCGACTTGAATGCGGACCATGTTGTCGGCGCGTTTGGTCTCGGCGCCGACGAAAAAGTTGCCCTGCTCGAGCTCGATGAAAGCCACCACGACGTAGAACTCCGGGAGAGAAATCGGCGGGGCTGCGTAGAGCGCCGTGATATCCTTGGCAAGAGCCGCTTTCTCGGCGTCGGAGTAGAGTCCCTTGGGAGTGTAGAATTGGTGGAAAGGCATTGCTGTCTGAGTCTCGGTCTGGATCGCTGTGAGGCAGTTGAGTTGTGCAAAAGCATGCAATCAGCTCGTCTTATATATGTAGAGTACATAGATACTCGCAAACGTCACGTAAGTCCCCGAAGGCTAGCTGACCAACCAATCTCTACTGTGATAACTGCCTCGCATGACGTCTTCTCGAAAATCGCATCACGGGGTCGTATTCGTCCGATATTTTTGTCGCAGCAGCATCTCCATTCGCTAATGGGTCTTCGCAAGCAGCACGCGGGACTGATTTAGTATGGACTTTGGATTATTTATCGAGCTACCGGTTCCTCGTCGGTACCAGTTACAGGCGCAATGACATTCCGACTCCTGCCCACGCTCGTTGCCCGCGCTGATGGGTCTACATAACACGTGATCGCGACCGGAATCCGATCATATTGCAACACTTGCAGTAGCTTGGATTAATCCTGTAGCCAAATAGACACATAATCCTGCAGCCTAATAGAATCACCTTAAGCTCAGATTAACAGCCTGGCAGGATTATTGTGCAAGATTTTGAAGGTCCTCGGATTATCGAAGATATGAATGTATAAGATTAGGTAATCGTCAACGATCAGGATCAAGGGTGCAGCCGGATTATGCAGAATGCAGGATTATGAACATGTCTACGTCGATGAACAGGATTATGGGTGCAGCCGTATTATGCAGAATGCAGGATTATGAACATGTCTACGTCGACAAACAGGATTATGAGTGCAGCCGGATTATGCAGAATGCAGGCAGGATTGAGAACATGTACACGTCGACAAACAGGATTATGAGTGCAGCCGGATTATGCAGAATGCAGGCAGGATTATGAACATGTATACATCAACGAACAGGATTATGAGTGCAGCCGGATTATGCAGAACGCAGGATAATGACAGGATTATAAACAGATGGTATTACTGAATGTACAAAATCAGGTATTCGTCGACGAATAGGATTACGGATGACCACCGTCGAGGATGCCCCATGATTGCCTACGTGCCAATGTACCTGGCGTGATTGGCTGTGTTCGTCGTAGCCGCTCTGTCCAGCACCAACTCATAATCTTGGTCTTCCCAGCTCAGGCCATCCGGAAGAGGGCTCCCTATCGGGTAGAAGTACCGCACCCCTCCTCGCAACTCGACCATCCGTCCCTGAACCATTTCGTCCACGACCTTCGGATGCGTTGAGCGTGAGTGACGCGGTGACTTGTCGGAAACAACTGCCGCTTTGGGGGCCGCAGCACGTCGGCGTTTCGTGGGTGTCCTGGGGATAGCTGTATCCAATTTGGTCTTCTTCGAGCGCCCGTTTGCACTAGACTTCTTCGCCTTCCCCTTGCGTTTCTGACCGACCTCAGAGTTGTCGTTGGTCTCTAGTTCCTCCTCGGGGCCCTGGCTCGTGCTTGGTGATGCTGACCCGCCATGCACATGATCCGGCAGGATAGGTCCAAACCCTGCCTGGCTCTCCTTTGCAGGCGACGGAAGTGAGACAGCCGGACCAGACGCAATAGTGGGCGCAGCTGGTGTCGCGACTACATGCTCACCATGCGGATTGAAAGACGGAGACGTAACGCCCGCGACGTAACCCGGTGTGCGATGTGCGTTGCTCCCAGTGAGGTCAGTCGCAGCCGCAAGAGTGAGGTTGCAGTCCATCGATGTTGCTGAAACAGCATGGGGTCCAGAAGGAGGCTCGTTTGGAGGCAAAAGTAGCCCGGACGTCGGCGTAGGTGGGACGGATGACATTGTTCCTGCCATCATGCTTCAGCCTCCCTGCACGCACAGACATGCAGATGATGGCGTTGGCAAATATCGAGTACAACTTGCGTGAGGGCCAGGCATTCGATGCCTTGGCGGAAGTCAGAACGGCAATCCAAACACTCAATTACAATATTCAGCTAAAGAAGACACAGATTCATGGCATTGGGGCAAATACAAAGACGCAAAACTATCTCAGAACCCTGAGCAACAATATCCAGATTGGGGCGGACAAGTATCGCCGGAGTCGAAAAGCCCTCATCGAACTGGGTCTTCCTGTGGATGATGGGTCGCTGCGACCTCTGGAGAAAGAACATCTGGTTGGCAAGAGCGGGAGGCAGGTCAGGATTGGAGACGCCAAGACGCATGAGTCGTGGATTTGGACAACCGGTCGAGGGGCAAATATGGATGAGAGCGATGTGAAGGAATGGGAAGCAGAGCGTAAGTCATTTGCTGAGCTGCTGAAGGAGTGCTTACGCGATTGTTCAGTCCAGCGAGTGCAATGGTTCCAGGCGCGGGCGCTGCGTGACAGGGCCGTTGAGGAGGGAGAGACTCTGCACAAAGAGTGGAATCGCACCATTGCCGCTTTCGAGAACTATGCTGCTATTTGGGTCAGTCTTGCTCAAGAGCAGACCCGTCCGGGAGGGAAGGCCTATGGTTACAAACAAGCTGCAATGTACACGAAGCTGGCAGATGGGTGTAGGGAGGCTCGAGCAGCATTAGAGGGTCTATACAATGCTGATTTCAGAAGAGAGGAGGAGGAGAGAGTTCAGCACTGCGCACAGATAGAGAAGAAGCGACAGTCCCGGGGTGATGGATTTGACGAATCACCTCAGTTACCACCGCCATCACGCGGTTCTCCCCCCGCGGGGTACCTACTGGGTACCCTCAGACGTCTTGCTGAGGGTACCCAGTAGGTACCCCCTGGCGGGGGGTGGGGGGGCCATTTAGTCGATTTAGTAGCGGGGGCATATGCGGGGGTCAGGAGGAGGGGGGGTGTATGTAGCATGTGACTTGTCCATAAGAGCGGGTAGCTGGGCGGGAAAAAAAAATCCAATCACATGACGCGCTGCATGGGCGGGATGGCGGGATAAAAAAATCACGTGATGCGCTGCACAAAAAATTACCAAAATGCTGGCAGGGGTTGGCGGGGTCATTGGCGGGGTCACTACCACCCCCCCGCACACCATGGCGGGCAGTGGGCGCATTATCACGTGACTTTTTGGGCGCCTTTTTTGCAGCATCTGGCATGATTTTGGAAATGCTGCTTGATACATTGCATGCTGTGGCAGACAATGGGCGCAAAATCACGTGATTTTCCGCCCAAAAAATGGAAGACTCCCCAAATCATCCCAGTATAATTTCCATAGGTAAATAGGCTAGTTAAACATGAACTTGAGCTTAGAAAAACCAAAATGCACCCTGCACAATGGGATTGGTGACACACTTGATCCCATCATTTGGCAGGGCCTGCCGCAGGGGCTGCCGCGGGGGGTGCTGCAGGGGGTGCCGCGGGGGGTGCCGCAGGGGGTGCCGCGGGGGGTGATGCGGGGGCTGCCCCAGGGGGTGCTGCGGGGGGGTGCTGCAGGGGCTGCCCCAGGGTTGGTCTGTTATGATCCATTTTTGTTCATTGAAGATCTTGTAGAGGTGAGCAGGGCAACAGGCCAACTGGGAATTTATAGGAAGACATTGAAATTGATGCAGGGGTCAGATACAGGGCCCACTGCAAGGTCTACTGCAGGGGCAGGGGTGCATTATATCAAATTTCGATGTATCTATTCTGGCCATGGCCATAGAATGTCACATAATTATCCTTCAATTTGGCAGGGGTTTCTTGGTATGGTCTGCAGCTAAAGATATTTGATTCCCTTGTGCTTTAGCAGAGCCTGGGATATTGAAAACATGCAATAGCACCTGTATAATCTGTCTATGTAGGGTCAAATACAAGTTATAACTTGGTACATCTGGGCATGGTCTGCTCAAGCTATTAGGTCGAATTTAATCTTTGAAAAATGCGCAACTTGATTTGTTTGGCAAATCCCCCAAGGGAGTTTTCCATGTGCAGCCAAATTGATCGCCAGGAATAGCTACTGCTCCTTGTCCCTGTCTGTTTGCTTCCGATAGTCTGTCTGCTCCCAAATCTTCCTCTCCATTTTCAGGATATCTGATACAGGTGTTGGGATTGTTGATTGATGGATTTCATATTTCTTGTCTACACACCGTTTAGACACTTGAATGGATGTGATAATACTGTGAACACTAACAATGAATTAAGCAGCACTTTTGTCCATCCAATCCTTGCAGGGGCTGGGGCAGGGTTGATGGTGGGCGCTGCCGCGGGGGCTGCTGGGGGGGGTGCCGCGGGGGGTGCCCAAGCCTCTGCCAGCCTACCCAATGTGGATCAACTACAGGATCACTTTCCAAAGCTTCTGTACTGCAACCCAAGTGACTTCCAGGTTACCTTTACCCAATTCCAGTGACACAACTTGCCTGCTCTTGTTTCTGGCCGACAATTGATTTTATAAGCTTGAGTATGTATGTGCACTTTTTGGTGGGAAAGGAGGCCATTTGGCGAGAGGTAGGGCACCGAAACATTGTCAAATACCATATTGAACATGGCCAGTGGCTTACATCTCTTCAAACTGGCCCCTATCTCATGTTTATCAAGACCCTATTTTTCGGACCCATTTCAAGTTTTTGAATGGTTCCAGGGTCCAGGGCTCTCAGAATTTGTTTCAGACACTGCCAAGGGGTATATCATTCAGCTGTATTGAGTTGTTCATTTGTAGAAAATATATTTTTTGCAATACCCAAAGTGAACTATGTTGAACCATTATCTATGTAGGAACCTTGAGCAACTGTGAACTGTTTTCATGTTTCGAATTTTGGATGGACAAACAATATGAAATACCTACATATTCAACAAGAACAGCATAGGGAGACCTTATTCCGATGGTTTTCAGCTGCATAACTGTAGAAACAGTGACAGAAGAGCAGGAAACACTTAGGTACGACGTTTATACAGGTTCTGATTGGCTGGTGACTTGACGTGTTCCGAGCTGTCAGATTATGTAATCTTACATATGAGAAGATGGCAGGGGCAAGGCACCGGTGCAGCGGGGGGTGTGGCAGGGGGTGTCAGCCTGGCGGGGGTGCATGCGGGGGTGCAGTGGGGGGTGCCTGCAGGGGTGCCAGTGGGGGTGCAGGTAGAGTTGCAGGCAGTGAGTTATGGCAAGAACGTATACAGTCCCAGTAGCAAAAGCAATCATGTATGTTTCTGCAGTTTGTCTTGCAAGTATCCAAGCTCTAAGTGGAAAGAATTTTGTATATGAAATCTGAATTCATGCTCAATCTCTGGCTATTGTGAGACAACTTATTAGTGAGTTAGTTCATCCTCTTATATACGACCCAGGAATGAATTGAGGGCATGTCAAATCCGCTATGTTCCATCTGTTCATGTTGCAGCTTGAGAAAATCATTTGCAAAGCATCACAGAACTTCTGATTTTCAATGAGTCCCAGTCAGGAAGTGAGACATTCAATGTGTACTTGACATGTGGTACAATGTGCCGCAGGGTAAGATTACACTGTGCTAACAGTGTGAACAATTGACTAATAGCCATGTATGTAGAATGAGCGCACCAAAAAATCAATGAGATGACAGTGGACCCAGTGCAGCCAACCTACCCACCCTGCCGGTCAACACATGAACAAATCATAACTTGTATTTGACCCTACATAAACAGATTATACAGGTGCTATTGCATGTTTTCAATATCCCAGGCTCTGCTAAAGCACAAGGGAATCAAATATCTTTAGCTGCAGACCATACCAAGAAACCCCTGCCAAATTGAAGGATAATTATGTGACATTCTATGGCCATGGCCAGAATAGATACATCGAAATTTGATATAATGCACCCCTGCCCCTGCAGTAGACCTTGCAGTGGGCCCTGTATCTGACCCCTGCATCAATTTCAATGTCTTCCTATAAATTCCCAGTTGGCCTGTTGCCCTGCTCACCTCTACAAGATCTTCAATGAACAAAAATGGATCATAACAGACCAACCCTGGGGCAGCCCCTGCAGCACCCCCCCGCAGCACCCCCTGGGGCAGCCCCCGCATCACCCCCCGCGGCACCCCCTGCGGCACCCCCCGCGGCACCCCCTGCAGCACCCCCCGCGGCAGCCCCTGCGGCAGGCCCTGCCAAATGATGGGATCAAGTGTGTCACCAATCCCATTGTGCAGGGTGCATTTTGGTTTTTCTAAGCTCAAGTTCATGTTTAACTAGCCTATTTACCTATGGAAATTATACTGGGATGATTTGGGGAGTCTTCCATTTTTTGGGCGGAAAATCACGTGATTTTGCGCCCATTGTCTGCCACAGCATGCAATGTATCAAGCAGCATTTCCAAAATCATGCCAGATGCTGCAAAAAAGGCGCCCAAAAAGTCACGTGATAATGCGCCCACTGCCCGCCATGGTGTGCGGGGGGGTGGTAGTGACCCCGCCAATGACCCCGCCAACCCCTGCCAGCATTTTGGTAATATTTGGTGCAGCGCATCACGTGATTTTTTTATCCCGCCATCCCGCCCATGCAGCGCGTCATGTGATTGGATTTTTTTTTCCCGCCCAGCTACCCGCTCTTATGGACAAGTCACATGCTACATACACCCCCCCTCCTCCTGACCCCCGCATATGCCCCCGCTACTAAATCGACTAAATGGCCCCCCCACCCCCCGCCAGGGGGTACCTACTGGGTACCCTCAGCAAGACGTCTGAGGGTACCCAGTAGGTACCCCGCGGGGGGAGAACCGCGTGATGGCGGTGGTAACTGAGGTGTGACGAATACGAGGTGAGTTTTGTAGGTATCAAGCCGCGTCGCTGACACATGCAGTCCAGGCATACTACGAGACAATCGAAATCTTGCCGGTGTGATGGATCACAATCCCGTGTTCTGAGCTGCCGAGGGCGGATAATCCCAGTTGTGGTCACGGGGCTCGTAATCCTCGAGTAGTCGACCGATAATTGATCATTCGACTGTTGTCTATGTTATAATCCTATTGTAATCCATGTCATAATCCCACAGGCTATTTGTCTGGGCTTAAGGTGAATCTATTAGGCTACAGGATTATGAATCTATTAGGCTACGGGATTAATCCGCATCACTGATATGACTGCATATTGGAAAAAATGCGAGATCCATCTTGCTTTCGTTTAGATTGATCGACACTCCGAACGCGAATTCGGCTGTGGAGACAGTCTGAGCTGCCCGAACACGTTACTGGCTGCGTCAAATGCCTACTCGCACGGGAATAAACGGCTGGATCTTTGCGATTGGTGGTCGAAATCGACTCGTTTGTCTGATTCTACGCCCGAGACCGAGCCCGAGACCGAGCCTTGCTTTCGGATCCTGAAGGAGGATTGAGACATGAAGAAGAATGGGGATATGTCGTGCGCTATTGCAGTTGTTTAGTGAATAATCTTACAGTTGTTTCGGCACTGTTTTATCATTCAGTGATCTGTTTCTGACAGCAGTTACTAGGAGCGAGGCTCTGGCTCCCGGCCACATTACTCTACCTGAATCAACTTCATATGAGCAGGATCCCGTCTCTCTTCTCTCTTCTTAGTGAATCCGAGCATGACTCGAGTCTTATCGCACCAGAGCTGTTCCGCCGGGTATGAGACCCGGACTCAGATTTCAGGAGCTCATACTGCCCGAGCTTCGTAAGCCCGAGACCGGATACGCGGGCTTTCGGGCCTTGACCTCCAGCCCGAGCCCCTATGGGGCGATCTAAAATGACACATCAAAGGTTTGGTCCATGTCCAGGAAGCGGGTGCTTCGGGCCAGAGAATAGCTCGAATCTACTTTAAAAGGGTTCACGACCCCTTGAGGGATCACCAGTGCGGTCTCGTCCATTAAAGAATTTGCATCATGCACGTGAAAGAATTATCCAGCATCCACTCTGAATCTCACTCACGCGTCTATAGAATTCTATTAACTCAAGATGAAAGCCCGCCTTAAGCCATCTGCATGAGTGGTGTCTGGAGCTGAGACTTACAAGGTTCTATGCTCTAGCCCAAGTCCGGACTTTGAATTCGAATTGTGCAACGGGCTAGAAAAAAGAATGTAAACCATTGCGCAAAATGCCACGCACATCTGCACACAAACCTCGTTCCCCTCTCTCTCTATCGGTCATCTCGACGCTAAATGAATTAATAGATTAACACGTGACCGTGTCATGGACTGTGAGCATTCAGCCGATCACACCTGGACACCGCCTCAATGCAATCTCTTGAAAGCTGCAGAAGCGAAAGATATATCGAAAGCTGACTCCCCTGGAACACTGCCAGGCAATTTGCCTCGCAGCGCTAAATAGTGGGGACTGAGCAAGTTATTCTGTTGGTACTTACTGACAGTTCCTCCTAGGTGCGCTGATGGGACAGCTGCTCGACGCCTGTCAGATTATTCAACGAGTGGGTTATTCTTTGACGTGAAGGATCTTTCATCGCTCAGCTCCGTGTCCCCAGCTCCGAGCGCCGTACTGTCCCCCGGAACCGGAGCAAGATACAAACCAGAAACGACGGTTCGATATTGATGTCGTTACAATAACATTTCAAGTCGTGTGCAATCGTCTCTAGGTTAGGTTAGTCTCATAGTCCATCGTCTTGCCAATTTGCTCATTGAAATCAGTATTCGTAAATGTCACGGGCATGAGACAGCTCGGACCATAACCAAGGCGCCTACACATGCAGCGGTCTAGCCTCTAGGCACTCGAAACATGGAGACTGGTGGAAGTTACCATGCAAGTTGGTAAGCGTCGTGCGCATCACCGATTCCTTGGGGGTCCATCTCCATTTGGCATAGCCGACCTCGGGGCTTATCTTATTTACACGATGTAGTTGGGACAGGACCCCGGATAGTACGGTCAAATGTTAGCCACCGCGTTGGACAATTCTGGGGGAAATTAGGCAAAACACTTAGCCCAAAGTAGTAGGGGGTTGGACAAAAATTGGGCCGCATGGTCGATCTAGTTAGATCGTGGTTGGACAAAATTCTCCATGGCAGTCCAGTGGTAACATGCGATTACATGAGGATGTGAGTCTAAATCTTGACCAGGAAGGTCCTATGAGGTCTCGAGTTCGAGTCTAGGATATATATTTTTTTCACACCGAATTGAAATTGCTTCCCAAAATCCGCTTCGCAGCAGCCTTGGAAATTTTCAACGAATTGGGGGATAAGGAGGTGGAATAGTCTCTGAATCGGTGTATAGCGTCTCGGAAAGGTCGAAAATCGAGCCAAAGGGCTGAGTTTCAGTCTTATATCCATGTAGGCATCAAAAAACAACTTGTGAGACCTATGTACGGGTTGGACAAAAATCCCGGGCTCAGGCTCGAACCGTGTTGGACAAATATGGGGGCATCAGCCAAATTTTGGGCTAACATTTGACTGTATTATCAGGGGTCCTGTTGGGACCTGATTCCTTTTCTTCTCTCACTTACTTACTTGGCGCTCGCACGAACTCGGTCCGCTGCAGACAGGCTGGGCCTCGTTCGCTGTGCGGTGCACCAGTCCGCGTTCTTTTTCGTTTCTCTTCTTTTCGTCCCCTCGACCGTTTCTTCTTCCTTCTTCTTCCGGAGCATGCTCCCCTTTTTCTTCCATCAAATCCCGAACCGGTGCGTTCTTTGACATCTCGTATGTTCGCGCACGCGACCGACACTGCCCCACCAGACAATCGTACCTTCCGTTCGTCACGCTCTTCTTACTACTCCTACGACCTGTCACGGCACTCGTTTTCGCGCCCCTCAATAATTCCTCCACGTTTTTAACGGGCGAAAGCGTCACGCTAGACTGGACCCTGGATGGATCGGAACCTGCGGGAGGCTGGCAATTGTGGTATCATGAGACTGGTGTCTCGATGGAGGTGGCGAACGTGAATCCCGGGCGGACGTCGGCGACGTTCCCCTTTCCCGGAAGGTGTGTGTTCTCCCCCTTGAGTGTGGCGTTGTCGTTTCGCACGCGTCTGACACCGGGATGGCTACTTTCAGCGCGAGCGGGACTTTCCAGGCACGAGACGGCACGGCTATCTTTGCTACGAGTGATCTTGCAAGCGCGTCGAATCCGGGAAGCGCGTCGTTCTCGCTCACTGCGACGCGAACTTTCTCCGCTGAGATCACCTCCGGCGCAACGAGCAGCGCATCGAATGGGGTTACGCTATCGTCTGTGTTTCCTTCTAGTTCGGCGTCTGTGACTCCCTCCACCTCGAGCGTGGCTGCCGCATCCAATTCAACGGCCCGGACGCAGGCTATCCTGGGAGCCATTGTCGGAACACTTGCGGTGATCTTCATCATCGTCATGGTCTGGGTCATTTTTCTCATACGCCGCCGCCGCCGCCATCAAACTCTCACTTTCAATAATGAAGATGCAGAGAAAGATTCCAGCCGTTCAACAATGCCGTCCAGCATATCACTTATAGCGTCGTCGCTGGAGTCCCCATCACGATCAAACTCGACTAGGACAATAATGACGGCGTCGGAACCATCGTCCCCGCCCCGATCTTCACGAGCATCAACTCCCCTACCAGCCGTGCCCGAGCCCGAGCCCGCCTCTGCCGACGCCCGCCGCCAGCTGTACCTGAGTTCACAACTCGAGAAGCTGCGGACAGGACCCACGTCCAACGAGACAGGCTCCCTCACGTTCCCGCCCTTGTCTGCTGTGCCATCGGATACCGTTGCCAGCGATGTTGCGCCACATGCACATGGCGGGACATCGGACGCGGATCAGCTACCCGCGATCCCCGCACGGGGGATCTCTCCTGGGAAACGGGACGTGTTCCTCTCGCAGCAGCTGGGGAAGCTGGATGTGCCGAGGACGAGTCGCCCGACATCGCACGGTGCTTCCATCGCCTTCAGTCCCCTGTCCTCTGTCCCGTCCGAATCAGCGGCCAGCGAGAACGAGCCTCAGTCGGGTGCGACTGTACGGCGCACGTCCACGGTTACGAGTTCGGAGCTGGCCTCGCCGATCTTGTTCAGACGGCCGACGGTGGATGAGGTTGTTCGATCGTTACCGGCCCTACCCCGTGCTGCGGGACCCTCGTGGTAGTAAGTTTATCTTTGCGGACTAATCATGCGAGTATCCTAGTCACCACTAATCTGTATCGTTACTCCTCCGCGACCGTCACTGCGGTTATGAACAATGGAAGAGTATTAATCATGATGCGATTGTTGATTCTTTACACATTTGAAGGAAACTGTCAAGAGTATGTATCTACGGATTAAGTAATTGGATGCTTGTGATCAGTAAACAGTGCTTCAAACGGACGGATCGATCCAGTCCTCCTCGCCTTCTTCCATATCGTACGAATGGAGATGGGGCTGCGAATGGTGATGGTGATGATGGTGCGGATGACCTTTGGGCGCCGGTGCATCGGGCAATCCACGCCACGGCGAGTCCTCCATCGCAGCCATATTGTCCGGCACGTATTCGAACATGAGCTTCAGCGATCCTGACTGGACGAACGGCTTCATCTCTGGCAGCGTAGCAATGTTGTACGCGAGTGGCCGACCGAACCGGCCAAAGACCTGCCGGAGGCCGTGTCCCGCGCGCGAGAGGATGCACTTCTGAAGGAGCAGATCGGGAGCCATGTCAAAGGTGCTCACGGACAAGAACGAGAGGGAGGGGAGAATGTTGAGGCTGGGGTCCCCGTCAGAGATCAGCTCCTGGAAGACGATGGCCGGCATCGAGGGAAGAGCTGGACCCGTCGTAGCCGGCTGGGCTTGCTGGAAAGCCAGTGTGTGTGACATGTCATGCAGAATCAAATTGGTGACAGTCGCGGGAAGCGCATGGAGTAGAGATTGTACCCCCGACGCAGGAATCTCAGCGAAGAAGTGAGCTTGCTCGAGCACAGGAGTTCCTGCTAGTAACTGAAGCACTGATTTGGCAATCGTCTTCCCCGGAGCGCTAGGGTCTTGAAAGGCGCTTGAAGAGCTACTGCGAATGGCAAAAGAGCGAAGATTAGGGGCAGAAAGATGCCGCAAGAGCCGGAACGGATCAGTGACAATGGACGTGCGATAAAAGTGCAGTTCAAGAGTCTGTAGGTGTGGCATGTAGATCTCCCCATCGAACAGTGTTTCATCCACATCCCGTACAGTCAACTTGCAGTGTCGTAGCTGAGGGCATTCTGCTAACGTCCGCAAAATCAAGTTGGCATTCGGTTCGGGAAGATCGGTCGTCGAGCCGATAGCCATGAGATTGAAGGCAGCCGACACACGTCCGGGAGACAACACACTTAGCGACGTCAGTTGTTCCCACCGAAGCGGAAGTCCGAAAGGAACGACGCTGCTGCTTGAGATTCCGAATCGTCTGACACGCGCGCCGTGAAGTAAACGCAGTTGTGTCCAATCAGGAGGCGAGGCACGTTGATTAGCAGGGGCTCCCCAATTGATTAACCCGTTGAAAGCTGCTGCTGCCTGAACAGCTGCTGCGTTAACACCGCCGGCAGCCGGTCCTGGCGGAGGAGGTGGGGCGGGTGGAGCGGGGACAGGACCTTGACCAGGAGCAGGCACAAGGTTGAATATGGGTCCGGGGCCGGGACCGGCTGCAACCGGGGGCCCAACATTGAAGTTGAGGAACTGGTTAGGCCCTAGCAACATTGGAGGCGAAGCAGTGGCCATGATTGGCTTCAGCGTCACACTCGTCAGCATCGGCACATCCTGCTCAGTGAGCTCCATCAGCCGCGCAACGCCTTCACTCGTGATGAGCATGTCGATCGTGTGCCACCGGTAGGCGTAGAGGACGAGCAGGTCGATGATCGCGGCTGGGGACATGCAGGCATGGTCGACGTCGTACGAGATAGAAAGCGGGCACTCTCCGGCACGTCCGAGCCATATCTTCGTAGCATGAATGCGTTTGGCAAGCCGGGCGCGGTCCTTCGAGAGGTCGGGGGCGCCACCATAGTTGTGATACGACACGCTGGTGGGGTGCACGATGTGCAGTTTGGACCACAGGCGCGGGGTGGAGAGAGAGATGTCGCGCCACGAGCTGCACACGCGTCCAAGGAGCAGCGGGGCCTCCGTCGTGGACATAACGCAGTTGCGCGCAGTCGGTAGGCACGCAAGGAATATTTCCCGGATGACATCCACGGGGAGACGGCGCACGGGTGAGATGAGCGCGGAGTGTGCGTCGACGTAGGCGCTCAATTGTCGTTTCTCTCCTTCCAATTTCTCCATGGACTGACGTAGGGCTGCGAGCTCGGAATCGACGTTCGAAATGCGCTGCTGCGGGCCCGACATCAACTGCTTGAGCTGTTCAACTTCGCTGTCGCTGGGGGCATAGTTGGTCCCAAGTTTGGGGGTGAACGGCGAAGGCTGCATTGAAACCGCAATGCTAAACAATCGTCGTCCTTTTACAAGAGGAGCTCATGTAAATCGATGATCGCACATCAACGTCACTCTTCCAGAACGTTCTTGGCTCGTGACTTGTATTTGGGCCGGTGCAGGCCAATGAGGCTTTTGGCGGCTCGAGGAGCCCTCGAAACTTGTGGATTTTTGACCATAGCCCAGCAAAGTGAGTGTAGCATACCCAAAAATCTCTGGCCAGAGCTTATCACAAGCGCCAAACCGACGCCAGCGTTTGATCCGACTCGTCTTAACAGGCAGATCGATATCTAGGGCGTGAGCGTTGAGAGTGCGGGATCTTCGTTCTTGACGTGTACATAACATAAATTTGTATCGAATTATTCTAGTCAAAAGTGATCTAAAGTGATAGCAGCGAGCCAGCTCTCGAGATTATAGTACTTTCTACGTCGCGTTCTAGTCACCAAAAAAGAGTGAGCGCAAAAAAGAGAGGAGGGTGGACAGTTTCGGAGACTTCGCAGCGACAGCCCCGCACAAAAACCGAATCGACCAACGAGCGTCTACATGTCCTTGAAATCAACCTCGACACCAGAGTCTTCGACATCACTGCTGGACGGCATTACAGGTCGTGCAGCAGCAAGTCCACGGGCATTCTTATAGAAGACGACACCGCCCTCGTCTTCCACAAACTAGAGAACGCATTAACACAACGCACACTCCAGAGCACACGCGGACGTACCTTGCATTCGCGCATAACTCGGTACACCTCCGCCCAGCCACCCGGCCGCCCAACCAGATGGATGCCTGCAGCAGCCAACCGTTTCCTGAGAGCGTACGTGGCCTCCCATGCATGGTAGTGAGGGATCTTGCTCGTGACGTGATGCAGCACATGCGTTTCCGAGATGCCGTGCGTGGCATGGGCACCCAACCAGCCCATGACAGAGCCCAAATCGCCGAGCAGGCTGCGGTCGACAGTGCACAGTGCGCCGCGCTGGAACGTGAACATCTCGGCACGGTAGTGGGGAGTCAACGGGTCGGTGTGTTGCAGGAAGGTGATGAGCACCAGCCAGTGGTTCACCCACAAGTACGGAACAAGGTAGACGCGCAGAACGGTGCTGAAGCCGTAGTGGTTGCAGGACAGCGCGATGAGGCCGAGCCAGATGACGATGCCGAGGTCGGACAGCACGATCTGGTCGTATTGGTGCTTGGCGAATATGATGGAAGAGGGGAGGAAGTGGCTGGTGCCCTGCGGGTAGCGAAGCTGGCCACCGAGGTTGCACACGAGGTACGCGGGCAGCCCAACAATCTGATCCGAGTAAGTTTAAACACGGCGAATCATGTAGCGCACACACCAAATAGAAGGCACATCGCGCAAACGTCACGATCGGCGTATCTCCCAACGCCTCCCACAGCTCTTCCTGGACGGCCGCCGAGACATTCCCACCCCGGAGGTCATCTTTCGCAAGGTCGAGAGGGGGCAGACCCATCTCCGAGCGCGTCCACGGAACGAAGACTTGGTCTCTGGTCATGTGGCCTGTCGCAGCGTGGTGCTGGGCGTGGCTGATGCGCCACGAGTGGTATGGAACTCCCAATCTGAAAGTGGACACACAAAAGATGTCAGAATAGAGTTTAACGCCGCACTAGCACCAAGGAAGGCACCGTCGATCACGATGTGTCAACTTACCCAGAATGAAGCACCCATCCGACAAAATTGTTGATGCTTTTGTGGGAACTGTAGGCCTAGAGCAGCGTTAGGAGGACAGCGGGTCTGTTCTTGACACGCCGACATACCCCATGTCCTGATCGAAGATCCCGTTAGATCAGCAACAAATGTTGGCAACGGGCCGGACTCACCAGCTTCGTGCGCGACGATCCACAGACCCATCGCAAAGAGGCCTGCGAAAAACCCATACAAGGACCAGATGGAGAAACTCGCCAGAGAGCGGTAGGCTGCTGGCAACGCGACGGTGTACGTGTCAGCGATGCCGGCGAGCTTCCATAAGCACGTTATGACGATCAAATCCCATACGCTGCGCGTCCGAGCGTGAGTCAAGCCTGGGGAGAGGGGGTAACAAACGTACGGATATATTGTCGAGCGCAGAGTCGAGCGCTCGAAGCAATGCGCGCTGGACGTGGGGTAAGTTTGCAGCAGAGGCCAGGGATGGGGCAACGCACGGAATGCAGGATAGCAAGTCCTTCATCGAGAGGTTTGGGATAACCACGTCGACCTGCTCGTGGGACTCCATCTTTTCAACCGTGTTGGTGGACATGAACGAAAGCAGGGAGAGGAGAGAGAAAGGGTGGCGAGTCGAGGCGAGGAAATTGATCGTGGTGCACTCCTTGCCGAAATGATGGGAAATATATTGGGGCAAAAAAAATCGTACGTGGATCGGCGTACGGTAGCTGTACGATCTTGCCATGAAAACTGGACGATATATGCGCAATGTACATTATTTTATTACACAAAGAATTGAGTTAATTTCCACTTCGGCCCGCAGCCCGCACCACACCGCCACTCAAGACAGGCAGAGATTTCTCCGCGGCAGTTTCAGACGGCGCCGGGAGAAAGTCTGCGCGCACCAGCCAAGCGAGGTACTTCCCAATGAGGTCCTCCGACACGGTGCTCTCCTCTTCGTCGCCTGCAGCCCGCAGCAGAGCACGGGTGTTGGTATCATCCAATGCAGGTGCCCTGGTGCTCGTTGGCAGATCGTCCAGGACGAAGTGCAGCAACGGAAACAGGGCATTGTCCTGAGTCTGCATGACATGTTTTTCAAGCCCCCGTCGCCAGAGGATGTACTCGCATTGCGAGATCTTGTAGCCGTACGACGCCAGGGGAGTGAGCAAGTCGTTGTACGACGGCAGGGGCGTAGCTGTCACGTGCAGAACAGAGAGCGAAGCATCGGAAAGGGGTGCAAGCGCCGCGAGGGTGGTCGTCCGTGCAACACGATCGACAGGGACCATGTTCACCGAATTGTTCATCTCGGGAACGAGCCCGAGCTGGATGCAGCCCTTGACCAGACGCCAGAGGAAGTCATCTGTGTTAGTGACGGCTGTTTGCGAGTCGCCAACAACATATCCAGGCCTGACGATGTGGCCCTGCAATCCTCTCCGCCCTGCCTCGAAAAGGAGCTTCTCCGAAACCCATTTGGTCTGACCGTAGCCAGTTTTCAGGGTCGAACGCGCACCTTCGAGATCATCGCTCTCGGGGATCCCGCGCGCATGCCCGATCACGAGTGAATCCGAAAGTCGCACGTAATGGTCATTGTCCACAGCCGAGGTGGACGACACGAAAACAAGCAGCTTCTGCTTGCCATCGGACGCTAGATCGATCGCAGTGAGTGTCGCCAGGACATTTGCAGATCGAAGCTTGTCGTACGGATATACCCAGTGCACCTGCCATCAGTGAGATTCGAAAATCGAGCTGGAGATAGGTGGAGCAGACGTACCAAAGCACCATTGTGGATGATCGAGTCTGCCTCCTCCGAGACCCGAGCCCAGACATCCTTGCCCATCCCAAAGTACGCAACGCCGAGATCGCCCTTGACCACTTCGAGCCGTCCACTGGTCACCCAGTCCTCATCCCAGACCCCGCGATCAGTAGAGCCCGTGCGCAGGCGTTCCAAGCCCTGCTGCACATCGCTTGCACGGACCAAGCAAATAACCTTCTGCACACGCGAGCCTCTCGAAAGCAGATCCTTGAGCACGAATGCCCCCAAGAATCCAGTCGCCCCCGTCAAGAACACAGTCAACGGCTTGGTGTGATAGTCGCTCGGCAGCTCTGAGTACGCGTCTTGCAGATGCGGCAGGAGCCGATCAAGATCCTCGCCGTACTCAAGCGTTGCCGCATGGCTGGCCTGCGCACCGGGAACGGTAAGCGAGTCGGACGATGCGACATCTGGGTTCTTGTACGACAGCCCGAGATCCCCGTTACGCAGAGACTGCACTGCATCAGCCAGTCCGGCGATCGTCGGCCGATCGAAGACCAGCCCGAGGGGAGCATCGACAACGAAGGCCTTGCGAATCTCGAAGATGAGACGGGTGGCCAGGATGGAATGACCTCCGAGATCGAAGAAACTCTCGTCCGTCGGAATAGGCTGCGGCGCATTGGGAAGCATTGATGCCCAGATTTGACGCAGTTTCTCCTCGCTGGTATTGACTTTGGCGGAGGCAGTCGAGATAGTCGTAACTGCTTGCGCCGTATCGGGGAAGGGAAGTGCTGGCTTGTCGATCTTGCCGTTGGGGTTCAAAGGCATGCGGCCGAGAGGGACGAACACTGTGCAGCATGAGCGGAATCGATGAACAGAGATGAAGCCACCGACAGGTAGGGACGCTATAACTGGGCAACTTCTTTTTGAGATGCTCTCGGATTTCCTTGATGAGCCGTCGGTATTTCTTGATTCCGTGAACAAGACTCTTCTCCGATTCGCCATCCGTGACCTCACTAGCGTACCCTGCCAAAGCGGGGCCATCGAGCGGCACAAAGTAGCTGACGAGGATCTTCTCCTCGTCCTTGTCTCTCCTCACAAGCGTGACGTTCTCGCGCACCAGCGGGTGCTGGCTCAAGTGCGTGTCGATCTCGCCCAGTTCAATGCGGAACCCGCGAATCTTGACCTGATCGTCCGCCCGTCCCGTACATTCCACCGTCCCATCGGGCAGGTACCGTCCCAGATCCCCAGACCGATACATCCGGTCCCGCACGCCTTTCCAGTGACGGGCCTCCGGACCGGGAAGCGCCCCGGCAGTAGGATGCCTGATCGTGTCTCTGCGCGGCGGGGCATCAACTGCAAACCAGTTCTCGACGAACTTCTCCGCACTGGCCGCGGTGTCGAGGTATCCCTCTGCCAGCCCGCCTGAGCGCACGTAGATCTCGCCGACCTCACCCACTGCACACGGCACGCTGCGGTCGTTGCGGTTGACGACGAGGAGCTGCACGTCGATCATGCCTGCGCCGGCCGGCATGATGTCTTTCTGCGTCGCCAGGAACGTCGGGTCCTCCGAGACGGGCGGCAGCGCAAAGTACGACACGGCCCGTTGTGTCTCCGTCGTGCCGTACATGTTAATGATCCGCACGTTCGCAGCGAGTGCCTGCAGGCGCGAGCAGTCGCGCTTGGTGAGCACATCGCCGACGAAGAACGCGTTCTTGAGCGTCGGAATCTGCCGCGTGGCTTGAGCCGAAAGCAGCTGGCCCATGGCTGGCGTGAGATGCGTGATCGTGACTTGGCTGTCGGCCATCCACTCCGCAAGCCGCCCCGGGATACCGATGTCGTCGGCGGTGGGAACGTGCAGCTGCGCACCGAAAAAGAGCGGAGTGAACACTGCAATAGCTCGGCCATTGACGACAACCGCGATTGCAATTGACACTCACTGTCACGTTGGATTGGGTCATGCGCGATACCACTCAGCATAGTAAACTTGGACGTCTCGTCCAGCCCGAATCGCTCGCCCATCCAGGGGAAGAAGTGCGTCAAACTGAAGTGGCGACCCTTCACGCCCTTGGGGATCCCCGTGCTCCCCGTCGTAAACGACAACGTCCCGACGCTGTCCGGTCCCAGCGACACATTGGGATCGGTGGAGCCCAGATGCGCGTGAGACTTGAGCACATCTTCGCCGCCAGTGTGGTTCCCTCCGGCGATCTCGCCGCTCGGGAAGACCTCGACAGCGGGCACCTCAACACGGATCTTGAGATCGGATTCGAGGTATTCGCGCACAGCGGGGTTGAGAGTTCCGGCGCCCTTCAAGACAACCAGGCCCCGGGGCTGAGCGACTTGCAGGTAGAGAATCTGTCTCGATGGTGGGTAGGCCGGATCTGAGCACGATCGGTCAGTCAAGGCCAAAAGTGGAAGACGAGGGATATCAAATACCGATGACAGAGAACGTTGCGCCCGCCTTGAGCACCGCCATGACAGCCACGACAAGATCCACGCTCCGATGTGCATAGACCATAACCACTTCCTCTCGCTGCACGCCACCCTTGATCAGGTGATGCGCGAGCACATTCGCAGCATTGCGGATCGCGCCGTACGAGAACGTCACCTTCTCCTGCACCTCGCCCAGCGAGGCCGCCGGGATGCTTTGCACCACACAGGGCCGGTCGGGCCATTGCCGCGCGTTGCTCGAGAACACATCCGTGATCGCGCCCTTCCAGCCGCACCAGTCCAGATCCGCTACCGGGTCCGGCAGTTTGGCCTTCTGAGCGGGTGTGAGCAGGGGCACGTGTCCGACTGGCGAAAGTGGTGCGGATGAGACTTTGCGCAGGAGGACCGACAGTTGGTCGACGATTGAGGTGATTCGGGCCGGCGCAAAGAGCAGGGAGTTGTACAGTATCCGCAGAGAGATCTGCGGTGCTAGCGACGCGCGCGTGGATGCGAGGGGACGAGTGACGAAGACAGTAAGATCAGAAGTCGCGCTCGTCGAGCGAATGAAAGTTTCTGAGGGCTGGTCCGTCTCATCAAAGAAGCGGACACGGAATATAGGCGCCATCGCAGTCTCCTCCTTATCCCTATACAGCTCGCGCGTGATGCTCTCGAACGGAACCGCATCCTCGATAGCCTCTTTTTCCACAAGCTGCACCCGCCGAACGACAGACCAGAACGGATCCGAGGGATCGATAGGCAGCCGCAGGACTAGCGGATCGCGCGCGGTGGGGGACGACGACCCAATAACGATGTCCGTGTCGCCTGTGTATCTGTGCAGCAGAACCGTAAAAGCCGCAAGCAGCAGGTGGAACGCAGAGGGCGCCTGGGAGCCCGCTCCCTCCCCCTCCGAGTCTACATCCCCATGTTCGCTTTCGTCGTATAGCGCGAGCTTGAGCAGGGACAGAGATGTCTGATCTGAAAACTCGGCAATGTGTGTGGCCTCGATGACCTTGTTCGAGCCGGATGGGCGGGGGTAGTCGGTCGGCAGCGCGATAGATGGAAGATTCTGGAGCCGCCCGACGACTCTGGATAGTCGCGCGTCGTCCATTGCGGGAGTGAAGAAGGTAAACAAGATAGGTCGAGTCAGACCCAGGGATTTTTGCCTTTCGGAAGATCGGCCGAACAGGGACACGATCACGAGTCCAGATGATGCGCGTGACGTCAATAATCAGTTTGCTACCTTGGTTTTGAGTGCGGGGCTGTAGTACCCTTGTGATAGTCCTGGAGATGCCCACAAATTGGACAAAACTGGTCAAGAACGAAAATGTCATCGCCGATAGACGAAATAGAATTCATCCATCGACACAGTGCAAATCTGCTGATTTTTTTCTGCTTCTAGACAGAGAGCGCCTGGTTGGCGGGGAAGATTCATATTCCATAACGCAGCACTAACCTAGCGCTGTTTACTCTGGTTCGCATACCTTTGCGTTGATTAAGAACCTCGTAGGTTGATGAGCGGAAGAATAAAATAAGGACCACGGAGCCCAGACTCTTGTGTCAAAACTCCTCTCCCGGATGTCGGCGGCATCCGGGACCCCTACTGGTAGATCTCAAGCACGGTACGCAAGCAGACTCAGCCATGGATCGGCACCATCTCCACTTCTGATCCGCACGAAAAGTGGTACTACCAATTCCAGACGGACGGCCGCCTCTCTCGTTCGCAGTGCGAAGACGAGCGGGCAGCTAACTGTGAGCCTGACGTCGGAAACAAACCCCATCAGCTGATCGCCGTTCTCCGCCATGTGCGCTCTGCTCGCAGACAAGCATCTGCTCTAGCCCAAGTCCCAATCCCCAAAGCTGCGATGCCTTTCAGCGCACCAAGCAACCTCCAGAACCAAAGCCTGATGCATGGCATGCATATAACACTATGTATATTCGACAGCAAATATCAGAGATGCAAGTGCACAACAGACGAGCAGGTGGGCAGGCAAAGATACGAGTACACGACAGATGCTGGGTGATGATAGCAGGCACACAAATTACACGCGAGAGTATAAAAAAAAAGAAAAGCAGAAACATATCGTCAATCAGAGGATGGAGTAGTGGCCCGACGCGTCCGCAAGTTCCTGGCAGCAGCTTTCGCTTGCTTACGCTGCATGCGGGCAGTCAGATTGTGCTGTACCAACCCCACGCAACGACGCACCTTGGCCCTTGTCCGCTGCCCTCTTCCTAGCTTCTCCTCTCCGTCCTGCTCCTCCTCGTCTTCGCTCGAATCCTCCACGGCCGGTGGTTCCGACGACTTCACATCGTCCTCAGACAGGTCCGATCCAAACTCATCCTCGTCCGAGTCCGCCGAATGCCGCTTTTTCCGTCGCCTGATAAGCAATTAGCATGAATCCCAGCCGCATCAAGGTCTACCGCCGTACTTGGTCGTCCCGTTCGGCTTGGCCGGTGCTTTCCGCTTCGTCGGCACCCTCTCCTTTCGTTCCTTCTCCTTCTTCTCTTTAGGAGTCGTATACTGCGTCTTGATCCATTCGGCGGTCTCGGCCGGCAGGTACACCGTCTCCATGATCATCTTCGACGTCTCTGCATTTGGAAGGGGCCGCAGGATATCCGATGGGAGTTTGACCTTGCCCGGGAACGTCGTCATGTTGAGCCCATGGTGATGGGCATACAACTTGATCAGTTCCTGTGCAAGCTCTGACACAACGTAGAGATTCTGTGCAACTTTTAACGCCGGCACGTCAGCAAAACAAATGCGCCCACCTCGCTGTGCTGCTGCGACTCGGCATCTCGCACGGTCTTGGCCTTCATCGCGAGATGGTACAGCAACGAGATTGTGTCCGCATTGGCGATCATGTCAAGATAAAAGTTGATATACCTGGTGCCAGCGTTAGATGTGCCCCCAGGCAAGTGGAAAGCACCCACTTTGCGGTGTCAACCATCTCATCTACGGTGGTGGCGAAATCTGGATGGTGAGCCAGCAAGTGCAATAGTCGCAGGAACATCATCTCCAGATGCTTCATCCGCTGGTCTGAGTCGATCGACAGTCAGTATATTTCACAGAAGAGCGCACTGCGCATACCAGGCTGCAGCCTTTTGACAACACCTGTCACATACGAGGAAGCCTTGGAAACAGTCGGGTCAGCATTCGGAGGAAACAATAAGTAACGATGCCACTCACCAGGGTCTTAACATCCTGCTCGGGGTCGTGTACCGTCAAGAAGGGAATTACATTGAAGTAGGGAGGCAATCGAGGCGGGTGCAACATCGAAACAAGCCTCTTGAGGAATGTGATGCGAACATTGAAGCACGTGTCTTGCACCGTCAACGCCAGCTTCAAGAAGCGCGGGGCGATGGCTTGCGCAAAGGCCGGGACCGTTGCCAAATGTAACAGCGATATCGCCGCCTGGAGACGCATCCGCGACATCACCTTCAGACTGTCACGCTCGCTGAGAAGGTCCAGAAGCTTGATCGAATGGGGAGAACGTACTCTTCGTCTGCGTCAGGAACCAGCGACCCACCAAGCTCTAGAATCGTTGCCAGCATTTTCAGCACCGGGGTCGCCATTTCGACCGCTTTATCCGATTTCGCATGCGCCAGACTGCGATTCCGACATACTTTGAGCGCCAGAATCTTGGCACGCAGATTATCCGTGACCTCGGCTTCCTCTGCCCACTCTTCATCGGTTTCCATCGCATTCTGAAAGCCAATCAGACAATGAACAAAGCACAGATACGGACGATACCACACACATCTAGTCGACCAGTGGGCACCATCAACAACTGCTTCAGCAAGAACTCCATTAACACATCGCTCTTGTGCTCGAATGAGTTCGGCGCAAACCGTGCAAACTGGGCCAGAACTGCAACGTGCGCAACAAGAATCTCGGAAGAAGCCGTTCCGAGAGCGTCACAGATAGACTCGACGACTTCATCACAGACGGCGTCCTTATTTTTCGAAAAAGTCAAGAATCGGGCCGCGAACTTGGCCTGTCGAGGAGAGCCTTCAAGAGCAAGATGCTTGATGCGCTCAAACGTCCGCCTGCACAGACAAATCAACCGACGTCTTTGCGATGCCAGTCCCACGTGGGAAGTACGTACTTGTCCAGGGCTACTGATCCCTCGTCGATACGCACTAGTCCAGCTAGTGCTTGTATGGCGACCTCCACTAATCGGGAATTAGGATTCCCGGCCGCATCCTCCGCAGCGGAGATGCTCTTCGCCAACTCTCCGACATGGTTCTTATACAATATCGGGGAGTGTTTCGCAACAAAGGCCAGCAGCTTCGCCGCGTTGGCCGCTGTGACCGTGTTCGGCTTCTGCAACCGCCTGAGCAGAGTCGGGATCGAAGATTGATTGACTGTTCGCAAGGACGCTTGACGAACGATGAACGACATCGCGGACACCAGATTTGGCGCGACATTGTCCATTCGTTTATGAAACTCGGTCTACGAAGATCAGATTTGTGTGCAAGACTCATCCAACTGAGTCGACTCACGCTGGCTTTGACGAGCCCTTTGAGATCCGTCTGCGGATCCATACAAGTCTTAAGTAACTTGTAGAGCCTCTGCTCATTCAGCTTTGCAAAAGCGTTCAGGTCCTCTCCCATCTTCAGTGGATCAGGCGATGACACTGCCGGCCATCATTGGTTTATTCCCCAAGATTGTAGCGAAAACAAGAACTCACTTGCGATGTACTTGATGACACTGGCAAGCTTGGACTTGACACTGTCTTCGTTCTCATCAATCACTCCACCCTGAACTCCGTCAGTCATAAATTATGATAGAACTCGAGCACAAACGTTGTTGGCTATGCAGCTCTCGACGAAGAGATCAAAGATCGTCGGACGTCTGTAAATGCTGCATGAGGTGTGGGCATCAGAACAAAAGAAGGATCCTCACGCTCTTTGAAGAGTACTGAAACTCAACAGAGAAGCTACACTCTGTTCTTCATCCAAAGATGCCATCACAGTAAGTAATCGATCTGTCCAGGCGGCTTCATCGACTTCAACACTCTTCGAACTAGACGCGGCAGAAGACGGGGTGGGCAAAGGCAGGATGAACTCTGCCAGCACTTCATCTACCTGGAGTCTGATGGATTTCATCAGTTCAACAGATCGTCACAGTGAGCTTTAGACTGGCCTAATCTCAGCGTTTGTTCTGACTGCAGCAAACATGTCATTTGGGATCCAGGCGAAGTGATCAATGGCAGCCATGTCCTTGCTTTCTCTGAGAGAAAATGAGACTCGTCGCGAAGCTCAAAAATAAGACCTACATTTCAGGATATGCTAGGGCATAAAGCTTCCCCAGTGCTCGAATAGCTTCCGCCCTCACCGAAGGCTAGAACGTACAGATCACAAAACCGATCTCCATACATTCTGAATCTGCGCACCTTCTTATCCAACATGCGGCCAGCCACAGCTTTCAACTGATCGACCTTGACGTGATGCAATGCAGTCTCGTAGTCCATGCTTGAATATACTCGGCAGACTGCAGCCCGCACTTTCTCGTCCGGGTCTAGGAGTTTGGTCGTCAAAGCTTCCTCGACTGCGGCCCTTTGCTCTGAGCTTGCACTGGCGCGTACAAGAAGTGCAGAGGACGCTTCGATGAACTTGATGCGCACAGCGGACGACTTGTCGTTCCTGCGCTTGAGCCACACATTCCACGTCATCGGGAACTTGCGCGTTAGCGTCAGCCCATGGGTTGGCTCTGCGAACATCTCGCCGAGGGTCTCGGTGACGATAAGCCGGAGCTGCACCTCCTCCGTTTGTAACTCTTCTTCCAGCTGAGGAATGACGGTGACCAGGACTTCGGGACACGCCGCGTGAAGACGCTGGACGAGTTCGTGCTCGGTGCGGATGTCGTCAAAGTCGTCGTCGTCGTGCTCGGACACGATGTGTTCCGTGAAATGCTGTGCAACATGGCGTTGGAGTTTATCGGCCGTGGCGGTACACACATGCACCGCTAGCCGGTATTGCGCGTTCTCTTTGCGCTTTAAACGAACCAATCAGGACGTGATGAGGATACATCAAGAGATGGCCACCCACTGCGTTCTTGTCCATGAATTGTGCCAACAGAATCTCCAGAACCGCCCCAGGCAACACCTGGCACTCGTCTATGAGCGCCACGAGGATCTCCCCCAGGAACATCTCCACTTTACGCGCCAGGTCCCGTTTCACGATGGCGGAGAATTCGCGAAAGATCTCGGTCATGAGCTCCTCCGCGTTCGGCAAGTCGCACACCAAGACCACGCTCTTCACGGTCGACAACGACTCCAGAAGATGGAAGAATTGAGCGTAGTACGGACAGTCGGAGGCTAGGAGTCCTTTGCTGAGTTGGCGAAAGAAGAATTGGAAGATATCGCGTAGTTCGCCCGGAGTGTACGGTGCGTCTGGGGCTGTGAGACGGAGGATGTCCGCGAGGCAGCACGCGGCATAGGCTTTGACGCCTCGATCCTTGTGGAGTAGAATGTATTTGTCGATGAGCTCCTTGCGTACACCATTGAGAGAGGCTGGGTCGATGTGGTCTTGCTCGAGGTCCGCTAGTTCACGATGCAAGGTCTGAAGCTTTTTGAGGAGAACGTCCGTGGTCTGGCCCTTGCCGACGAGTTTCTCGCGGAATGCGAGCTTCTTCGGGGACGACACAGCCCCGTGCCGGGTTTGAGCCACCATTGGCCAGAAAGGAGGAGGAGAGCACGCGTTGTTTGTCCATGTCTCGTATCGACGTTATCAAACGCGCTCGAGCCTCTTGCACTCTCTTACTGGAAAACAATCAATTCCTGAATCCGGCTTGAAATGAAGCACCTCTCTTGTCTATCTTGTACGAAATACCCTCTGGACAGCCTAATCCCGTTGCCCCCATCTTGTGTACCAGCCCGAAGGATCAGAATGTCCCGTTCAGCGCTTTGGTTCTCGTCTTGCATACAAATTTCAAGTGTGCATCAGAGAAGGGGTTGGATGACAAGCATTCTTCTCTCGACGCACCAGGTAGCAGGATGCTGCGATCCTTCTGCCAAGCGGATCGAAGTGTGGGTCGTGGAAATGCTATCGCGCTGCTTTTCGTCTCCAGAGTGCTCTTTGGGGTGCACCCACGTCAAGTTCTAGCAACGGGATCAAACGTGGACCGCATTGTCTCGGTGTGCACTCTCACGACCCATCATCACGCAGCTCCGTGTACTTTGCCAGCGCAGGCCTCTTCGTCTCTATCTTCTATGTAAGAACTGTACTGTTACATTTGCCACTGTTCACCTCATATACATCACCCGCGACGTCCGCTTTACTGTCAAGCTATCTCGGAGGAATCAGACGCTACGCTCCGTTTACGACCACCCCATTTATCATCGCAAGCATCGCAGCCCATCCCCTGCTCGCGGTTCTCGTCGCGAATCAGTTATTATTGAGTATTAACAGGAATGCTGTGCCTTTGCATCAAGATCATTCCCGAATGTTCTCAAAGCATCTTACTGATGCACGACTCAGTCAGATACAAATATATAAGGCAGTAGAATTACTTTTCCGATACACGACTATGTACTATATAAATCGGGAGAAATCCCAAGCACAATATAGATTTTTATCCCACTCAGATTCTCGTCTGTTCATCAGGTTATGGGCCCCGGCCGTAACTGAACATCTCTCGCATCTGCTTTACCCATCGCGTATCAAGCACTAGCCTAATCAGCTCAAAACGATTTAATTTTCACTGCGTGTTAAATCACATTTACTACAATGTCGACTGACGCATCTACATCTGCCTACCGGATTCAACATCTCCTCGGCGAGGAAAACTACCAGACCTGGGCCGTCAAGATCACGGACATCTTGACCGACCTCCAGCTTGACGACTACCCGAAAGGCCGGCTCCTGAAGCCCGGCAGTCGCGTCCCTCCACCCATCACCATCACCAACCCCGACGGCACCACGACCACCATCACATCCTCCATCACTGTCTCCACCGCAACCGCCAGCGAATGGGAGCGCAAGGACCGCCAGGCCCTCTCTGCAATCCGTCTCCGTGTAACCGATGGTCCGCTAGTTTACATCACCAACGCAAGCTCGGCAAAAGAGGCATGGGACGTACTTGAAAAAATGTACCGCCCACGGGGTGCCTATGCAATTGTCCTCCTCCGTCGGAAACTCCTCCATCTCGTGTGCGCCGAAGGGGGAGACATCGAGGAACACATTCGGAAGCTTACCTCGTTACGTACTCAGCTCATGACGCTTGGGTCGCGCTTCGACGAGGATGAGTTCTGCACGACTCTCCTCACCTCACTCCCTGACTCCTGGGACACTTTCATCCAAAGTGTCGACACCAGCTCCTTCACCGACTCCGCCCCACTCATTGCGCGGATCCTCGAACGGGACCGCCAGCGCAAAGCCAAGCCGACTTCCGATGATGTCGCCCTACCAGCTCGATCCGCCAAGACTGGCAAGTTCTCAACGAACCTGTCATGCTACGGTTGTGGTCGCCGGGGGCACGTTATTGCTGACTGTCGGGACACGAAGGCGGGAAAGACGTTTACGGAGGAGCAGAAACGCCGAAATGGACAAGGAGGGGGAGGAGGAAGAGGATGGAATTCGGGCCGGGCACACGTGACTGAAGAAGCGCAATTTGATGCGCCCGCTTTCGCTTTTGCCGCTGCGTCGTTACCGCCCGCAACGGGCTTGGACGTTTGGTTAGCTGATAGCGCAGCTACACGACACATAGTAATCAATAAAACGCTTTTTTCCTCGTACCTCGAGACGCCTGGCACCAACGTTACCGGATTTGGACAATCTTCGAGCCCCGGCAGTGGCACCGTAGAAATCTCTTCTCATGTCGGCACCAAAGCCTACGACATCTCACTTCGGGACTCTATGCACGTTCCAAATGCTCCTTACAACCTCATCTCTCTTGGCCGACTCACTTCCGCGGGCTGCTCAGTCCAAATGAAGGGTGACACAATGAAAATCCATTCTCCTGGACCCAAATCGTACGAAATCATGCGTGGTACCTTGATTGGCGGACTCTACAAGGTCCGCATCACTCGCTCTGCTCGTTCTCCGCCCAGCCGACCCACTCCCACTGTTGCCCTACCATCGAAACCTTCGTCGGCACCCACTCACACTTGGGACAAGTGGCATCGGATCCTCGGGCACATTCAGCATGCATCTGTGAAGACTCTGCGGGATAAGCAGATGGTTACTGGGCTGAATGTAGACGAATCCGTACCTGCATCAACCTTCTGCGAGACTTGCGTCAAAGCCAAGTCCCACGTCACTCCGTTCCCACCAGCATCTGACAGTCAATACACCGAAATCGGTGACCTGACCTTCACCGATGTGTGGGGACCCTCGCGCGTGATTGCCATTGATGGTTCCCGATACTACGTCTCATTTACGGACGCTGCAACACGACGAACAGTGCTCTACTTCCTAAAACGGAAGTCAGACGTCAAGGATCGGATGCGCGACTACGTGGAATACATACAGACACAGGCAGGGAAGCGCGTTAAAGCCTTCCGCTGTGACAACGGGGGTGAATATGTCAACGACGATGTTCGGACCTTCCTCCGGGAGCGAGGAATCCGGCTCGAGTTGACCGCGCCATACTCTCCGCAGCAAAACGGCGTGGCAGAACGCCTAAACCGGACACTAATTGAGCGCGCACGTGCTATGTTGGGAGCCTACAACTCCCCATTATCTCTGTGGTCTGAAGCGGTCGCATATGCAACGTACCTGAAGAACCGATCCCCGACCCGTGCCCTTCCCTCCCTCATTACCCCGGACGAAGCCTTCTGGGGTCGCAAACCCGACGTCTCCACGCTCCAAGGGTTTGGATCGCCATGTTGGGTGTTGCAGCAGGACGGGAAGCGAGCGAAAATCGACTCGAAGACACGCCCCTTCACTTTTACTGGAATTGGCGATGAGTCACATTCCCTGCGGTACTATAACGCTGAAACACGCACCATCCAGACCAGCCGTAATATCATTTTTGATCCATCGACAAAACCCGAGTCTTCAGCCATCCCTGAGGCTCCGGCGTCGTCGCTCGAGGGGGAGAAAGAAAAAGAGGTCGATCGAGCACCGCCTTCTGCTGTCAATCAGCCTACACCGCCAAAAGCTGCCAATCACGCACCTCCGGACCGTTCTCCGTCTCCACCTCCATCGCCGCTAACTACGCCGCCTTCCTCGCCGCCGTCTACACCACCTGCACCTCGTGTTGCTCCACGCAACATCACCAGTGCTGTTGATGAGTCGAACATCATCGACGCTCCGCGTACTCGCCGCACTGTGTACAGTGACAACTACCGCCTTCTCAACAACCCAGACTCTCGATCTCCGAAGAAGCCCGATGCTTGGAAGCATCGCGTTGCCAACGAAGACTTCGCCTTAGCGGCAACTTCGACTTTTGATATCCCCGCGGACGATCCGACGAACCTGGAGGAGGCAATGGCGAGGCCAGACTGGCCAATGTGGAAGAAAGCCATGGAGGAGGAAATGGAGCAGCTACGCACACTTGGAACATTCTCGCTACAAACCCTACCAACTAATCGCTCCCCTATTGCATGTAAATGGGTATTCCGAATCAAACGCACCTCAGTTACCACCGCCATCACCCGGTTGCACCCCCGCGGGGGTCCTCCTGGGTACCCTCAGACGTAGCTCTGAGGGTACCTAACAGGTACCCCCCTGCGGGGCCCGCGGGGGGGATTTGGTCCATTTGGGGGCGGGTGCATATGCGGGGGTCAGCAGGGGGGGGGTCTGTACATGTCATGTGATTTATCATTGGGAGCGGGCAGGTGGGCGCGAAAAAAAAAATGAATCACATGACACATCCAATGGGCGGGATGGCGGCTGATGGCGGGGTAAAAAAATCACGTGATGCACCGCATGAAAATTATCAAAAATGGCTAGCAGGGGTTGGCGGGGGTTGGCGGGGGCGCTACTGGCCCCCCGCACACCATGGCGGGCAGTGGGCGCATTATCACGTGACTTTTGGGGCACCTTTTGTGCACCATTCGGCATGATTTCGGAGGTGTTGCTTGATCCATTGCATGCTGTGGCAGACAATGGGCGCATAATCACGTGATTTTCCGCCCAAAAAAATGGAAGCCTTCCCCAAATCATCCTGGTATCATTTCTATCGGTAAATACACTAGTTAAGCATGAATTTGAGCTTAGAAAGCCCAAAATGCACCCTGCACAATGGGACTGGTGATGCACTTGATCCCATCATTTGGCGGGGTCTGCTGCGGGGGGTGCTGCGGGGGGTGCTGCGGGGGGTGCCGCAGGGGGTGCCGCAGGGGGTGCCGCAGGGCCCGCTGTGGGGTCAACCACAGGAGCAGGGGTAGGGGTGCATTGCATCATATTTTGATCTATCTATTCTCGCTGTGGTCATAGCATGCAGCATAATTATCCTTCATTTTGCCAGGAGTTTGGAGGCTGTGTCTGGGGTTGGTCTGCAGCTACAGCCATGTGACTCCCTGATGCTTCGGCAGGGGCTGGGATATCAAAACTGTGCAAATTTACCTAAATCTTTTGGCTTAGCTTGGGGCACTGATATATATGACTTGGTTCATTTTGGCATGGTCTGCTCAAGCTGTCAGGTCAAACTAAAAATTTGAAAAATGTGCAACTTGATTTGTTAGGCAAATCTCCCAAGTACATGCTCCAGGGACAGCCAACATCATCAACAAGAAATGGCTAATGTTTCTTTTCTCTGTCTGTTTGCTTCAGGTAGTCTGTCTGCACTCAAATTTTTCTCTCCATTTGCAGCATATTCCGTGGAGGTGTCATAATTGTTGATTTCCGGATTTCATACTTCTTGTCTACACACCATTTGGGCCCTTTACTGAATCCAATAATACTGTAGACTCTTACAATGGATTGAGCAGGACATTTGTCAATTAAATCCTTGCAGGGGTTGGGGGGGGTCAACCGCAGGGGGTGCCGCGGGGGGTGCCGTGGGGGTGCACAAGCATCTGCCAGCCTACCAAATGTGGATCAACTACAAAATCACTTTCCAAAGCTTCTGTACTGCAACCCAAGTGACTTCTAGGTAACCTTTACCCAATCCCAGTGAAACAACTTCACTGCTCTTGTTTCTGGGTGACAATTGATTTTATGAGCTTGAGTGTGTATGTGCGCTTCTTAGTCGGAAATGAGGCCATGTGATGAGAGGTAGGGCACCGAAACATTGTAAAATACTATATTCAACATGACCGGTGGCCCATGTCTCTTCAAACCAGCCCATATCTCATGTTTATCAAGACCCTATTTTTCGGACTCATTTCAAGTTTTTGAATAGTTCCAGGGTCCAGGGCTCTCAGAATTTGTTTCAGACACTGCCAAAGAGTATATCATTCAGCTGTATTGAATTGCTTGTGTGTAGAAAAAATATTTTTTGCCATACTCAAAGTGAACCATGTTGAACCATTGTCTACATAGGAAACTTGAGCAATGGTGAACTGTTTTCATGTTTCGATTTTTAGGTGGACAAAGGATATGAAGTACCTACATATTCAACAAGAATAGCATATGGAGACCTTATTCCGATGGTTTTCAGCTGCATAACTGTAGGAACAGTGTTAGAAGAGCAGTAAACACTTAGGTACGACGTTTATACAGGTTCTGATTGGCTAGTGACTTGACGTGTTCCGAGCTGTCAGTTTACATAATCTTACATATAAGAAAATCACGGGGACAAGGCACCGGTGGAGCGGGGGGTGCTAGACTGGCGGGGGTGCCAGCGGGGGTGCCGGCGGGGGTGCCAACAGAGGTGCCGGCGGGGGTGCCAATGGGGGTACCAGCAGGGGTGCAGGCAGTGGGTCATGGCAAGGATGTGTGCAGCCCCAGAGGTAGTAAAAGTAACCATCTATGTCTCTACAGTCTATCTTGCAAATATACGAGCTCTGAGTGCACAGAGTGTTGTATATGAAATTTGAAATTCAAATATTACCAATCTCTGACTATTGTGAGGCAACTTGCTGGTGAATCCATTGTCTCATATTCCACCTAGGAATCAATTCAGGGCATGTCAAATCCACTCTATTACATCTGTTCATGTTGCAACTAAAGCAAACTGCTTGTAAAGTAACACAGAACAGATGAACTTCAATGAGTCCCAGACAGGAAGTGTGACATTAGGTATGTAATTAATGTGTGGTATCATCCACTGGGTAAGATTAGACTGTGCCTACAGCATGATCAGCTTACCAATGGGCATGTGTATAGAATGAGCAGACGAAACAATCAATGAGTTGACAGTGGACCCGATGCAGCCCATGATGTCAGCCCACCTACCCTGCCAGCCAAAAAATGAACAAATCACACTTTCTTTTTAACCCTACATGCCTGGATTATGCAGACAATATTGCACAGTTTTGATATCCCAGCCCCTGCCGAAGCATCAGGGAGTCACATGGCTGTAGCTGCAGACCAACCCCAGACACAGCCTCCAAACTCCTGGCAAAATGAAGGATAATTATGCTGCATGCTATGACCACAGCGAGAATAGATAGATCAAAATATGATGCAATGCACCCCTACCCCTGCTCCTGTGGTTGACCCCACAGCGGGCCCTGCGGCACCCCCTGCGGCACCCCTTGTGGCACCCCCTGCGGCACCCCCCGCAGCACCCCCCGCAGCACCCCCCGTGGCACCCCCCGCAGCAGACCCCGCCAAATGATGGGATCAAGTGCATCACCAGTCCCATTGTGCAGGGTGCATTTTGGGCTTTCTAAGCTCAAATTCATGCTTAACTAGTGTATTTACCGATAGAAATGATACCAGGATGATTTGGGGAAGGCTTCCATTTTTTTGGGCGGAAAATCACGTGATTATGCGCCCATTGTCTGCCACAGCATGCAATGGATCAAGCAACACCTCCGAAATCATGCCGAATGGTGCACAAAAGGTGCCCCAAAAGTCACGTGATTATGCGCCCATTGTCTGCCACAGCATGCAATGGATCAAGCAACACCTCCGAAATCATGCCGAATGGTGCACAAAAGGTGCCCCAAAAGTCACGTGATAATGCGCCCACTGCCCGCCATGGTGTGCGGGGGGCCAGTAGCGCCCCCGCCAACCCCCGCCAACCCCTGCTAGCCATTTTTGATAATTTTCATGCGGTGCATCACGTGATTTTTTTACCCCGCCATCAGCCGCCATCCCGCCCATTGGATGTGTCATGTGATTCATTTTTTTTTTCGCGCCCACCTGCCCGCTCCCAATGATAAATCACATGACATGTACAGACCCCCCCCTGCTGACCCCCGCATATGCACCCGCCCCCAAATGGACCAAATCCCCCCCGCGGGCCCCGCAGGGGGGTACCTGTTAGGTACCCTCAGAGCTACGTCTGAGGGTACCCAGGAGGACCCCCGCGGGGGTGCAACCGGGTGATGGCGGTGGTAACTGAGGTGATCAAACGCGATGATACCGGCGCCATTTCCCGTTACAAGGCCCGACTCGTTGCAAAAGGATTCTCACAGATTCCGGGCATTGATTTCGACGAAACATACGCGCCTGTTGTCCGCATCAACACTGTCCGCCTACTACTCGCTCTGGCCGCTCACTACAACCTCAAAGTCAACGTCGTGGATGTTGTTGGAGCTTATCTCAACGGAAAACTCTCTGAAGAGATCTACATGCAACAGCCAACCCTTTTTGAAGACGGAACCACCCGCGTCTGCCGTCTTCACCGCACAATCTACGGGCTTAAGCAGTCCGGACGCGTGTGGAATCAGAAGCTGAATGCTGCATTCCTGAAACTAGGTTACACCCGACTCATTTCTGACCAATGTGTCTATTTTCGACGCAACGGATCGGGTGTAGCCATCATTGCTGTCCATGTCGATGACATGTCAATCCTGACTTCCTCCGATGCTCTCATGGCCCGCATCGAGGCCGAACTGGACTCCGAATTCACGATCAAGAAGCTTGGCGCAATCCGACAGCTTCTTGGGATGGAAATCACACGCACAAATGAGTCTATTTGTCTCACCCAGACTCAGTACATCTCGAAGATCCTCGAGAAGTACCAGATGGCCTCGTCGAACCCGTCTCACACCCCGATAGACCCGAACGTCAAACTCGCACAGCTCCCAGACGACGTGTCATACCCCGAAGTCAAACGACTCTATCAGCCAATGATTGGCTCCCTCCTTTACGCCGCAATCACGACTCGACCCGATATCTCGTACGCTGTCCAGTCTCTTTCCCAGTTCAACACCAATCCGGGACCGGAGCATCTCACCGCCGTCAAGCGAGTATTCCGTTACCTCCGTGGCACTATGGACCTCGGGATCGAATACCGAGCTGACTTAAACGTGACAGCACTCGAGCTGTTCTCAGACGCGGACTGGGGTTCTGACCCAAATACCCGACGTTCGATCACGGGCTACATCTCATGCTTTGCAGGGGGAGCCGTTACTTGGAGCTCCAAGAAGCAGGTTACCGTTGCTCTCTCGAGCATGGAAGCCGAGTATATGGCACTGTCAAGCGCAACTCGGGAAGCTCTTTGGCTTCGATCACTCCTTACAGAACTCGACGTCGACACCACCTTTCCCACACACATCTCCGTCGACAACCTCGGCACCATCCTATTTGCCGAGAACTCGGGTTTCCACGCTCGCTCAAAGCATATTGATATACGTTACCATTTCATCCGCGAGAGATTAATCTCAAACGAGATTTCAGTTTCCCACATACCCACGGACGAGAACACTGCCGATATATTCACGAAGGGAGTACCCCGACCCAAGCACGAATACCTCGTATCGCTACTCGGGATGATTCGAGCTTGAGGGGGAGTATTGAGTATTAACAGGAATGCTGTGCCTTTGCATCAAGATCATTCCCGAATGTTCTCAAAGCATCTTACTGATGCACGACTCAGTCAGATACAAATATATAAGGCAGTAGAATTACTTTTCCGATACACGACTATGTACTATATAAATCGGGAGAAATCCCAAGCACAATATAGATTTTTATCCCACTCAGATTCTCGTCCGTTCATCAGTTATGTATTATCTATGTGCGTGGCTTGACCGAGATCCTCCAAGCAAGTGGTCTGGCAGATGAGCTGTTGCATGGGCATAATGGGACACTCTCCAAGAGCGTCATTCTATCGGTGGATGCTACTCTGTCGCAGTCTACCACACATACTATGGCTCCAAATTTGTCAGCCTACCACTCGGACAAGGTCTCTGCCGGCCTTCCAGCAGAGCATCGCCATCTTCAGCGATCACATGCGTTTATTGCTGGTGTCTTCTGTGTTGGCGCAGTACCCAGGATCCCCTTTGGCTGCTTCGTTGCTGGGGCAGGTAGCTTCGTAGTTGGCTGGGAAGCTGCTGCGGTCAGACGTTTGTGCTTTTTGTCATCTGGCAACCGTCCTGGGTTTTTACATAAGTGTTGGGCTGTCAAAGTTAGGACCCATACACATCTACGTTTGTCTTTGCCTCTCGGCTTCGCTTTTTTACGGGAAAATGATGACAACACGGAGTATTGAGAAGCGCGCCTCGTCACGCTGCACATGATGCTTGCATTGACGCCGTCCGGTAAGCAATGGCCTACGTCCATGTTTCTACGTGACGATTGCACTACAACACGTTCCGCGCTCAGCCAAGTTCAACATTACATGTACATTGAAGTTTACAAGAATGGCATTTCAATTCTAACTACATAATTCAGCATGAAAGGTGCTCGGTCGAAGACCTGCTCAGACTTGTCAACAAATACTCGTCAGCTGACTCCCGTTTATGTAGAAAATACAGCTTCGAGGACGGAAAAAAGCGGGTACATCTATCTAGTAATCTACGACGACTCAGCCAGTGTCTGCTTGACCAAATCTTCTAAAATCTGCGCGTCGGCCGAAAACTTGGCCAGCCCTTCGGGGACCTTGACAGCCGCAACTTCCTCTCGGGCGATGTCCCGAGCATACAGAGCTGCCGCGTCCTCAGCACACCCGCTGCCAAAGTACACAGTCGATACAGAGACATCGACGGACTCCGATGCAAAGGGCAGCGCCGGCTTGATGAGATCCTGTCGGACCCGGACACCCTCCAACAACACGGGGGGAATAGTCACCAGGTCCGGCCCACCCGCCACTCCGTACTTGCACACCTCGATGATTTCCTCCGGTGCCCTGAATCCCGCAGCCATCACATGCGTCCGCCCGGACCAGCCGTTCGCGTCGTAAGTTGCGCGGATTGCCCGCACGAGCAGCATCCCAGGGTGTTCTGCGAGATCCGTCGCAGGAGGTCGGCCATGCGCATCCCAAAAATCTTTGACACGTCCGATGAAGGGCGAGATGACCGAGAGTCCGGCTTGGGCACACGCAATAGCCTGTATGCGTCCGAAAATGAGCGTCATGTTGGTATGAATAGCGAGTTCTCCGGCCGCCGGATGCTCCAACGTTTGAGCGGCGACGATCCCTTCGTATGTGGCGGGGATTTTGATGAGGATGCGGGTTCGGGGGATGCCAAGTTCCTCCAGGAGGGATACGAGATTACGGCCCTGGAGCACGGTCAGAGACGAGGATCTCAGTGAACAGTAGTATAACGCACCTTCTGGATCATGGCCTCTGTATCGTACCCGATCCTCGGGTCTACAGACACCGACACCCGCCCAGGCACAATCCGCGCGATCTGGGAACCGACTTGCGCAAGCTATTGTGACAGTTGTGAGCTGAGCCGCAGCTCAGAATCATGACGACGCACCAGGCGATCCATGGCAAGCACCGTTGTCTCCTCCGCACTCCCAGCAGGCATCTTCCCCCGCGCATAATTCACCGCGTCCTGCACAATGGCTGCATATTCCGGCTTCGACACGGCAGCAAGGACGAGTGACGGATTGGTTGTGGCGTCGGTCAGGTCGTTCTGGAAAGGCCAGATCTCTGGGAATACGTTTCGGATGACGCGGCGCCAATTCGAAGCGAAGATTACGGACGGTTGTATTCACCCGTGTCTGAGGCGAAGCGCACACCAGAGCTACGGACAGCTTGCAGGCCAGAAAGAGGGGGGGCCGCCATCGCACAGATCGGAAAAATGGAGAGAAGGAGAAGCGTAGTGAGCAGCGATTTAAGAGCATGAATTGGATGTCGCCATTCTGATCGATTCGATACCGGCCGAAAAAGGATGACGATCCATGAACGTGTCACGATATGATGACCCCGGACGGCATCCGCATGAAAATGCTATCAGACACCCCACGAGCGTCGAGAGATCCTAATGGCGAAAAGGGCCAAATCGAAAAATGCACCGGCGGAAGCAAAAAAAGATCGACGAATCGAGGGCGATCATCGGTGGCGATCATTCCCGATATGGAACGGGGTTAGCAGTCCTAAGCCCCCAACGTCTTGAGGATTCCCACCAATCTCTCTTTCCGCACAGGGATCCATAATACCTCCCCACCTGAGCTCGCCTGGGCGGAAAGAACGAGACCGTGATCCAAAAACTCTCCCAACAACGCACGCACGGCCGTATCCGTTTGACCCAGAAACTCTTGCCTCGCCAGGGGGAAGAGGACATCGTAAGCAACGGCTGTCTCCCGCAGCATATCCACGCTCGGATCGCCTGCGTCAATGCTCTCCAACTGGCGTCTGGCCATCAAGATAAACAGCTTCTTCGCCCTGTCATTCACAGCAGCCAAAACATGCAGGGCTGCGGTCTCTGATATCGCCGCACCCGGAGCTTGTCCTGAGCCGATGGCAGCATCAGCATGTCTGCGCCCAGATGCTCCTGTCACGGACGTGTGATCCGCGAATGTAAGCTCGAAGTCGTAGCCGGCCAATGTCGTGCAGTCGTGCCACAGCCACGCAAAACCTCGCCGCGGAGTCTTGCCTGGTGCTGCCACCCCGTCTTTGCGGGTCGCTGATTCTGTCGCTGTGAAAAGGAGCGGCGCGTTGATGTGGTCGACGGAGGCGACCAAGTGGATCCGCGGGTGGAGCGCGAGGAGGGACAGGCACGGTTTGGCTTTTGGGGCGCGCGTGAGGAGGAAGTCAATGTTGTGGATAATGAGGTAGAGGTCTCCTCGAGTACGCTTGTCGGAAAAGAAATCGTATATCCGACGCGCCTGCCCATCCGGGGTATTGGGAGTGAGAGGCAGCGATGACACGCCCTTGATATCCTCGATGGACCCAAGGACGTCTCTAAGAGTCACTTCGGGGTGAAATCCATTAACAACTACCACATGCCCCTTCTTTGCACATCGCGTCGTCGCAAACTCGTTCAACCACTTTCTCTTCGACCCATATCCATAGCACACCACGTTGAACCCTTCCTGAAGCTCGCACATGATTTGTGTGTGGAGTGCGGAGCGCGCGGGCTCATGAAGGATCCGCGATTCCAACTTCTTCTCGCCTATCGAGTCGGATGATATGGCCTCGGCGTACTCCTCCGCAGAGAGCGGTTGGATGAGGGACGAGAATATGTTCTTAGAGGTCACTGCTCGCGAGGCAGTCGCGGAAAAGTACGCGTCGAACCCGGCTTGGACGATGACTCGCTTCGTATCGTCGTATGGGTCATCCTCGATGCCAGTAGCTTTCCCTTTGCCCTTGCCTTTGAGGTCGAGTTCGTCTTCTGATGTGGGTGACGGTGTGTCGGACTCAGAATCGTCGCTGCGTGGCATGGAGGAACAGCCTTTCCGTGAAGCTTCGACTGATAGGCAGGAGGAGGAGTGAACCGCTATCAACTTCAATTTTGCGAGCCGAATGACATCCACGTGACGGGTCATGTGCACGCTCGCACGACCACCTTTCATCTGCGCTTCATTCACAAAATTTCTGCAACGATGTGTTAAACTGCCTCATCGCTTGAGTCTTCGTGTACAATGCACACAGATGGTGCACACTCCATCTCTGGCGATGACGCCGCCATAATGACTCTGCGTGAGGCGGTAAAAGAAATCACCATTGGGAGCGTGAGTGGGCGTCTCTTGATCGACTCTAGTAATAAATGTTCCCTAGTTCGCAGGCGTCGTCTCGGAGGTCGGCTTTTGACCGAAATTTGATGTCTCAAGTCTCACTCTTGCCTTTCCGCAGATTGTCGAATACCCAGCCGACCTTGCGAAAGTCCGCCTGCAAGCCCAACTCTTGACTCCGCCTTCAGAGACCAGGCAATTGTTCAAGGGCCCAGTGGACACCTTGGTAAAGACGTGGAGGAATGAAGGCGTGCGAGGTCTATATCGGGTGTGTAGTCTGGCGATTCACACATATTTGACCGCGCTGACCACAACATATATCTCCAGGGTTTGTCGGTGCGTTTCGTTCTTCGGAACACATCTTGCTACCCCTTTTCTCTGGCTGATTAGATCTCAGGTCCCTATTGCAGGCTCTATGGCAGAGACGGCAGGCCTGTTCTGGTCATACTCTTACTTTCAGAACTTGATTCGCGCGCAAAATTCGATAGCATCATCGACGCCACTCACGATACCTCAAGTAGCACTGGCCGGTGCTAGCGCTGGATTTGTGGCGAGCTTCATCGTGTTCGTCGCGACATCCACACAACTCGTCTCGCAAGACTCACTCGCGTGTGATTACAGGACTCCAATAGAACTAGTCAAGTGCAAAATGCAAGTGCAGCTCATGAACACGACAACTAGCGCCCGTGTCCCGCCCATCCACAGTGTACCCAAATCCGTTGCTTCGCTTGTTCGGACACGACCCTCTGAATCGCCTCTGTTCGACCTCATTGTCAAGGAGAAGAGGCCACCGGGGCTTGTTTCCATCGTCCGCTCCACCGTGGCCACCCACGGGCTAAAGGGTCTCTGGCTCGGGCACACGGGAACTATCCTCCGAGAAACAGGCGGCACAGCCAGTTGGTTTGCAGTGAAGGAATGGGTAGCCGAACGGCTGCTCGCACGACGGCTCGGCCCGGGTGTAAAGGCGGACCTGCTATCATGGGAATCTGCTGTATCCGGTGCGATATCTGGCGCGGCCTGCGTTCTCGCCCTGTATCCCGCGGATACAGTCAAGTCGGCTATGCAGACTGAGGAGGAGCTGCTCTCCCATCGGCGTTCTGCGGGTTACAAGCCCCGACCCCCGTCATTCTACCGGACGTTTACGGAGATGTATACGAGGCATGGTGTGAAGGGACTGTATGCTGGGGGTGGGATGACGATGATGCGTGCGGTGCCCAGCAGCGGCATTGTGTTCGTCGTTTACGACGGACTTTCCGCTTGGATTGGGTAGGGTCTTATATAAATCTAGATAATGAACTTCCTTCTGTAGCTTTAGATATACTTAGTGTGATATACGTGTTGACTAATAATAGACATCTCTGCTCACTTTCGAGATTCCGGAACAAAGCTGGAAACAACTGAGTTGTGCTCGTGAATGATCCTCAGTCCTTTACCCACGGTTGGCTGGAAAAGTTGCAGAAGAATCACACTCTGCGCTCACTCTTGAAGACTCGGATGCACAAGGGTAATGCAAACGTGAGGCTTCGGCCGGGAGCTTGCCCAAGCCAGCCGCCTTTCAATTCAAGAGAGTTCACGTGAGTGAGAACGCGATCAGCTGACGGACATTCTTTCTGACGTCAGTCCATTATCTGCTCAGGTAGGATCTTTCTAGATGAGCACGTCAATCTTGCGATGAATTCGTCATTTCAGTGAGATTTTAATAGAATGAATTGATTCAGGCCAGGGTCTTTCGCATCTAAGGCCGCGTCCTATTGCTGACGATAAATCTTTGTTCGAGGACATGCCAGAGTTGAGTTCGAATATGTGATGAGCAAAGTTGTTTGTAGGTTTCTGTTTTTGTTTTGTTGATACAAGCAAAAAATCCCAGGTCTCACCCTCTAGACGGAAAGAGCTTGACCTGAGCCCACCGTTTTTTCGGCTACCCTCCCTTCAAAGCTGTCCCTTGCAAAGAGATTGCCGAGGTTATGCAGTCCTTTCAGGACAAATTTTTTCTCTCCCTGGGCCGGAGTCGTCCACTCGATCTCCCCCTCTCTCTCATCGATCGCCACTGCCGGATTCTTGTCCTCGTCCACGCCACTTATTCCCTCCGCTTCGTCTCGCCCTGAGTCGAGCAAGTCACCTTTCCGACCATCCGCCCACTTTCGCTCCTAGAGGAGACAGCCATACCCTCTCGGTGCATCTGTAGGCATTATTTCTTCAGGCTTCCCTGTGCTGGACCTAGCCGTAGGACCTGATGTCCATCCTCTCCATCTCCATCTCTCCCCTCATTCACCAACGCTGTACTTCTGACACTGTCTACCGAGCCAGACGAGAGAGAGGTCGGGCCTGCCACCTCGGTTGAAGTATATCATCAAACGGAAATCCTGATGCTGTCTTCGCAGAGCAGCAGCTTGAGTGGGTCTCAGGTACTGCCAAATTATTTGATTATGACGCTTTGTAGGAGATAAAACAGGAATCAGCTGCATTGAAGGGTTGTTACTTGCTCAAAGTCTGTTGCTAGTTTGATGGTAGGGCTGACTGCACTCGCCATCGCCGACCATGCTTGTCACTCGCGCGGAATCAAATCTCCCGGCCATTGAGGGCACGGGATCAACCCACTCTGGAGGAATGCATAGATGACTCTGCGGCGTGTGAAACGTCCCCGTCCGAGCGCTCTCGTGCTGGGAGCAGCAAAGGAAGTAGGGAGCTTTGCACCGTGCAAGCCAGCGATCAGGTAGACTGAGCTCAAGTACACCACCTAAACGTGCGATCCCGGCATGAGTCATTATTGATCATCGATTTTGCATGTCTCGAGAACTGGACTCCGTGTCTACTATCGGGCCAGATGTAAACCAGCACCTGCGGATGAGGGCAAACCTGGAAAGACCATCACAACTGAAATCTCCGACAAACCCCCAGCTATATGCCACTCATTCCCAAAGCATAGAAGCGCCAAAGAATGGTATCCCAGAGGCAGCAGCGATGGATTCTTCGCGACTTGGATCGAGGCAAGAATCGTGCAGAGAGTAATGGTCCGAATCATTGACTGAAGTCATGACAAAGAATCACAAAAGTCACTGAAGTCCGTCAGTATCGTCGAACGAGGGATGCCAGGTCGACATTAGGCGGCGGAGACGAGTCTAGATAGGCTAGATAGATGTCAGACATGTGAAGGACGAGCACCGAGCTGAGGAGGGAAAAAAGGATTGACTGCCGAGCTCCAGTCGAACGAGTTTCCTAACCTCAAGCTGTTCCACGACTTGGACCAAGAATCTGGATAGCACAGAGCATCAGTTGGGATGGCGAAAAGAAATCGTAAGTAAGCGCATCGTGACTCGTAAGCTTGCGGACGACATCAGATTCGGATATCGCCGACCCTCGTGAAGTTTCTCCACCTTCGTCGTCCTGCACGCTTCTGCGTGTCCACCTCTCGGATCCGCGTGTTTCCGCAGCCCACACCCTCCAACGGCGAAATCTGACCCGGCATCATGTCCGACATCCCTCAAAAACGAGTCCTCCCATCGAAGGAATCCGGGCTCTTCAAGGAACTGCTGTCGCTTTACGAGACGAGGCAACTGAAGAAGGGCCTCAAAACCGCGGACCAGATCCTGAAAAAATTCCCCGAGCATGGAGGTGCAGTCGACTCCCGCGCCGCACCGCCTAGGCATGGGCCGCTCACGTGCAACCACAGAGACGACGTGCATGAAGGGACTGATAATCACGCACATGGGGCGGCGGGAGGAGGGGCTCGATCTCGTCAAGAAGGGCGTCCGGCTCGATCTCACGTCGCACATCTGCTGGCACGTCTACGGGCTCATCCACAAGGGCGAGAAGAATTACGAGGAGGCGCTTAAATGCTACACGCAGGCGTTGAAGTTCGACAAGGTTCGTCCCACCCCCCGCTGCGAGCAGGGGATGCTTCCTAACGTGACTTCCCCCCGTCTGTACCTGCAGGAAAACATGAACATCCTCCGCGACGCCGCACACCTACAGACGCAACTACGATTGTACGATGGCCTAGTCGAGACGCGACATGCGATCCTCAAATCCCGGCCAAATCTGCGACAGCACTGGGTCGGGCTGGCGGTTGCGCATCACCTGAATGGGAATCTGGCGGATGCCAAGAAGGTGCTGGACTACTATGAGGGATCCCTAAAAGTGCGTGTTCAGACCTCCAGGCGCGCCAATCCCATCCTCATTCCCATGACAGAACATCCCGGATTACGATGTGGAGCATTCGGAGACCCTGCTTTATCATGTCCGATTGCTAGAGGAGATGGGAGAGCTGACGGAGGCTCTGACACTGCTGGATGTCAACGCGAAGGAGCGCGCTATCGTGGATCGGACAGCTATAATGGAAATCCGAGGTCCGTTCGAGCGCCCTTGATTCGATTACTTACCCATGACACTGCTTTCTGCAGCACGCTTACTAACTAAACTAAGCTCTGAAGAGGCTGAGCAAGCATGGAAGATCCTCGTCGAACATAATCCCGAAAACTATGGCTATTACCGTGGCTATCTCTCCAATCTCGGTCTCTCGTTAGGTTCGTTCTCGAGTGTCTGACCTCTGACAATCATCGTCATCACTGCTCCTACAGACCCATCGGACCCCCAAGCGGCTAAGGCACTGGCAAGCCTCGAAGATCTTTCATCACAACTTCCGAAAGCTACTGCTCCCCGACGTCTAGCTTTAACACTAGCCACTGGGGAGCATTTCCGGGAACTCCTGACACCGTACCTGACGCGGGGTCTGGAGAAGGGTGTCCCTTCGCTGTTCTCCGACATCAAGGGTTTGTGTCTCGACCCGTCAAAGCAAGCCACGATCGAGGACGTAGCCGAAACAGCGCTCAAGCAATACAATCCGGCCAAGGAAGTCGAGCCCACGTCGTATCTGTGGACGCTGTACTTCCTTGCGCAGCACCATTCGTATCTCGGCCACCACCAGAAGGCGTTGGAGGTGTTGGAGATCGCGCTGGAGCACACGCCCACGCTGCCGGAGCTGCTGATGCTCAAGGGGCGGGTACTAAAACGGGCAGGAGATCTGTACGGCGGAGCGCGCTGCCTGGAAGATGCCCGACTGCTCGATGGGCAGGACCGGTTCCTGAACACGAAGAGCGCCAAGTATCGACTAAGAGCGGGAATGGTCGAGGAAGCGAGTCAGTTGCTGGGGTTGTTCACAAAGGTCCGCGGCGGTCATGTTTGCTTGTCGTCACTACTGACGGCGGTTTCAATTTCAGAAAGACGCGCCCAGCCCCGGTGCCGATCTCGAAGACATGCAGTCGCTCTTCTACCTCGTCGAAGAGGCCAACGCGCACAACCGTAACGGCGCGCTTGGATTTGCCCTCAAGAAGTACATGGCCGTGAAGAAGGTATTTGATGATGTGGAGGACGACCAGTATGATTTCCACGGCTACTCGCTGCGCAAGTTCACCATCAGCATCTACCTGAAGTAGGCGGTCTTCAGCGTAGAGCGGATATCTTTTTCTGATGAGCGGATTCCCAGCATGCTCAAATGGGAAGACCATCTCAGGTCGCATCCTGCATATGTGACCTCGGCTCTCTCTGCTTCCCGCGTAGGCTTCACATGCTTCTTCGTTTCCGACTTTTGAAGGTTTCGTAGATTTTCGTTAGACTTCACGATGACCCTTCTCTCGCTTCGGGTGCGGGTTCTAATGGTATGCGCTACTCCAATGACGGAATTTGGATTCATCTCTAATGCCTCGCAGCACAGCTGACCGACGCGCAGAAGAAGGCGAAGAAGAAAGCCAAAAAGGCAGCAGAGAAGGTCAAAGAGGATGCCAAGAAGGGTAGGATCCTGTCTTGGTGTCTGTAAATATTGTTCTCATTTTCTTTGTCGCCACAGCTGCGACGACACAACAAAACAACAACGAAGACAAGGGTCTCGAGCCACCTCAGACCGATGACGACCCTGACGGCACGAAACTGGTGCAGTGCAAAGATCCATTAGACCGTGCTCTCAAGCTTCTCCGGCCGCTTCTCTCCCTGGAAGAAAAGAACATCCAGGTTTGGATCGTCTCATATGATGTGGCGTTCCGACGGAGTGCGATTCTTGCTTTGTTCGTGGTCGGCCGTTATTGACTAGGGTCATCAGATAAGTATCTCCAGGCGGCCAAGGCTTTGCTGCGCGCTGCAGCCCTCGATCCTGAGGATCCGGAGCTGCATATAAGACGAGTGGAGCTCCAGCAGACTGGTAAGCGGGTGCAATATGTGTCCTCAACCTCGCTCTGACCCGGCCCAGTCACGACACTGCCTGCGTCTGCAGAGGACGCCACCGCTCTGTTGAAGGACTCGGTGGCAAAACTTCTCCCTACTGACGTTTCGCTGGAAGCGTTCAACTCGCAGTATCTCCAACGACACTCGACCTCGGCTCCCGCTGTCCTGGCGGTGTCGAAAGTGTCGGCCAAACTGGGGGCTCCAGCCGACGAGACCGTATTCAGCGTGTTCAACCCAGATGTAACGCTGACGGTCAAGGTGCGTGGCCTTACCGAGAGGGATACCGGCTAGACCCTAATCTTCTGCTAGGATGCGCAATCGATCCTCAGCTATCTCACAGAGACCAAATCTCCAAGGGCGGATGAGTTCAGGACACGATGTGCCGACAAGTTTGTGCTCTCTACGGTGTTCCGCACCGCGAAAGAGCTCGAGCAGTTGAAGGCCGCGACGCTGGCCGCCCGCGTGGTCGACGACAAAGTGGATCCGGAGGAGGTGGCCTGATCAGAACCGCGAATTGTAGATTACATATATGTACTAGATGAGGGCCTATCGGTAATCTTGCCTATTGATTGTTGTAGATTCGGTGTGAGTCAATGGGAGGTTCCAACCATTGGTCCCTCGGTCAGATCTCCGCTCACAGTTCCGGGCAGCAGTACTTAAGGGATGCGAGAAAACGAAGCAATCAATTGCTGTGCACATGAACAACATCTATAAACGCCCGCCACAAATCGAATCCAGCAGAACATCCAAAAACGAGACCCTGTGATCAAGTCAGCCTCCATGATGTAAGGGACGGACACGGGACTTACCGTGAGCAGTGCGGGCAAAGCACCCGAAACGGAAGCTACGCAAGCCTTGAAATACTTCCCTTCATGCCTGCGAGACTGCAGAAGATGGTCAGCGCGAGGCGTAACATGAACAGACGGATCGCTCGTCATGGGATATGTCATCGAGATGGCCAGTCTCTCAACGGCCTCTGAGCGCCGCGTTTAGCAGAAAGAGACGACTCATCTTTTCTCGTGAGGATGCTGAGCTTGGGTTAGATGGGGAATCAGGCGATGGGCGGATCGGCCGGCGTGCGATTGGCTCTGTGTTCCACCTGCGAGAGATCTGTCAGCGAACATCTTCGATATGACGAACGAGAAGCCCATCATTGGGGGTTTCATCGAGATGGCCAATCTCTCGACCCTCTCTGAGCGCCAAGGGAAATCGACTTAGCTGGTGAACACACTGAATGCTTCGACGGAGAAGCCCGAGACAATGATGCGATTGCGCCTGAAACTTTTCGATTAGTTCACAAACTCCACAGGGTGAACGAGAAGCCCATCCTCGAGGGTTTCATTGAGATGGCCGGTCTCTCAACCCCTCCGGGCAAAGGCGAAAGTGGACTTAGCTTTTCTGGGAGTGAACATGTAGTGACTTGCAGGCATTATCTAGAACAGAGTCAGAAAGCTAGCTCAGACAGAAGAAAGGGATCTCATCCTCGAGAACTTCATCGGGATGGCCAATCCCTCAGCTCCCTCCGAGTAGAGGAAAGGAGGAAACAAGACTTAGCATGGGTGCGTCAAACATCAAAAGATGTGGACGAAAGCAGACACTCGTGTGTCTGAGACATCCGGCCGAAATCGAAGTGCGGATTCGGATCTACGACGGTCAATATGCACGGCAAGAGCAAGACGGCAGGCCAGAATATCCGGGTCAATAACACAGCATACGATATTCACTCACCGCGAGTCCCAGAAACCTGACCCCTCAAGCAGACTGCGTTCGCTTGAGCCAGTGCCGCAGACGACGGATGGGACCAGACTTCTTCTCCGACACGCTGGAGAGCATCGGGACGAGCTTGGGCGGGTAGAAGTGGCCGGGCCGGGGCCGCTCGGGAACGACATGGGGGCGCGGGATGCCGGCCAGCGGCAGCGCGGACTTTGCCTTGGGGGCGTCGGCCTCGATGTCGAGCCATGCGGGAATGGACGCGCAGGTGGACATGACGGCATTCCGGACGGATGCAAACACCATGTCTGTCTCAGAATCGAGGATCGGCGAAACGGCGACCCAGCCGTACGACTCTGTCGACGTGCGGGGGCACGCGAGGAGCTCCGAGAAGCGGAAACTGGACAGGTCTACACTGTACAGGGCGGCCAGCGATGAGTTGGAGGAGCACGATTGGGACTCGGGCGGCGGCAACTTGGAGAGAGAGGGCAGGAGGGGCGGCTGCGGAGGAGGCAGGCGAGAAACTTGGTCCTTGTGGAGCAACTTCTTCGCTTTCGAGAGGAGAGGAGCAGCAAGAGCAATGGAAACGGCGGCGATGCTGTCCATCTCCTCTCTCCAATACAGCTTTTTCATCTTTCCAATCTCGTACCGCAAGTCGAGGACCGAAGGACGGCAGGCGGGATCCGGGTTGAGCCCACGGGACAGGAGCTGGTACAGTGAGTTAGAGATGGGGAACTTCGACTTGAGGTACGCAGGGTCAGCGACGTAGGTCATCCAGGCGAGGTCGGAGGGGCTCGCTGTTTCCCATGGACAGCGACCACCGATCATGTTCAAGATGATGATGCAGAGCGCCCAGACATCAGCCGCCTGCGGGTCGTAGAAATCGGCCGTCTGCCCTAGGGCGAGAGCCTCTGCGAGATAGATCAGTCTATACTCGAGGTATAGATGACATGCACGACGTACCAGGAGGCATGTAAGCCAATGTCCCGCCAGCGCTCGTCATTCCCAATTTGGTGCTGTCCACGGCAATGCCAAAGTCGCAAATCCCGACCTTGAACCCGTCCTTGCTGCACAGTATGTTCTCCGGCTTGAGATCCCGGTGGGCCACCTCGCGCTCGTGGATGTGCCGCACACCGTCCAGGATCTTGATGAACGTCTGCTTCAGTAAGTCCTCGCTCCAGTACGCACCGTTGTCGATCCGGTGCCACATGTTGCAGTGCATGACGTCCAGGACCGCGAACACATGGTCCTGTTCCACGAAGTGCCTGTGGAGGGTGACGACGGAGTCGTGGTCGGCACAGGCGTAGTGAAGCTCGAGCTCCTGAGTGACTCGATCGGACGGCGGACCCATACACTTGACGGCGTAGTAGTCGGGCTTAGCGGCCGGCGATGTCGTATCGAGCGCGTGGTAGACGATTCCGTATGACCCGGAACCGAGAACCTTGACGAGCTTCAGGCGGCCCCCGTCGACCGTTTCTCCAGTCAGGTTGGGAAACTGAGCAGAATATCTAGGCATGATGATCAAGTGAGAGCAAAGATGGTAAATGCAATATAAAAGCAATTTAATGCGCACAAAATCCACTGGTAGGTGGGAGTAGAGAAGAACAGATGTTGTTAGGGGATTTTCCAGTCAGTCAGGATCTTATACCGAGCGGATGTCTGAGTCGAGCCATGGGGCCAGGACTTCCGCACCGGTCTCACTTACTGGTAAAGGGTGAATGTGCCGTCGTAGCTTACTGTGCCGAAGATCTTTCTTCCAATACCGTGTGCAGTACATGTTACCTTCTTCAAATGATCAAGTGATAACAACTTCGACATGGTGGAACGCGAAAGAGGATAAACACGATCACATGATGTAACTGTTCGCACGTGCAAGTCGAGTAAAATGTCAATCATAGTGCCGCTGGGTTCCAGGTAGAGGTGATTAGTAGTATATATCTAGGCTGTCTAGAATAAGCATGTACAATGTAAAGCAATACGACAACATAACCGCATCAATCGATGACATCCAAAACAAATCTCAACGCACTGCCGTTGGCGACGCGCCCCTCGGGCAGAGGATGAGAACCCACACCCAGCACAGCCTCACGGGGGAGGCGTATCTTCGGCACGGGGGGAACCGAGCCTTGGACCAAAGCATCGTTGTGCAAAGCCTTGACGCGCAGGAAAGCGCTGTTGGGAACAGCCCGGGGGCGCGCCGGCAACTCCTCCTGATGGTCGACAAAGTTCGGCACAGTCAGCCAAGGGCTCTTGGGAAGCGGCTGGGGAGTTCTGAAAACAACGGGATGAGGAAACGGAGCGGGCAGTTCCGTCCGGCGATGCGACCGCGTAAACTCTTCTCCCCGCGACGAAGTCAGCCGCGAAAGATGGGCTAGCGGGACAATCTGGACGGCATCAGGCTTGGGTTCTCGGGCTAGGAATCGGCGAAGATCAGAAGATTCGACGCGGGACCCTGCCGGACGCAGTGGCAGCACACAAGGAGCACGCTGGACAGCGGGCGGATCCTTGAAAACCGTGGGCCGCTCGGCCCAGATGGCCTCCTCCTCTTCGATCCATTCTGCCGAAACGTCGTAGCCGACAACAACAGCCCGGACATAAGATGTCTGAACAGTGCGGGCCAAGGAAGCGATCGAAGAAAAGAGGCTCGGGATGACGGAAGCCATAGCCGCGGTGACAGCGGGAGGAGGTTCAGGCATGCGCAACGGATGTGTGGATGCGAATACGCGCGTGGAATTCCGCCAGCGACATGTGCATCCTCCACCAGGTCGAACCGGAGAAGGCGATGCGGCTCGTGGCCCAGCGCTGATCCAATTACGCGCACTCAATTGTCGTCGGATATAGGACGATGGCTGCGGAGACTTCGAAAGAGATGGAGAATCGAGCAAGGTCGATGACGTCCTCCACGAGGATGTTGCTGTCGTGACGCTTGCGTTGCTCGATCGCCGCGAGGATCCCGCAAAAGACAACCAAGAGCCTGCCCGAGATAAACCTGAGGACGAAGTCGACGGAGACGACGGCGGGGGCGACGGCAAGGACTCGCAACTGGAGCATGTCATGGGCTCCGCGCGTTGCTTTCCCTTGTCGATGCCAGCCAGGAGGTAGCCACTGCGGTCCAGCAAGATATCTATCAACATGCGTTCCCGGCGTGGCTCGGAACTGCGTGTCAGAATGCGCTCGCTCGACAGCACTGGAAATAGATCGCCCTGCATGCTGTTCAACACTTGCTGAAACGTCACTCGAATAGGAGACCGATATTCAGGCGCTTCGTCACGGGGCAATGGCTCCACTTTCGGGGCAGCAGGTCTTGCCTCGACTGCAGGACGGACGCGCGTAGGCACATTGTTGCGTGGAGTGAAAGGGAAGTCGTATGTGAAACGGACAGGAGGTGCGGGGACAGATGGGCGGTCTACCGCATAGCTTAGCGCCCGTGCTACCGGTCTCGTCTGCGCACAGTCAGCTTCGTCATTTCCCAGTAGGTTTGGCTCACTCACCCGGCGGCGACCCATATCCAAGACCGCTGCGGCAGCCTGTCTCTCTTTGACCAAACGTAACCTCAGCTGCTCCTGCTCCTCCATGACCTCTGCCGCGGCCTGGCGTCGCTTCATGGCAGTCCAGCGAGCGCGCTCATCACGATGCCGGCGAGACTCGTTCTCCCAGAGGAGCTCCTTCTCTTTCAGCTGTGCGGCCCGGCGAGCCTCCGCGGCCGCGGCCAACTTGCTTTCCGAGCTATAATTCTGGCTCGGCTTGCCCCGGCCGTCGTCGGGTGCACCGTATGGCAGGAAACAAACGTCGAAGTCTTCGTCCTTTACGGCGGCGATACGAGGATCATTGTCAGACGTAACCTCGATGCCTTGGAGCCGCAGAAGCAGCACCTTGGCTAAGTGGAAGTCGTCCGCGGCATACGCGTTGTGTACTTGGTCACACAGAGTCAGAGCGGGAGGAGGAGTGGCAGGGCGGGAGTGAGAGTGGGAGCGGGAACGAGAAGCGGGGGTGCGTGGGGAACTGTTAGAAGGTGATGGTGAGGATGAGCGGGTGTCGCCGAGGGCGGAAAGCCGAGTTTGATCGTGTGACCGACCTCGCTCGAGTGGGCGACCGCGGCTCTGCATCGCGGCGTACATCGCGTTGCGTCGTCAGAGCGAGACGAAAGCGCTGTGGATGTGTGGGAAGTGGACAAGTCAGAGCGGGAGCGGCGACGTATTGGAAGCGGTAGATATGGACGCACTGCCACCCGATAAGCAAGACACTTGCGTGGCACTCGTGTGCCTTTTTTGTGTACGCATGAACCCTTATCATGTGCCACCAGGTCGCGCCGAGATGTTGTGTCTTGATCATCTTCTTGTTTGACGCCGCCGGCAAGTTCAATCTTGATTCAATCCCTTACATTCGACGGGCCATCTCATCGATTCGAGTAACATCTCAATCATCTTCCAGTCTCCTCTGCTATCAAGCTTCCTAATCATCTGCAAGCTCATACTTTGGCTCCATGAGGAATCGAAGGCCGGTTCGAGCATCTTGGACGCCGGCCGACGCATCGCATTCGCTCCAGGGTCTGTCGTGGAACTCTTCCCGAGTCGTGGAGACCAAGTCATCCCGCTGAGTCCGGACGTAACTTGACGACTCCTTCGAAGTACAACGGCGATACACGCCGTGGCCCGGCTGCTAAGCAACAAAGTCGCTGTGAACGATGGCCTGGATTCGCGTGGTCGTCCGCACGGATCTTGTCAGCACGCGTTGATTCCCGGAATATCTCATGTTTTCCCTCACTTCCTGGAATACTTCCTCGATTCGGACGCGCGCTGCACTATTCGTGGATGCTCATTCCACGTTCGGTCTCAATACGGCTATCGATTTGGAATTGACTTGGGATGTTGGCGCGTTAGACCGACACGTGCAGCGCCGCAGCTTCATACGCATCCTCATCCTATCACAGCAACCGACCAGAGACTTTTTGGGACATGCAGCGCGAACTCTGCATCCCTGAGACTTACTAAGCGGTGGAGTGCAACGACCCTGAGGCCATCTCTCATCAAGCTGTTAATAAGTACCAATAGATGCGTGACTTGGAGTCAATCGTAATCACGCTTTGTCTTGTTTTTTCCACCACGTCGTACGTGTTCCTTATGCGTGCAGAGTTAGAGGGTGGAGTCTAGACGCTTGCTCTTTCCTTTCCGAGCAATGCGAAGGTTTCAGTTGTTTGTGGCTCTTCTCGTTGTTTACCTCGGCGACACAGCCATGTCTGCACCGCCACCCTTCACTGCTCCCTCCGACCAGCCACTCAGATTGCAGCCCTTGAAACGTGCTCGGATTGGACGCGGCCCCGGAGGCTACCTCAAAATATCCGATGGCAGACCGTCATCCCATCATTGCCGCACAGGATGGCACCGAGCCGCCCCCTGAAACGCCCGCCGTCCCTATCACCGAGCAGGAAGTGGGCGAGTACAGAGAGCAGGACAGATTCCTACCCGTGAGTCCATCTTCCAGCGCTCGCGTGCCCGCTTAGCCGAGGACCACCAGCTGACCTGATGCATCCAGATCGCCAATGTTTCGCGGATCATGAAAGCCTCGGTCCCACCCACCGCGAAGATAGCCAAAGACGCGAAGGAATGCGTGCAGGAATGTGTCTCCGAGTTCATTTCCTTCATCACTTCTGAAGCAGCGGAGCGCTGTCTGTCCGAGAAGCGAAAAACCATTGGTGGGGAAGACATCCTGTATGCCATGTCGACGCTGGGCTTCGACAACTATGCCGAGACGTTGAAGATTCACCTCGCGAAGCTGAGGCAGGTGAGTGGGACATTCAATCTCCCCAAGAGCGCATTTTTCGATCGTTTCTAGAATGGGCCGTCTGGGTCGGGGGGACCACGAGCAGAGCAGGCAATCGAGCCGCGTCCAGAGGAATAGCGCCTGTCCCTTCTCTTATGTACACAACGCGTCTAGACGCTCAGTATTTATTGGTTAGTCTATTGGCTACTGCGGTTGTACTTTCGTGACCAAGGAAAGGTCATTCCCAAAGGAGCTGGGCCAGTTTCCAGACCTTCATCACACCGGTTCCGATGCTGACAAGTTGAGTATGATCCCCTGACACTTGACATCGGACAGACAATCGAACTCACTTTCTCGACGCGACTGTGTCTAGAGGAACCCAGGCAGTGCAGGGTTCACTCAGAGCAGGGTTCAACTTCTTCGCAGATTTTTTGATCGGGAGAACACCAGCAGTGGTCGAGGCCAGAGTGGGGGGATTCGATAGGCCCTCGAGAAGGACCCATTGCACTCTGTACGTTTTCTTGATATGCGAGAAGACATGGACCACATCCCCTGCTGCTTTGATGTGGCTGATCTTTAGACCATCTAGGGCTTTGGACGGAGATTTGAATGATTGCTCATCTGGATGGAGCAAGGTGGAAAGCAAGTCCTCCACGCTACTCCGCGCTTGAGCCGAGGAAAGCGAAGCGGAAATATTCGGGCAAGTCGGGAATTCATCCAGCCCAGCTAACAGACCTGGATACAAAACACCGACGATTAAAATCGTTCACTGATCGGTGATGGACAAGATAATCACCTCCTTCCGGCCGTCTGACTAACAGGAATCTCCGATCAGACCCGGCGCGCCATTCGATAACGTTCACCAAGTCAAGTTCCTCGCGTGACTTTTTCTTTTCGGCTTTCATAGGAAAGACGGTGACCGGTGATGGACGGGGGACCGGCTCGCACAGGGAGCATAGGTCTTCGATATCGGGGACGGAGTTCTGAAACGCTTGATCAGCGGAAACAGCTCGTCAGCGGTGACGAAAGTAGAGACCACGCCAGTGTCCTGGTCAGTCTGACTTTGAATATACGCTGCGCACCAGCTTCCGATGGTACAATTCTCGCAGTCAGGGTCTCGGACTTTACAGACCGTGCTACCGAGTTCAATAAGCGCCTGATTGACATCTCCGGGGTGCTGAGAGGCATCTAAATTCGTGATGAGATATCTCGAAATACATGAGGTGATGTCGATACACATCTTACCAAGATCGTGCACGAAAACACTGGCAGCATCCCAGAGAATGTCCAGTGTTTGTTTCGCTTTAGGAGACGCATGGAGTGCTAGAAACCGACTCAACAGTCGGTTCACGTTCCCGTCAAGCTAGAGTTGATTTATTCCGTGAAATTGAAACAGGAGCGAAAATAAATTCAGATTGGGATCGACTTACGACAGGAACTGCTTCTCCATAAGCGATTGAGCAAATTGCACCAGCACTGTATCGCCCAATCCCAGGTATATTGGCCTGCATGTCTCTTGCATTGTCAGGCAATCTGCCGTTGTAATCACGGCAGGCTTTTGAGCTCCTGAGAGCAGACGGCTGGCGCGACTATAGTAGCCTGAGGTCCGCAAGCAAAATTTGGCATTAGCGAGGTGGATATGCTCCAATCAAATCATACCCAGTCCTTTCCAGAGCGCATTGACATCGTCGATAGACGCGGACGCCTGATAAGTGATGAATATAATCAAGCTATGACACAGTGGTCGAATCGAACCAATTCACGAATGGTGGGAAATCTGGACAGGTGATCAGATCGGCGACTGTGTGCATCATGGCAGACAACGTACTTTTCCATCCACCTGTTGTAGTAGGGGATGACGGTGGCAACTTGCGTTTGTTGCAGCATGATTTCTGATATCCAAACCTGCCAACGGCTGAGCGATGCTTAAGTATTTGCGCTGCGGAACGCGTCACCTCGTAAGCGCGCTGGGCCCGCTCCTCGGTTCTCAATGTGGGATCATACGGCTTCCTCCACGGCATGTTTCGAGAGGCGTGGACTGCCGAGTACCATTGAAGCAAGGCCGTTCGAGTAGATCTCAAGTTCGCATCTTTTGCGATGACATGGAGAGATTTTGGATGTGGGGTAGCAGACAGTTCATCTGCAGTCGCGACAGCGTCAATCTCGCGTTTCGCTCGCTTCTTCTGTGGTTGCCGGCCGGCAGGTTTCTTTCGTTGAGATTTCGAAATGGTCGGCGTGACATATTCATCATCCGTATCGCTTGGATCAAAGTCCGACCCCGACTCGGAATCTGTATTTTTCCGCTTATTAGCCATCTATGGGATGATGAGGTGTGTGATATTAGCAGTGAAGTAGCATGTAAAAACCTAAATATACTGCTTGCCTCGATTTTGTGCTTGTGACGGAGTAAAGGTCAAGTTCAAGCTGAGGGTTCAAGCTGGTTGATTGCAGGGAAAGCGCAAACACTGTCACGTGTCTGATGAGACACAAATAACGCAATGCATTGCCGTCATTTCTGCGCGGCGCACTTGGTTTTGTTTCAGTCTTGACTCGTTTACAGTGTCGTTTGACACTTATGTCGTCCATCCGACGTCTGCTCGTATCAACCTGGGCGCATTGTCCTTGATTTGGGCTCATCGTCATTAATCCTGTGCAGAGATGATAGCTTCACCGCCTCGCCTTGTATATATATAAGGACCCGAGGATCCGCTGCTATGCTCATCTTCACGTTCCTATCATCCGACCCCGGGGCAATGGCACGCGAGATTCGCGAGGCAGTGCGACACCGGAACGCAAGCAGTCGGTCTAAAAAGCCACGCTACGACGCGAATCCCTCATCGACCCCGGAACAGAATCCTGGTGGTATGGACTCGGACTCAAGAGGTCCCGTCACTCCACTACCTTCATCCATCACGTCCCGACTTTCGCTCGAGGTCTACGAACATATCATCGACGACCTCCACACCGACTCAGAGGGGCAGTCCCCGTCCCAACTTTCTGTCTGCAGCTTGGTATGCAGGGCGTGGCTCGCGCCCTCTAGGCGCCGTCTCTTTGCTTCGGTAAACCTGCGTCCCGAATTCGTCGCGTTTCTACGCGCCTCCTCGCACGCATACGACACGATCGTTCCCCACATCCGCGAACTGGGTGTCGGTGGAGGGTGGCTGCACCACGACCGGTCCGACTTCAGCAGCACCATGTTGTTCATGACGGACCTGGTCAAGCTGCGGGCTTTGAATCTCGAGGCGTGGAGCTGGAGCTACCTGTCTACTTCCACCGCGTCCAAGTTGCTGCGCGGCGAGGGTCCCGCTTTTCGCGTCCTTACCGCGTTGGACCTGAAATATATTCAGTTCCCGTCGCTCTCGGCTCTTGCAACTCTAATCAGCGCATTTGTTCGGCTCAAGACTTTGGCGTTTGACAATGTCACCTGGGAGACGTCTGACGACGCCATGCCTCTGGCACCTCCTTTTGTATCCAGTCTCACGAAGCTGCATGTCGTGGCATGCTCCAATGAGGTGCTTATCTCCTGGCTTTTCGCCGATGCCTTGGGGGACCCTATAGTCAAGCTGAAACTTCGTTCTCTTTCACTTCCTGATATCCTACCCAACGAGGCTGGCAATATTGATCGTCTTGTCTCTTCGACGAGTTCTTCCTTGGAGCACTTGGACGTTGGGTTCATGGGCCATAGCACTGATGATGCACCCGTGATCTTGAGTAGGTCCGCTTACTTCCGAGCCAAGTACCTGCTGCTGACTGTATGTCAGAACTGGCCGAGAAAATCGATCTATCTCCTCATACCCAACTTTGCTCTCTCCACGTTCACCAAATTGTTCTCTATCAGTTTCCAGGCACTCCTCCGCACAGCTCCCAGTCCTCTCCCGCCGTCAATTTGCCCACGACATGGCTCGCCTCCTTGCTGTCCACGATCCGCTCCGCCCACTTTTCTCGGCTTACTCTCAGCATCTGGCTGGGCGAAGAACGACAGCTTGATTCTCTGGATTGGGACGGCTTTGTCCGAATCGTGTCGAACGAGCGCTTTGCAAGTCTGACGCAAGTCGAATTTCGAGTCCGCGGGCTTGGCAAAGCGATGAACGACGTCGTGAAGGGATGGATCTCTGACAGGATGAGCGGGTGGGCCCGTGTGACTGAATGTCTCCAGATCACCTTTGGATGATCAATCTTTCGCGCTTCGGACGCTTGAAGGGCTTGCCCTTATAACTGACTGCCTTATTCTCGCTGAAACTATCACGACCACTCTCTGCATTGACTGTATCTGTGACAACATATCCATTGTATCCCTAGCTTTAGATAAACTATATTGTATCAATATAACGAAACAGGGGCTGGCGAGCAGCTCTATACGTTTACAAGACATGGCCAGGTCGCGTAGGAACGAGAATACAGGGTGCTTATCTATCTTGCTCTGATGTCTGCATTCGAGGATTCCCTCGCAACATCATTATTGCAGCATCCTTTACGTGTAGGGTAACTCGAGGCCTGGCTCGTTGCGTAAATTGTCGGCCCAAAGACACGCTTAGACCGACACAGTAACATTGCTTCCGAGGATCGAAGGTCGTGTGTCCTCGCATCACTGTGATGGAGAATTATAATAACGAGCTGTCACAACGTCGTCACGGAAATATCGCCACGTACACCCCGCCGCCATGTCTTCTCGCATTAGCATTGCCCGCCCACAGTCGAGCAGCTACAATTCTGACCCTCACGGGCTTTCAAATTCTCGCTCGTCCTCGACTGGCTACCGCTCAGCCAACCCGGACGACCCTTTGGAGAAGCTCAAGGCACAGGCTCGACAGGTCGAGGATTATGTCGAGATCTACTCCCAGCCCTTGAAGCCCCACCTTCCCACCATTGGGCGGTTCCTCATTGTTGTTACGTTCCTTGAAGACGCGCTGCGTATCTTGACGCAGTGGGGAGACCAAATCTGGTATTTGCAGCAGTACGTTCCCGCTCGACGCCGCGCCCTTTTCTTTTCCTCGTGTCTCATTCGCGTTTCAGACACCGAAAATTCCCCTGGGGCATCTCGCACATCTTCTTGTTAATCAACGTCTTCGTACGTGTCCATTTGGTCCAGTGATTCCGACCTGCTCAAGGCGTTGACAGACCATGCTCGGCGCGTCGTCCATGATCATCCTCAAGCGCTTCACGGAATTCGCGGCTGCTGGTCTTCTCGGCGTTGTCATCATCCAGGGCTTTGGCTACGGTCTCATTTTCGACCTGAACTTCTTCCTCCGCAACCTGAGTGTCATCGGCGGGCTTTTCATGGTCTTCAGTGACTCCATCGTCAACCGCAAGAAGACGTTTGCTGGCATCCCCAGTATCAGCGAGACGGACCGCAGGAAATAGTGCGTCCGGTTGCTCTCGTGCTTGCTCTGACAACTGATGCCGAGCAATGACCACGTAGTTTCCTTCTCGCCGGCCGTGTCCTGCTGATCTTCCTTTTCCTCGGCTTCATCATCCAAGGCACCTGGAGCATTGCGCGTGTGTTCGTGTCGCTTTTCGGTCTCGCGGCATGCATAATGGTGGCTGTCGGCTTCAAGGCCAAATGGTCTGCCGCGTTCTTGGTGGTCGTTTTGAGCATCTTCAATGTTTTCGCCAACAATTGGTGGTCCGTTCACTCAAAGCACCCCCAGCGGGACTTCCTCAAGTACGTGTCACTCTTCTCCCACCCTCCGGATCTTGCGCTAACCGTCCCGAAGATACGACTTCTTCCAGACATTGTGTACGTGGCACTTTCACCCACTATGACAAACTGCTGACTCATCTGCAGCCATCGTTGGCGGTCTCATTCTTCTGGTTAACATGGGCCCGGGTGGTCTTTCAGTAGACGAGAAGAAGAAGACCTACTAAGTGGTGTGGCGAGTGGTCTGCGACATGGCGTGCGCAATATACACATGTGGTTCGGTGGCTACACAGCATGCAAAATGAGGCAGACGCGATTTGACAGTGGCCTGTTTCTATTTATCTTACATTCGCAACGGGGGAATACGAGTGATTACAAAATGACACGGCCTGTTCAGAGAGACCCGGGGTAATGTAATATTGAGAGGGGCGAATAGTGAAGAGTACAGAACATCTAGGCGATTACTTGGTCCGATCTAACAGAGCGCCGCCCATCATGAAGGGGTAGTCGGAAGGACTGTATTGAAGACCACATCCCAAAACTTGCCTATCAAACCGGTCAGCCGCGTAGGCACACGTAGCTCGAGGGGGGAACGTACTAGTGACACCAAATCCGAGCTCAAAGTTCTTGTAATGATGAGCAAGGTGATACCGCTTTTGCTCCTGCATGTACGCAGGGAGATTGGTATGGTGCAATGCGTAGTGCATCACGTCGTATAAGATGTCTAGGGGGACGAGCAGTCAGCTCAATCGCAACGGTATCCCCACAAAAACAACGTACAAAACGCGAAGGCTCCTGAGATGATCCCGTTCGCTACAGCGGCGGGGAACAGGATGTGAGCGAGGCGCGTGAACGGGGCCTGCAGCACGGTGAACAGGAGCGGAGGCATAACAAGACGCAACCTGCGAAAAATACAATCAGTGTCGAGCTGCGCGGGAGCAATTACAGCGCATTACCGATCCATCGGGAGGTAGTGGTGGACTCCGTGCAACAGGAAATGCAGCAGGATGGCGACGGGGTGGTCGGGAAGATAGTCGTCGAGATGGAAAAGGAAGCGGTGCAGGACATACTCGAGGATCGTCCAGATGAAGTTGCCCAGGAAGAAGCAAACACCTGTCTTGCCGATATTCTGTACAGTGAGTGCTCCAACAGTAGATTAGAGGGCAGGAGCGGCTGCACGGTGAACAGCGGGAGAACAGCGGGTGCGACGGAGAATTGGATCAGGGAGCGACAGAAAAGGTACGATGCGATGGGACCCCAGAACATGGGCACCACCCACCAAACTGTGCGGGTGAATCCCTGTGAGAGGAAGTCAGTGGCTTGATTTACGACGAGAAACGAAGTGTCCCACCTCGAGGAAGGAGGGGCCGAAGAGACGAGCAGACTCGTGAAGGTGCCGAGGCTGATGCACTTGCTGCAGATAGTAGGATTTACTAGAGGATGGAACATTTAGCGACGACTACTCCACTGGGATAGGGAAGCGACGCACCTAAAGTTAGCCTCCCACACTTGGCGTAACAGCGGCTTCCTGAGATCCAAAAACTGGTTCTTTTGAAAGTCCTCAGCAAAATCCGTTTCTTCCGGATGGAAATCATCGCCGGCAACGAAGTCTGGCATGGGTCATGAGTTTTCAAGACTGATGAGAGAAAAACATTGATGACGCACCGTCGCGCAGTGTCGTCTCATGCGTCCCAAGCCGTCCAATGAGGTAGTCTTCGAGCATTTCATACGCCGCAGAGGAGTGCTGTGGGGTGTCCTCTGCCTTGCCTGACATCGCCGCCTCGATATCCTGGCCGGCATATTTGAGAAGGATGTCGTCGCCTCCTGGGTGGTCGTCGACGAATTTTGAGACGTCGTAGACTTTTCCTTGGCGGGTCACCCAGCAGCTTGACCGGGTCTTGTGCGCGACAACATCTTCGTCGGCGTAGATACGAGTGCGTCTCTTTGACATGGCTGCGTCTTTCCAAGCACAAGAAATCTCATGATCCCATATAATGTACGCGTTACCATCACACTGATGTCACATCCCCGTGCTTCTCCGGGGTCCGGATCATCCCGCCGCGGGCATTTGCGCTCGGGACTCGAGCTGGACTGGTCTTTAGCTGTGCATGGGGCCGGTCCAGAGGTTCCCCGGCCGACGTGACTAGTTCATTAGTCATCTGGAAATACGCCCGGGATGATCTAGGGCGGTAGTCTACGACTTGGAGTCTGGCACAGCGAACGGCAGATCAAGGCGCTCCCAGGCCATCAATCAGTCTCGGGCGGAGTGTGATTGTGAGCGTCACTGCCACAGAGGGTTCGAACTTCGAACTCCCGCACTTCAATCATCGGTGTTCCCATCCATCTATTCTCGCGTGGCTGCCCATTCACATGGCATCCCAAGAAAATTACAAGCTCTAGCAAGTCAACCAACTCTCCAGAGTCAAACAGCGGTATTTATTGTCCCAGCGGCATTCTGAATGTCTCTCCTGTAGCCACAGAAGCCGAGATCCATGAGCGACACAGGGCGTTGTCGCTGATGTTCCATCCTGACAGGCATCCCGACGAGAGCCATAAAGCGGTGGCTACGCAAACTTTTCTTGAAGTTCAACGCGCATTTGAAGGTGCGGGTGCGCGGGCGTGACATGGGTCGGCGGTGGACTGATTTCATATCCCCCTCACCAGTGTTGTCTGATCCGTTCCTTCGGTTGGTTTCGCTCTGAATTCTCACTGTCATACAACAGTCGGCTTATGGACTCACTGGAAGCGCTGTCTACGATGCGTTGGGTACAGGTTGTCTAAATCATCCTTCGCCGTTAATTCCGCTTGCTCTTAGGTGAACGCGGTCTTTCGGCTAATTGGCTGGAAGAAACTAGGACTAGATCCATCGAGCAGGTCAGCAAGTAATCAAGATTGTTCTCTTCGCCCACAGCTGACGGGAGCCCTTGTCCAGCGAGATGTCATCTTCAAACAATTCCAGCGCGACTCGCTGCAGCATGACGCAGAGAGCGCCATTTCTCCGAGGGGCCGAGTCGTTTGCAATCTGGATGCGTCCGGATTGCTGGAAGGCGGGGATGTGTCTGATACCGCCCGCGGACAACAAGTCCGACTACTGAACTTTTCTGTGCATCATCATGTCAGTGTAAGTGGGCGACTGGATTCTTCAGAGTCATGCTGGCGTCTCGCACTGAAATGCGGTTGAACTAGAAAAGGATAAGTGAAAAGTCAACTCTTGGATTGGCTGTCCGCATCGCTCGGGCTGGTGCTTCGGGTCGAGGTAACTTTGTTGGCACGCTTCGACATCAGTATTCGCCACGGCTGCTCCTTCAAGTGAGTCCAATCACTAATCTCCCTGGCCGCCCCCCGATTTTCCTCGTCGTCTGAAGGCTTCAGTCAATGTCCTCTCGCCTCGCAAAGTCACTCTTAAATCGCAGTACGAGTCCGAGCACGGCCGCATCTCGCTCGAGACGTCGATTAGGGGCGGGGATCTGTCGCAGCGCCCGCCCGTGCTCGTCTCTGTCCAGCGCGCGTTCTCGCGCTCCTCGTTGGGGTCGCTGGACATCGGATTCGATTCCCGTTATCCGCAGGTGACGATCGGTGTGCACCCTATCCAGCGTGCTTCTCCAGCATCGGCACATGAAAATCGCGCGCTGATTTCGTGGTGCTATGGGCTCAATCTAAATTCTTACGACCCCACCGTCTTTGGCGAACTCATCGCGTCTCTGGCGGATCTGTGCATCCAGAGCAGGCTTCGCCTGGAGTACGGATTCTTCGGTCCTACGTGGGTATTTTCCGCCGCTTGGCAAAGCCGGGCGGCGAGCATTTCTGCTTTGATGAAATTGAGCGACGAGGGGGTCGGATTTACCCTCGAGTGAGTTTGTATTCTCTCCAACGGGCTCGTGATTGGGGGCTGATCAGCCACGAGCTCGAGCTATCACGAACAGCGCCTGAGCATACCCATCCGCCTCTGCCATCAGTACAACGAGGCCGTCGCTCTGTGGACTGCCGTGATCCCCGTTGCCGCCTGTTTGTGCGCGTATGTTCTCAAATCGAGGACGGTGCGCCGCCTGCGAGAGCTGTGCGCGTCCATTCCCTAAAGTTTCCCACGCGCATTTTCATTGTGCTTTGGCAGCGAAATCCGACGGGCTCTCGAAGCACTGGAGCCTGATTCTCCGTCTCGACGGCATGCCGAAGAGTTGATTTCGGTATTCTTATCTCCCAAAGCTCAAGAGTCTGCACGACGCGAGCAGGCATCAGGTGGTTCGTCCTCGGAAGTGATTGGGACCTGATTCTGAGCCACCATCAGGCCTTATTGTCCTGGAAGCAACGTACGGGGCTCTGGACTGCCATGACAGAGATCGTGGTTTGTCGTGGGATATCACTATCCCGCTGCAGACCCTGGTCCGGCGTTCCCAATTGTACATTCCAGGTCGACATCCCAAGGCAAGCTGATGAACAGTATCCCCTTTCCGGTAAGAATCGATCACTAACTACTCGCAGAGCTCTATTATCGGTTTTCTCGATCCTGCCCCGTTCGCGACAAAGTCTATCCGCGTCCGGTATCTTTTCCGAGATCGACCGCATTTCACAGAAGTTCCTGAGCATCTGAATCTGGTCTTACCCTTGCCAGGTCAGTCCAAACTCTGCGCGGCAGCTGCAATGGTTAGCTGATGTATTGTTGGTGACATATCAGATCATGCCCTGTGAAGGAACATTATTCCTACGATCCTGTGAAATCCACCCCGCAATCTGTCAATGAAAGATATAGCCTCCATAATTCTCGTGGTTCTCGGATCAGGCAGTGACTGTTCACGCGGCGTCCATCTTGCGCGCCTGCGCGTGATTTCCAGACAACGCGGGGTTAGCCCGAGAGCCCGCTCAGCTTCTCTTCATTGGTTGGCTTTTAGCCGATCGGATTCTCATTTGCTGAGGGTCGATCACCGCCAAACCGGCCTGTGTCCCTCGGCGCCCGATTTCATCTTCGATGATTCGATGAAGCGGGTCGCTGAAAGACTTCATTAGACCATGATCTACGGCATACATGCAGCTCCAGTGCATGCTCGCGAAAGTCTTCTATATCCTTCTTGAAGGACGATTTGTTTGCGGATAACTCAAATCAAACTTTAAATAAATAATCGTCCAGTTGCGCTGCGCTTCGACCCTCCTAGGGTGCTCACGCACGGTATTTAACCTCCCCTCGCTCGCACCATCCATCTATCTACGTATTAGCCACTGCACCCACCCTCCCTCCCCGGCCATTCCACGAGTCCTTGATAACCATGCAGCAGCCGACTCTGCGCAATGTGCGGATCCGCAGCACACGAGATGCCCTCGCTGTGTTCTACGCGGTCGCGCGCAGCACGCTACCCCTGATCACCCGTCGCCTGGACGCGGAGGAGCGGCTCGCCATCGCGGCGGGGACCGTCTTCGTCTGGGAGGAGAACGCGAATTCCGAGGCGACCGGGCTCGGGATGGAGCGCTGGTGAGTCCCGGTGACAGACAGGCTTCTCCTGTTGTGCGGCATGATATTGAACGAGGCCGAATTCCCGCTCTTCTAGGACCGATGGGATGGGCTGGGGTCCGAGCCGTGAGTTGCCTCCCATCATTCCCGCGCGTGGTGCCCCCTCACGTCAAGCCATCTCGCAGGCGTCCGCGATGTGCGGTTCACCGTATTTCCCTTCCATTTCCAACTGAGGCACGTGTCCAGGAGTTCCTGTTCTACCATCAAAAGGACTGCGATGCCGTCGACGAGCCGATCAATCCGATGACCCCCTGGGCGCAGATGATGAGGTGAGCACGACCCGCGAGCTTGTACTGTCCGAGCCCGCCTCACTGCTCGAGTCCAGGAAACGGTCTGCGCGCGGGGCAGCGGCGTGCGGCGTTTCCCGGAAGCTGCAGCGTCTGCACAAACAAACATACAGCGTGATTGTAACACTGCCGAAGGATCGACCATGCGGGATGGTGCGCAAGTGGCATTTGAGTGAGCCTCCCACCCCTGCTTCCGAGTCACCTCGCTCCGCGAGGCACGATCACCGGCTGACTGACTCTACTTCCCCCAGCGGCCTACTTCAATCAAGAAACCTTAAATGAGCTAGATACCATTGACGATTTACGATACCTCGACATGCCGGTTCCTGATGGCTGGTTCAGGAGCGCGCGTGCTACGAAGACTCGCCGCGAGAATCGGGCATTGGGAGGAGGCATTGACCAGCAGCAGCAGCATAACCGTCCGTCCGAGCCCGGCCGGGTGAGCTCTCCCACGTCCCCACTGGCAGCGGGCTGTGATATGATGGCAACGTTCAACCCTGTCCCGGCGGCACAGACAAGGTTCCGCGGGACCCTCAGAGCGGTGTTCCCCAGCAGCAGCGGCAGCCCCAAGCTCCTGCTACCCCTCCCACCCTCGTCTCCGAAACGCGCGGCTTTCATGATGTCCTCAGGGCTCGTACCCCTAGAATATCTCCAAAAACATTCTCAGCGAAATCGAAGAAATCCGACTGACGAGCAGCTCCTTCGGCGGTTTGCCGCTGGAGTTTATTAACGAGATTTTTATTCTTTTCTTTCTCTCCCTCAGCCGCCGAGAGAGAAATAGCCTCTCCAGTTCTCACGGACCCACGGAGCGCGAAGGGTCATGTGCGAGAGGTTAAACCATGATCAAGCTTTTCGAACCCCTAGTAGATCCAAATACCCTGTAAAAAGACTCGCAAACATATACCACACCCTATAGGCTCGAGATAGCGCCTTTCGGAACGGGGGTTGAACAGCATCACGTGATCGCGTGCAACTCGGAGAAGGCTCGCCGTGCTGTGAATGAGCTTCGAGCACAAGTCAAACTCCAAGTCAATCGCATGCATGCTTCTTGGCAGATCCGTGTGGGGCCTCCGAGGAGCGCGCGGCTCGCTCCCGTCGGTCGCAAGAAAAAACACTCGTCATATTATCCTACTATTTACTTAGTCTGCGTAAGTGCAAAAATAGTCCGAGTGATTACATATTAGCTGCACAGCCTCATACTGGAGATACGGAGGCGACCTAAGCCATCAAGTCAACCATGATAGTGACGATGCCTAGCACTTGATAGGTACCGAGTCAGTCGGCTGCACCAGCTCAAGCTCAGTCACATACCGACTTCAATCGCGATCAGCGCAATCACGATTTCTTCCAGCCGCTCGGAATGCCGACTCGAAACAGACTCCTTCAGCAGATCTAGCAGATCTTGGAGAACCTAGAAATTCGTCAAAATAGGAAGCAACATCAAGCCCAGACAGATACTGACTTCGACCCGAGTATTCAGCAGGTTGATTCGCTGAGGTATCTCTAGATAGCTCCTCGCAGCCTCGTACAAGGGCTGCAGGTCGGGAAAACTCTGTCGATGTGCTCACGTAAGCCTATCATCGCAACAAACACATCTGGAGATGAATCATACCCAAAAGACTTCCTGAGCACTAGTCAATGACAGTCCATATGAAGCAAGAGAAAAGTACCGGAGAGTCCAGGACGGATCCGACAGTGTTGATGTTGGTCCTCAACAAAAACAGCTGTCCAATTTTCTGCATGATTTCTGCCAGAGATCAGAAATCATCCAAGTGAGGCCTGGAATGCAGCCCACCTTTGTGAGGCATGCCAACTTTGCCGCTGGTAGCTATTATCTCAGGTATATCCTTCGTCTCTTCGATATTAGATGATATAAGCTGTTCAAACTGAGATAGTGCATGAGTAGGCATCCGGCAGGGAGAAAAGAGACGCACTAGAGATATCTTGACAGACTGCGCCAACGCATGAGATAGCGAAAGCTTCGTCCTGCCCAACATGTCAGACGCAATGGAGAGATTGTCAATCCCACGGACTGACATATAGCTGGAGCCCTTTCTAAGCGTGATCACGTCGTTGTAGATACTGCAGGGTGTCAAGCGTAATCCAGAAATGGGGGCACGAATGAGCTGACCGACTGTAGTTCGCGTAATAGAAGTTCAAGTCCTCCATTTCTATCGCGTCCGCAGCTGCAGACCCCGTCAGTCGGCTCACCCAGATGTCTTGGCTGCCAAGTACGCACGAAGCCGCTCATTCTCGAATCGCTTGCTACAGAGTCTGTCAGTCCACGCCAGACTTGACAACACACGGATGACGTACATGGAGGACAAGAAACGTCTCTCTTGCGCCTCTGTCATCCCCCAGATCACGACTGTCCCGTACTCGAAGAGGAATATCTCGGCTTCCGCCGTCGTAGTATCGAACTTGCTCCGTTTTCTACTCGGTTCCTGCGACTCTTCATCCTCTTGATGCAGCTCGGGGATGCCGAGCAAGTCGCCGGTCTGCGACCGAGCCTTCGGAGGAGATGACCCCATCAGAGTAGAGCTACGGTCGCTGGCAGTCGACGGTCTGTACATGTAAGGCGTGTATATGCATTCGTCGATGACCTTCGCGTTCGTGCTGTACGCGGTCCTTCTCGCATTCAAGAACTGACGAGAGGTTTGATGAAAGTGATGCACCCAAGTGTAGCAACACGCACCTCTAGTAATGGCTTCATGCGATACGAACTAGTGACATCATCGACTTAGGACGGAGACCAAAATGCACCACACACCTGGCTGTCGAGTACGCGGTGACTCTGGGGAGCGACTTGGCCTTTGCCTTCGTCAGCTTACGCGCATCTCTTTTGGCTGTCCCGTCCGGGATGAGGGATAGCTGGTTGTAGACCTAGGCGACAAGCGAAGTGAGGTGATGATATGTCTCTAGCCGCTCGGATCGTACCTCGGGCTCGTCGTCGTCTTCGACGTCAGCTTCATCAGAGTCCCCGGTGGTCCCCGTGCTTCCATCTGCCTCTGCAATGTCCTTGAGGCCTACTGGGCCAACGGCGTCTAGCGTGCGGTTGGCAACCTCGTCTGGTTGCTCAGGGAGCACCTTGAGCTTTCCCGCTGCCTTGGTTGATCGGTTTGCCCCGCGTGGCTTGGCTTCTTGTGCCGTCAGAGCAGAGGACATATTCAGAGCGCGCCGAGAGAGGTAAGGAAGTTGTGTGGGGCAGGCCCGGGAGAGTTTTGGCAACTTGCAAGCAAGCGATTCAAATTCGCTTCCGAATTAGGATGGTGAGCTTATTAGCAAGTGTGTGACAGCTGTGACGAACAAATGTCTTTTCCTGGACTCTCTCCCATCCTCCGCCGCACGCTGCTCGCGGCGCAACCTGCTTTCAGGTCGCGCGCCTACGCGTCAAAACCTGCGCCTGCCAAAGCATCGAACCGTGCGTGTCTCCCTCTCCAACGCGGATCCGAGTTTTGACTGCCGTCCTCAACCACCAGCCAACGCTCCTTCGTCTTGCACGCCGGACACCGTATTAGTTGGGGTGAACTACCTGAAGGGACAGGCACCCGTCCTCGCGAAGCCCGACGAAGAGTATCCCGACTGGTTGTGGAACGTGCTGAAGCCGCGGGTGTGGCCAGAGGACGGGCCTGGCGGACGGGCAGAGCGGGCGGAACGCAGGAAAGAAAACAAGCGCAGGATCAGGGATGCGAACTTCATGTCCACGCAATAGACGCGTTAGTGCGAGGCTCCCGTCATTCCCCCGTTCGCCCATTGCTTCATTTATGTATGTGTAGTGCCATCCATCACCACGCTGCCAACCCAATGCGTCCGTAATGCATTATGTTCCACCCCGTCGAATCGCCGACGACGTCGTGGCCACGGTCTACACGGCAAGCTCCTCGCTGTTACGTTGAGCGTGCGGTGGTCGTACGTGCATAGGACCATACCTTCTATTATAGCATAGTCCTCCACTTATTCTGGGTCGCGCACGATCTGCTCATCAATTACAATATATGAGTCTTGACTTCATTCTACAAGGCTTCATTGCGTAGAACCGTCTGAATTCTCTCTCATATTGCGTGTTTGTGAACGCCAAGTTCTCGAGATATCCGAAATTGAGTGATCTGCGGCTGCTGTGGCTGTTGTTGCACTTCACTTCCGACATCCATCCCCATTTTCTACCGCAGCCCCGCGCGTTTCCCACGCGGCTGGTACCGCTGTTCCGCCTCCCCCGCTCTTCCCTCGTACTGCGCGACCCTTGATGCCGAAACTGAATTTCAATACCGATGAAGCTTCGCTTCTGAAAGCATACAAGATTTCTACGCTCTACCCCACGTACATATACACTTGGCTCACCTCCGGCATGCGGCCCTCCTGATCGCAGAAACAGGAAATGGGAGGAAGTGGACCACGAGCTGGAGAACTCCATCGCGGGTGCGTTGGCCAGCAATGCCAACGGAGAGGGCGAGGGGGACCCGCTGGGTCTGGGGGCTACCGTCAAGTACGTCCATGTCGCCGCCAGCGCGCTGCTTTCCTTCATTATCCGCGGGGCTGGATCGCTCAACTCCGCGCAGCGTCAGAGATATGGACATGGAGTCCAGTGCGTCAGAATGCTACTCTGAAATGTTGCAGCAACACTGAAACACGGCGGCGCGCTGGTTTAAAGAGGCGGCAGTTCTGATCACGTCGAAGTCGTTCGATCCTAAAGCGTTCCTGTCCGCTATCCACCCAAACGCAAAGTACCAAGATCTGGCCAACGGGATATCGCATCTCCAGGCTTCCATCGACTCGCGCTCCGAAGCGATCCGGATTCTGGTGGAAGACAACTTTGATAGATTCGTGGCGGTCAAGGCTTCGACAGATGGTACGCACACGAGCTGTGCCGCCAGACCGCGTCGGGACTACTGATCCATCTGTTTTTAGCTCTCTACTCGGAGATGAAGGAGGGTCTGCTCGCCCCGCAGACCAACTACGGATCGGTCCCGCTGCGTGATCACCTCAAAGGCATGCTCCTCCACTTTCACCTTTCAGCAACCCGTGTCCTGATCCGCGCCTTTAACAGCCGCTGCTGTGAAAGCAGATCAAGTCTTCTTGCCGGGATTGGAGAATGCCTCCAAGGCCCATAAGCTGCGAACGACATTGAACATATTCGAGCGCTCAAAGTCATTCTTCAATCTTCCTGGATTCATCATTGAGTCCATCGAAGCCGTTAGTCTTCCTTTCGATTGCATCAAAAAGCTGAGCTGAACGCTTGCGCAGGGCCGATATGAGCTGGCGATGCGCGAGTATAAGAAGGGAAAACTGCTTCTAGAGACCCGGCCGGGCCAACTTCTTCCCATCAATTCTTCGAAGGATGGGCAAGTGTCGATTGCCGACGAACAGCAGCAAAAACGCGTCCTGGATAAAGTCTGGGGCAGCGTCGAGAAGGCCATGGGTGAAATGCGGAACGTGCTGCTCGCTCAGCTCCAGGATCCTGCACGCAGCGTGGAGGAGCACGAGAAAACGCTAGAGTGGGTGGCGATGTGCCGCGGCGGATGTTTGTGCTTACATGTCGCGTTCAAGGATCCTCATGGAGGTACAAATGGTTGAGGACCCGGCTTGGACCTACTTCGATGCCCAACACGCGCATGTCATCAAGCAAATGAATGTCGCGTACAAGTCTTCCGTAGCTGCCGTCGAAGGTGAACAGCATTTCACGGCTTCGAGGATGACGCAGGCAGCGTACTCATGATCATCCACTCCTTGCAGCTACATTAGAGCAAACAGAGCCGGACGTGGCCGGACAAGACACTTTGACTGGTATCTTGGTGGCTCAGCTTCAAGTTGCCATCGCAGCACTAGATAATAAACAGTCAGAGGAAGCGGTCGGTGCGTGCTTTATGATGCATCGCTGAGCTCGCACTCAATCAATGTTTGCAGCCAAGTCTGCCGCCGAGCCAGCTTGGAACAGGATCTCCGAGTTGGTCAAGGTATTGTCCGAGATTGTGATCACATCTCTGCCCGGCTTCTGGCGGATATCCAAAAGCTTCATAGAAGGCAAATATAAGAAGGTATGCGCGGTGATGCACATCCATATCTTTCTGTCTGACACACCGGCAGCCCCAGTCGAGCTCGCGCAGAAGCCCGACGCAGTGCCGAACGATGGCATTAGACATCATCAAGTTATATATATCCCTGCTCTCACAGTTCTTCACGTTGTCCGACATGGCGGTAATGATGTCCCCCAATGGATCGACGAAATCGCCGACGCTGCCTTCCAACTCCAACTCCCTGTGCACCGCACACTATCTGACGAAGATTCTCGGCGAGATCCAAGATACTGTAAACGAGATAAATGGGATGGAAATCGCCAGTGATTCTGAGTCGGGACTGAAGAGTTTACTTGAGACCGCTAAGTGGAGGTTCGAGGATCTGCTGATATCGGCCTGGCTGCGAGGTGCGTTTCTCGAGCCGCCTGTCTCTGCTTCGAGCTGAAGACCATTGCAGACGCGAATCTTTTGTATTACCTCGAGGAGTGGATCGCCAGCCCTAACGATCCGTCTGCCACACACTACCTGACCCAGATGGAACTCTTCCAGCGGCAGGTCACAACTGCAGCCTTCAAACTTGCGGGCGGTGTAGACCTCGCGTCGACTACGCTATCCAAGCCGGCTCGGCAGCACCCGATTCCTGGTGCTTTCACGACCAAGATTACCAAGGCGTTTATAGACGCGCTGTATGCTTTTATGGATGGCTTGGTCCATCTTGCGTCTGAAGAGTCGCCTGTCGTGAAAGGCAAGATCCCGCACACGGATGCAGCTGGCGGCCCGGGTGGAACGAACCCCCTCGAGCTGTTGGATCTGATGGATGGGGACACTCGCCTGCTGTTAGTCATCTCTAACCTCGGACATCTTGGGAATGCGATATTGCCGAGCATGATCACGCAGCTGGAATCCGCATTCGGGATCACGATTGCTGAGGACCGACAGGTGCGCGCGGCAATTCCCCCCATCTTTCTATCAGACTCAGGTGTTCTGTTCAGACGTTGATGAGGGTCGTGCAAGAGCTGGACAGGACACTTTCCGATGGATATACGAAGCCCAAGGTCGAGAATGTAACTACGATCATCAGGAATGGCATCCTCGACCCGCAGATGGACTGGTACGAGACCCCGCAGCCGACTGGTGCGTCCATCTGCTTGCCACAGATGCTGGACATGCCGCTGACGATGTGCAGAAATACGACCCTACATGTACGAAGCGTTGATATTTCTAGTCAGCGTCCATGCGCAGGTGTCCGGTATCTCGGAGGGGCTGCTCACGCGCATCCTCACGATGCTCGTCGAAGCATTGGCTGCGCAGGCCTTCGTTTCGTTCAAAGAGGTTCCGCGGTTCGGGATGGGGGGAATGCTGCGGGCCACGCTCGAGATTGAGTTCATGCACCAGACGTTGGGGCGTTACGTCAGTCCTGCTGCAGCCAAGCAGCTGGGCGAGCTGTACACCAATATCTCCAAGGCTTATTCGAAGAGACCGGGCGACGAGGGGCTGCAAGGCAGTTTGGACGGCGTGAAGCGCACTTTATCTGATACCCGCAGGGCCACTGGGATCGAGTTTCTGTGCTTCAGAGCGACCAAACCTGCCAAGAAGAAGGAAAAATGATCCCTGTATAGTATTATTGTCTGTGTCGATACCCGAGCTACGTCCATGTGTGTTCTTGACTCAGATATGGACGAGCCATGAAACGGACGTTGTCTCGTTGCAACTTGGCCTTCGGCTGAGTCCAGGAATCCACCCAAGCCGTAAAGACGAAAGATGCGGTTCTATTTATCGTAAATCAGCTCATCCGTCAGCATAAGCTCCGGGCTATGTTGTCAGATGATCCTGCAGCCATCGAACAGGTTGGGTCTTTCGTCCGTTCAGCATTCTGCTGGAAGCCACTGTGCTCCAGAGATGGCATGCTCATCGTAAGGTAGCTCGAGGCAGCTTTCCACGCATATAAATTTATCCAAAAATGGCTCCATGTTTGTGTCAGAATTCGAGGCCCCGCGGCAGTAGATCCATCGTGCACTCCACGGTAACAAAAGTGCATGACCTAATCGCAAAGACCCAGCCTTCGACAATCTCGTTGCTCTCTAGGACATCGTTCGATAGATACGTCACGAGCTGACTCTTGCATCTTGCGGGATTGTTCTTGCTTTGGGCGAATATTTGACGGAGAACAATGAGTGGACTCTTGGAGGGCACGGCGGGGCTCAAAAAGTGGTTTTAAAGATAATACTGATCGGTACTAACCGAGCGCAGGAGATTCTCGCTGGAACGATTGACAATTCCCTTGTCCACTCCCTCGAGGCCTCTCTGTCAAGGCCGAACTTGGATTCAAAGGAGCTTCACTTGCCAACATTTCCGCATGATTCATCCACTTGGATGATGCCACTAGTTGAAATTTTTGAACGAGCAAGTGATGTGGGCTTTTCAGCTCCCAGAATTTTCACTGTGTGCTTGCCATACGTTGCATGTAACTCCTTGTATGCACTTGGTGCACTGGTTGGATCTAAGTATCTCCTCTCAATTGCTGACATAATGAGTAAATCACAACAAGGCACGCACCCATGCTCCGACCCCATTTGCGACCAAATTTCCGTTCTCTCGCTAACAACACTTTTACCCACACTCGTTCCATTACGAGGCTGCCATTAAAAAGGAATGCGCTGACCGGTCGCATCCGAACGATATACACCTATCCATCCAGGCCCGCGTCCTTGGGCGCCCGAATCTGGTTTCGTCCCGATGGAACACCCAGATCCAAGTTGAAGGGAATCGCAATTGGTGAGTCTTCAAGTCATCTGGCCTGTGCCCTCCAGTATTCTCTCATTCTCTCCCTATCGGTTATGCGAATCTGCACTGACACCCCCATCAGCCACCTTGTTCGGCGCTGCGCTCTACAGCACCTGGACAACTCTGCTCCTGCTCGAAGACCTGGCATACGAAAATGCGCTGATGTCGGCTCTTATACATATCCAGCGCGTTGACTATGAACTGTTCCCTGGCGGCCGCGCCCATGATTTCTCCACGGAGCTGAACGCCGATGGAAGTGATGATGTGGATGGACTCGCCGACCCGCGTGTTGCCGTCGAGTATTTCGCCTCCCTGTGCGAATACATGCAAGTAGAGGAGGGTCTGCCTCAAGACGCGCTAGAGACCTTCTTCGATAACGTGGTGTCGGTGGTGAAGGACGCGAACGCTGCCCAACTGCAGTATGACCCAGCTGCAAGCGCGGAAGACGTCCCTCTTCCTGCACGAATCCATGTCCTTGTTCGAACAGCAGCCCGAGCCGTGCACAAAATCCTCGCGAAGGGCCGGACGCATGATCCCGTTGAGCTCGCTGCGGCCATCATCATCGTGCTTGACACGGCACTGCTCGCGGTGTTGGCTGTGATGGAGGAGGCCAGGGAAGAAATGCACATCGAGGGCGAGGAAGCTGAAGCTGAAGCCGGACGCGCTCTTCGAGAAAAGATGCGATCGTTGCGAGAACAGCTGGAGACCAGGGAGAAGGAGAGAGACGGATCTCGGGACGAGGAGAAGGGAAAGGGAAAGGGTACTGGCGGTGCGGAGAAGTTCGAGGTCCTGGGCTAGACTGGGCATTCGATTTTGTGTTCCTTAAGTCAGAGTGTCGTACGCTCTGCTCGATGTTTGCCCATGCTCGTCTTGCACTCGCACATGAGTGCCTTGCGGCGCTGGTGTTTACTTCAGGGCAGGCGAGTCCATTTTTTCGTCCTGGGATATTCCTTACTGTACCTCATGACTTCGGTCGAGATCTAGAGCCTGATACGTCTATTCAAGGAACGAGATCCTGCAAATGCTTGACAACGCCCGCCCAGGCCTTCGAAGTTCGCAGAATCAGAAAGATTCACTCTAGTTCTCGGCTCTTTTCAGCAGCGAACGTGCGATGACAATCGATCCCGCCTAATGGAACCCACTTTGTGGTAAATCTTTTCACTCTTCAAGCCACAAAAGTTGTTTGGTGTTGTAATTTTCCTGTCCTCGTCCTTCCCATGTCGAAATTATACGTGGGGTAAGTCCCAGCCATTGCTAGGATCCAATGCTAATCGTGCTATTGCGCAGGAACCTCAGCTTCGGCGTTGACGACGACACCTTCTATCAGGTTTTTTTTCTGCTATCTGACGTTGACAAATCGCCTCATCGCCCATCGATCAGGCCTTCAGTCAATTTGGCCAAGTGACGGATGTGCGTTCGATCCTTCCTCTGCACTGTTATCCATGTATGTTTACCTGGATGAGTAGGCCATCGTCATGAAGGATCGCGAGACTGGTCGTTCCCGCGGATTCGGCTTTGTTACATTCAGCACTGCCGAAGAAGCTCAGGCCGCTATCGACAACCTGAACGAACAGGACCTTGAGGGCCGCCGCATCCGTGTGAGCTTGGCCAACGAGCGTCCGTCTGGCGGAGGAGGCAAGCCGCTTTTAATCGGCAGTAGTGCGTCGTGTTCTGACCTCATTTTCAGGATTTGGCGGAGGCCGCGGTGGTGGCGGTTACGGTGGAGGCCGCGGACGCGGCGGTTATTCTGGCGGAGGAGGTTACGGTGGAGGCGGCGGAGGCTACGGTGGAAACAGCCGCTACAACCAAGGTACGTTGTCGTGACATGCTCTTGGCGCATCACTGACTTGTTCTCTAGACCAGAGCGGTGGCGGCTCCTGGTGAAGAGCAAAACACCTTCGCGCTTGGGATCTTCAGTGGCATCGATTTGAATCTTTCCAGTTGCTATCGCTATTCTCTGTATTGTATCGCCCATCATACTGCACGGTTTTTACGCGTCTCTCTGTCATGTATCCCCTAGCGAATGTAAATCATCAAGAGGATCTCCCTGATCGATGGCGAAGGCATGGCTCGCAGAAAAGGAAGCGGAGTTTCCTATTTCGGAGATATCTTGGACTTCAAGCTTGGTCCATCTCCTGTCAGGAAGTTACAATAGACTAGAACATATTCGCTGTACACTTTCCTGTAGCGATTGAATTCGTTCAAGAGAATTGGTGAAGATTTCTACTCTTGAACGACCCATTTCACAGATCTCAACAGCTTTGTCTTTACGTCTTGATCTGGAGCTTCTAATGCCTGAATAGAGTATTCTGTCACCCTTCCATCAACCCTGGAGAAGGCGCCTGCGGAGTTCGAAAAATGCTTGTATAAATACGATGGGGTACTCGATTCAGAACGCACCCTTCTCCTTCCCACCACAACCATCTTGGTGGGTTTTTGGTTTCGTGTTAAGCTTCCGCACCTGTCTTCGTCATGTCCAAACTATACGTTGGGTACGCGCGTCGTCTCCGCCTTTTCCCTAATTTCTCACTCCTCCCCTCAGAAACCTTAGCTGGAACACCACGGACGAAAGTCTGCGCGACGTGAGAGCTCCCTACCGTGTTCTCCGTCTCTCATTGATCGCTTCCGCAGGCATTCTCCGCTCATGGGCAAGTCACCGATGTGCGCCCATCCTTGGTCATCTGACCTCGGTCGCTGACGGCACCTTGACAGGCCATCGTCATGAAGGATCGCGAGACCGGTCGCGCGCGAGGCTTCGGATTCGTCACCTTCTCCTCTCCCGAAGAGGCTCAAGCAGCCATCGACAACATGAACGAGTCCGATCTTGAAGGTCGTCGCATTCGCGTCAACATCGCCGAGGTACGTTGCTAGGACAGTCTTGGGACTACTTTTAATTCTTTTCTCGCAGCAACGCGGTGGCGGAGGAGGTGGAGGTCAGCACATATGTTTTTTTGTTCCTGCTCGTGTGCTCACGTGATGCAGGCTATCGCTCCGGCGGAGGAGGCGGCTATGGCGGAGGAGGTGGCTATGGTGGAGGAGGAGGAGGTGGCTACGGTGGAGGCAACGGTGGTTATGGTGGAGGTACGCCCCCTGCAGCTTCCGATAAGGCTTCTACTTATCTTCTATCTGCAGGCGGCTATGGTGGTGGCAACAACGGTGGTGCGTTCCCTACTAGACTTCCAACCCCCTTTACTCATCAACTCTCCAGGCTCCTGGTAAAAGATGATCTAACCGTGCGATTGTTTGTACGCTTCTTCTACTCGTCCTCGGACCTTGTGCTCAAGTATTTGCCAGTTGATCCCTGTTCCAATGCTTTGAAGCCTGTACAAGTCACACATACATGTAACACGTTTTCTGAGAAATGTCACTGGTACCTCATAATACCGTACGCGGCGCGTCGCGTCGAGCACGTGATCTCACCTCCATCGCAGATCCAAAACCTGTTTCATATGCTTTGACTATCACTGCGACCTCGGTCAATGCATTTGATCCCTGGATTCGTTGGACACACACGACCAGTTCAACAATCGTAGTCGCTGCTGTTCGCGCTTCCACTTCCGCCGTCGCGTCCTTGTTACTTCCACTATCCTCCTATCCCCCAGATATCGTTCATGGCTTCTGTTTCCCCTCAAAGCAATCAATGAAGATAATCAGTCGGGGCGAGTCTGATCCCGTGGGATTCGGACGCGGAAACCGAGCAAAGATCTCTTCCCGCTACCTATTAAAGATCAAAGGGCGAAGTCACACCGCTTTCCCTGCTGCTGACAGCATTCATGTTATCTTTCTTCTCCCTGGCCCTGTTGTTCCCTGCCAGTCTCTATGCCCTCTCGATGTCAGGATGGGCTCTCCTCCGTGCTTGGTCACGCAAGAAGCAAGTTGGCATCACCGAACTGGACCTCTTCTCCCAGCCGAGGTCTTCGACGGAGAGGATCCCCGGTACCGCTGTGGTATGCGGCGGAAGGTGTGTCTCGCGTATCTGGCTCTCTTGATGAGCGGCGATCGGACAGTCTCTAGCATCGCAGGGCTTCTTACGGCTCGCGTGTGCCATGATCATTTCGAGCGCGTCGTCGTCGTCGACCCGGAGGGCTGGATCTTCACGGAGGACGGGTGTGATGTGAACAACGCCCGGACGCGGACCCGAGTGGCTCAGTATCTCTCATTGCACAGTCCGTCGCCACGCTCGTCGCTCGTCTGCTCTATCTGAATCATAGCGGATTCAGACTTCCAATCCTTTGTCGTTCTTGTGCTCCAGCGCCTATTCCCCAATCTAGCGGAGGAATGCGGCCAGTGCGACATTCCGTGAATCTCGCCGCTTGTCTAGTGTGACGTATCGTTGACTGTTCGCAGCATTCGGCCGTTTGCGATTCCGCTACATCTCGCCGGCGTCCGACACCGACAGCCGGCTGCAACTTCTGGCGGGAAGTCGCCGCTCACGCTGGAGACTACACGTGTGGGATTCGAAGCTCTACTTCGGTGCGGAGGCGACCATTGCTTTTTTGAATCGGTGTGTGATGATCGACAACAGGCGCCTCGTGATGAACCGCGAGAGGTACCCCAACATCCAGTTCGTTGCTGGCACGGTGACAGACGTGGTTCCCGATCCGGCAAACTCTTCACGTCTGTCCAAAGTGCTGGTCCGACCGACGAACGGTAGTGCGGTGGAGCTTCCAGCAGAGCTAGTTGCCGGTGCGCTATCGTGCGACGCTACCCGGTCTGACTAGACTAGCTCATGGGAGCTGCAGATTGCACCGGCTTGACGCGAGCGGGCATGAGATGGCTGTCGAAATGCGGTTACGGCCTTCCATCGCCTATGCGGGGGAGGCTCCCGCTCGACGAGTTGAAGATCGAACTGGACCAGAAGCTCCGGTATTCAACGCTCACATTCCCTGTGTCCGAGGCACTCTTTGCTCAGCTTCCTTTATCGGACGAGTGCCGGACGCGCTGTGTGCTTTATGTGACTTTCGAAGAGCAGTCGGCTACCACGTTGGCGAAAGGCCCTGCCTTGATCACGTTGGAGAGGGTGCCCGGAAAGAGTATGCCTTCTTCGCTCATCTTATCTCGCTACGCGGTACTCATCCTGGATAGTGGTCTTGTTCTTTGCGCACTATGGCCATCGGCGCATACAGCCGCGATCCCTCGCCGAGGCCAAGGATTATCTCGCCGACCTGGAGATGCGAGTACCCATCCCGGACTGGTTCTATGAGACACTTGAACGACTGGAAGAGGCGGGGGATCCTGTGGTCTCTACGATCCGAGTTCCGCCGACCAGCTTCATACGCTATCACCTTGCGCACGATCTGCCGTCCAACTTTGTTGCGCTCGGGGACAGCGTCATGAACAGTAATCGCGTCTGCCTCCTTGGAATTCATCGTAATACTCAACCAACCCTATGTAGTCAACCCCACGTTCGCTGAAGGAACCAGCAAAGCTGCGCGATGCGCCTTGGCACTGAAGAAATCACTCCTCGCCTTACCATCAGGTGTTCGCGTGCTGCCCGCTGACTTTGGAGCCAAGTTCTTTGAGGAACAGAACACGAAGACGGCCTGGATGTGGGAGTCCACTCGTGTCAACGGTGTGTGTCCACCGATTGTTCTCATCCAAACCCCCTGTTCACATGAAGGAAAGACTACGGGCAGCCTACCACCGAGCCCATCAAAGGCGAGAGCCTCTCTTCGGGTGCTCTTCTGCGTTGGTATTCCCGTCACCTCATGAAGCTCACCGCTACGGTCAGTCACCTCCTAGCCTCCACAAATTCCCATGGAACTGAATTGAGGGTATGATCTAGGACGAGCTGGCCGCCTGGGCATTCTATACATTCCAGGTCGGGTACGGGTCTGGAATTGAAGGATTCCATCCACACATCGTGGCCAAAGTACTCTGGAACGCCTTCACAGGCCACTGGCGGAGTGACATGTTGCGCAAGTAGATAGATCGTCAGAGTTTGGACATTGGATCAGTCAATGCGCCGCGCGCTGCCCATCACGGTCCGCGACGCGTCGAGCACGTGCTCTCTAGTCCCTTGAAAGCAACAGGAAATCAATCCACTTGATGCCCAAATCCTCTGCCACACTCCGCTCTCTCTCGAAATGAGCTAACGAAGATCATCCTACGGGCTGCAGAGCAGGAAGCGATCGAGGCTTGTGGCCGAGGCTTCCCCACTGCGGTGGGTCTTGGGTCTACCCCCGCACTGGTCGAGCATCTGGATCAAGTCACACTGAGATGAGTCGAAGTGGCGTAAGATCCATCTCCGGAAAGGGAAGGGGCGAACATCCCATGACTAACGTCGCGAAGCCGCATCTAGGTTGCGTAGGATTCAACGGTGTAGGGAAGAGTCAGGACAACTTTCTCTACGCAATGGCCGGATCTTCATTCTGAGCACCTTGCAGCTCACTGAAAAAAGACCTTCTGCCACGGCGATATCAACGCCAGATAGACTCGATGGGATTGAGCACTTTCAAGATGCACCGCAGATGAGAGATCGGGGGATAGCTTTTACAATGAAGTGCGGAGACTTGACAGTACCGTTCAACATCAGCGCAACGTTGTACAGGCGACCCATGCGAAAGCAGCAAGGTGTACAAGAACGATATCAATGCGTCCTTTCCCCGAGATACGCAGTTACAAAGGCGCCCACTCCGAGTACAGGGCAGCGACTAGTTTAGCTTCTCGCAGCACCCAATTCGGCGTCTACGTGAAAACCAACAGCTGCTGTTGTCAAGTTCTGGTTTAAACCGACCCCCCTAAATTAGCCTGGTTATTTTATTGTAGGTTCACATCATGCAAAGGTCAGGTCCATCCGTCCCGAGGTCTACAGTCTACCAGGGCCACCACCTCCGCCCGTTGCTGTTCGAATGTTCTCGCTTGCTGATCACCGTCTCCACGGTCGTCAGCCCCTGCTTCGTCGTCGTCACGTACGACACACGGTTGTTGCGCAGCTTGCGCTTGGGGAGCATGTTCGGCGTCGGAGAGAGCCTGAAGAGGGGCGCGACGGGCGTCCCGTCGAACTGGAACAGATGCAGCTTCGGGCCGAATGTCACGTCGGTGAAGATGCGCCACGACTGGTACAGCTCCGTCACGTTGTAGTTCTGGATGAACGACGAGCTCTTGCCGCAGGACGACTGCACCTGCTGGTAGCCGTCGCCCGCGGGCGTGAGGACGATCGACCCGTTCAGCAGCAGCGCGTATGTGCCGTGCACCCACACGAGCGTGCTGACGATGCAGCTCGGATCCGAGGCTGCCTGTGTGTCAGGCAACCGCGGCAGAGGAGGTCGGTAACGAGGTAACACGCACAGTTTCCGACGTAGCGCAAGCGCGCGATTTCGTACCACCCGTCGTCGGAGCTGGGAACAGGAACGTGAGCAGCGGCCGCGTGGGTCAGCGAAAGGAGGCCTACAACGCGTATCCCACCCCGGCAGTCGGCGGGAAGATGAACGACTCTTGAGCGGGATTCGCGAAGCCCTGGGATGACGATGAGATCCGCACGAGCTGTGGCATTCAGGAAGGTCGCACAGAGCCCGTCACGACGTTCTGCGTCCCAGACGACCACGTCCCGACGATGGACGTCGTGTTGTGCCCGGCGTCGAACTGGGCGAGGGCGGGGACGATCGCGAGGACCAGTGCGAAGAGAGAGGCCAGCATCAGACCGTGCCCGAGTAGGGTCAAAGCGAGTAGACGAATGCGGCGACTGTTCGCCGCAGAAGATGAAGTGGTGGCTGTGCATCCCTCTCATGTGATTGACGCGCCCAGCGTCGGGCGCCAGTACTTAGTATCCGCGTTCAGACGAGCCAGATTCGTCCTGGAATCTCGGACGAGCATGGGGGTAGGATGCCAAGTATCAATAGCTTGATGGTAAACAATTAGACGTAACAAACGCAAAGTATATACCGATAGATCACCTCTAAAATTAGGTACTAGCATACATCATTCACTAATTGGCAGCACATTCGGAGTCCCAGTCGATCGGCGTCAGCTCCTTCACCCGCGCGCTGAAGGCGGCGAGCGTGCAGAATTCGGGCGATCCGGGGAGATGCTTGCCCTCTTCCGAGCAGAGCGGCAGTGCCATGTTCTTGTTCTGGTATCGCATCCGGACGACTAAGGGCGGGGCGCATTGAGCAAGATCGGAAGACACACAGCGACGAAACGCGTACAGTACTCGGCTGGCGGGGTGATCTTGAAGGGCGACATCACTGTGTCCAGATAAGACTGCTGCACTTGTCGCTGCGCCGACGGAGACTTCTTGAACAACTCGAACGTGATCGAGGCCGTGAAAGCAGGCCACCTGGGGATAGCACACGTCACAAAAACACATCTAAAGAGTCGAAGCGACTCAACTTGTCGTCGAAGACGTCCAGAGTCGAGCACATTGCCGCCAGGGCGGTATCGTGGGTACTGTGGACGAGCAACTTGAGCGGGTTCTCAGCGCCTTCGTCAGCCTTCTGCTGCATCTTGCGAGAGAGATCGGAGAGCAAAGGCCCCATTCCAAGGCGCCGCACTTCGGGTGTTTTGTCTGCTTTTCATGAGTGTCATTGCACTTGATGGATTTATACAGGATCTCACAGCCTGATGAGGTAGGTCACAATTTGGCCGGTTTCGTAGTCGAGGAAAGCGACATACCTGCAAACCATTCCGCCAAAATGGCTTGTTCCTAGAAACTGATATTCAGTTCAAGGCCAAGTGATCTCTGGGGCAGGGTACACACGATGACATCCACGATGGCTTTGTCCTCAAATTCAGGAGGGACTTTGACGCCTTGGGCGATGGCAGCCCTAATCTTCAAAGCTATTGAGCAGCGAAAGCGACCGGATACTGCCCACGCACCGTGTCCATGACACCTGACGCACGCGGTCTGCCATCGACGCGAATGGGCCGCCCGTCGATGTACTTTGACACGAATTTGTCCAGAGGCTCCAGTGTCTGATTGTAGGCGGCGGCAGCCGCTACAAGGCCATCGCATCAGTGATCCAATGTCCGCTGCACACTCGATTACGCTTTACCTTGGGCGAAGCCAACTTGGAGGTACTCCAGACGTTTGCAACTCATTGTGTTTCCTGCATGGGTTCGGTGATCCGCGCGTGCTGCAGATAAGTTTTGGATTACCGAGCAGATTCTCGTCGCGACCGTTGCTGAGCCAAACTCTTGTAAGCCTCCAGGAGACTCTGAGCGAGAAGACTCACCGAACTAATAACGCAGGAGTGGCGTTTTCGGCGTATTTGCTGGGAGGGTATAACCCGTGGATGACCTGTTCCAGAGATTCTATCGTGCGCGGCATGTTAGTGCTTCTAGGAGAAATATCAGCTCATACGATGCAGGCCGCTGGATGGGGGAGAGTCGCACCGGAAGTAAACTTCTCCGGGCGTCATCAATAGGTCGTTTAGGAATCCAAGTCTATAGAGAGATTATAAGCAGTCCTCAAGACTGATCGGAACACACACCTATCTATGTAGAGGCTTCTCAGGGCGGTTCCATAGTTGTACGTCGACTAGGCGGGAGCTGTTCAGATGCAGGCCACGGGAGTTGATCCGGACTGACCTTGCGGCCGATATCAGTCAGCTCCCCGAGCAAGCTATGTACGTTCCATCACGCGCATGAGAACCCGGCCGGTCGTGAGGCAAAGCAGCGAATTCCTCACCATAATCCCTCCGCGGGCAATCCGTCCTTGCGCTCAACGACCCGCCGCGTCCGCAGGCGGTCGTTCCCGTTGCTGCCGCTGATGACCTGGCTGTCGTGCTGCCGCCCGGCCGTGCACATGACCCAGTGCTCCGGGATGAACGGCGCGAGGCGCACGCCCACCGGGGTCCGCTCGCCTGTGTGTGCGCGCGCGCATGTCAGCCTCCGAGGATTCAACGGCGCGCGGCCCACGCACCGTGTCGCACATACACGTGCACCTGCGCGAGCTCGAGCTCCGGCGGCGCCACGGGGTACTTGTTCGCGTCCAGCGGGACCTGTGGCGGATGGTACGTGTACGGCTGCGCGGGGTTGTGCGTCACGCTGTTCGCGGGGGACAGGAGCGGCATGGTCGCGTTGGGGAGTGACCGTGGCGCGGGGGGGTCTAGCGGATCGGCCGGGCTTTGGGCAGCTACGGAGATGGCGCTGGGCACGAGGAGGGCGGCGAGGAGGAGGGCGTTGAGCAGACTACCGAGCGGGATCAGTCTGATTGGGTGCCGGGGCATGGGGCAGGGTCGATGGCTCGGGCGAGTGGGGGGACGGCTCAGTCAGGACCGTCTTATTCGCGCGCGCACACGCGTGTGGTAGAGCTGCACGTTGTCGTCGCCTGTCGTGCAAAGTCGTGACTCGATGCCTGGTCGTTGCGCTCGGCCGGCGCGGATTTTGCTAGCAGTTTGAATGCAGATCGCATCATGATGGTAGTGATGCACACGGATCAGTATCACCTTATGGGTGTCGCTGCGACTGGGATAGATTAGATTTCCTTCGAGGGCCGACAGAATCGAGGATGGAATTCAGATACAAGGGGTCGAATAGATTGGTCTTGGCGACGACATCCATTGTTTACATTGGTTACAAAGAAGACAAATTCATGTGACATTTCCGGGCCCCATGGCTCACGTCTGGGTGACCGAGAGGTTGCGGACCTTGTAGGTAGTTTTCCCGGTCGGTCCAGGGGATCCAGAGCTTCCCTCCATCTGGCAAAACAATCAGAACATAGGGCACATGACCGACTCTCTTTCCATACCTGCAGGTCAATGATGCTGGAATCTCGATGTCAGCTTCACAGAGCGCAGAGAAAGCAAGAAGGCTTACAGCCAAAGCGGCTGGTTCACGAATCCAGCACCGATTTGCGTGACTTGGAAGACATTGTCGAGGTAGAAGTCGATCTTGACGTCAGCGCCGTTCGGCTGGGCGGTCATGACGGCCTTGAGCGCGTGGAAGGAGAGATCCGAGGGCCAGGGGACGAGGTGCGACACGACGGCACTCGAGCTGGGCAGGGAATGGCGTGTGACCAGCTGAGGCGGACTGGGCAGACAAGTAACTCACGTGTTGAATGTATTGTACCAGTTATTCTTGGTCCCTGGCAAGAGCTTTCAGCCGTCGAGCGTGTCACCAGCTGCAGGTGAATAAATACCTTTCCATTCACCGATATCGACCTCGGGAGGCCACGAGTTGACAGCCTACACAGACCTTTCAGCAGCCAAACACAAGTACCAAGATCCCGGCAACCCACGGTGAGCCCTGTGGACCGTCAGCGAGGACCTGAACCTGCAGAGGACAAGACGCACAGAACGCCGGCCAAGTCCCCAAGGTCGTCGGTGCGCTGAACTCGCCGGACAGCGTGTAGGCCTGCGACGTCGTGACGGTGATGTGCGATTTCGCGTACACGGTGCCGCTCGCGTAGTGGATCGCGGGGTGCGGGTTCGACGCGCTGGTCGGCGGCACGGGGTTCGAGGTGGGCGTCGCCACGAGCGTGAGTGTGTTGGACGCGACAGCGATGTTCTGGTGGTAGCTGGAGTTGCCGACCATCCGGGCACCTATGGGGATGAGCTACTTTGTTTGCGTTGCACTCATGCGTGACACTGACTGCCGTTGTGGTCAGACCCCCAGGGATAGAGATAGCCCTGCTCATCCGCGTTAGGGTTCGGTCAATTGGGGGAATGCGCACTGACCCAAAAGCTCTCAAAGACGGAGTAGCTGCTGAAACTGTTCGACGGGATAACCGTCGTCAAGCCGTGGACAGGGTTGCATGCCAGCAGCAGTGCAAGGGAAACAAAAGCCAGAGCGGTACTTCTACCAGCACGTTAAACTCCCATTCCACACGAAACGATGCATTCGCAGTACCTGCGCAGGTCGAACATGGTGAGCTGAGATGCGATGCAATGCGAAGCCCGGAGCCAGATGACCTTGCATTTAAACGAATCCCGAAAGGACGATCCCGCGACCCATCCAATATCGCTCGGCTGACTAGGAGGTTACGCCGCGTGGCTTAAATCCGGAAGATATAGCTCCAGAGACTCTATCTGTTGCTTCTTCGTCTGGGAGCATCGCTATGACGCTCGCACTTGGGATGATCATCCTGATGAGACACACCACATGCCAGCGATACCGCCGATTAGGCTCGCGCATCTGATCGAACCACGTCTTATCGAGGAGCCTGGAGCGGAAGGAGACGACGCGGCGTCCCGTGCGTTGATCCTGCTGTGATGGCGAATGTGGCAGGCGGAATCAAGGGTGGGGTGAGCCAAACAACACGGGCAACTGTTCCAACCCGACTCGGAGTCGGACAAGCCGCGGGATCCGACGTCACCCGGCGCTTCCCCGCACTGATCGCCATCACGATTGTGGGGCTCCCAGTTGACAGTCTGAAGTTAAGCGGCTACAATCCATGCATGAAGTATGTGCCCTGTACACTCTTCGACCGAGCCACGATGCTGCGCAGACATCTCCTCTCCACGGCATCGCGCATCCGGCATCGGCGATCCCTCCTAACGCTCTCTGCGGTCGAGGGCCCCCTCGACCCGCCCCTCGTCACCGCGACACTTCCCGCGTACTTCACTTCCGATATCCTGCGCAAATACAGCGACCGGCCGGGATTGATATGCAGAAACGAGGCGCCGCGCGCGCACGGTGGGCCCTCGTCGCACAACATGGGCAGGGCCGCGCACCTCGCGTGGTCCTTCGACGAGTTCGACCGGCACATCAACGCACTGGCGCGCGGCCTGCTTCGGATGGGCGTGAGACGGGGTGACCGGGTCGGCGTGATCATGGGCAACACCAGGTAGCGTCTTTCTCGATCTCCGGTGTTCCACGGCGTCGTGCTTCCCCCCGCGCGCAGTGCGTATGCGATGCTCCAGTGGGCGTGCGCGAGCATCGGTGCGATCCTGGCGACGATCAACCCGGCGTACCGCGCGCAGGAGCTCGTCAGTGCCCTCCGTCGTCTGCGAACGCTGAGTACTCGCTGATTCTATTTTTGTCCTCCCCCCTAGGGCGATGTTCTGAACCTCGTGGGAGTGCAGCATCTGATCATCGTCCCGCGGATCCGGAAATCATCCTACGCGCAGATGCTCGTCGACAAGTTCCCGCAATTGACAAGCTCGGCGGCGGGGTGCGCGTTGGAGGTGGAAAGCCTCCCTGCGCTGAGGAATCTGGTTATTGTCGATAACTCGGGGCAGTTCATTGACGAAGCCAAGAAACTAGGGCTGAGGAGTTGGATCGACTGGCGGGAAGTCTTGGTCTGGGATCCCGCCTCGCGGGAGGCACGGGCCCAGCGACAGCTGATCGACTCGCTTGACAAGGACGATGTCATCAATCTGCAGTTCACAAGGTGATTGGCATCCCTTTCCCAACTAGCTCAGCCTCTCTTTAATTTCGCAGTGGAACGACTGGCGCTCCTAAAGCCGTGTCGGTGAGTTAAGTTTCAATCTACCAATCTTGGTTCCGGGCGGCTGATGATATCATCGTATACCAGCTGACGCATTCTAACCTTTTGAACAACGCCATCTCGATTGGGAGTTGCATGCATCTAACCGAGCAAGATGTCGTATGCGAGTCATTCATCCTGTTCATCTGGTCCAAGTCCTGACATCTCCGCACCAGGCAACGTCCCTCCTCTCTTCCACTGCTTTGATGAGTGTCAAGTGTCTCCCTCTCTTTCGGATTTAGTCTAACATCCCATGCACGGCTTGTCCTAGGCAATCTCGCGGCCTGGACGCACGGCTCATGCATCGTCTATCCTGCGGAGGTCTTCCACGCGCCCTCGATTGTGGACACCGTGATCGAAGAACAGTGCACCGCGCTCCACGGTGTGCCGACGCACTTCCTGGGCGTCCTGTCCGAAGTGGAGAGGCGACAGGCGGACGGGGAGGACGTCGAGATCCCCAGCCTCCGGTGTGTGCACAGACCTGAAGCCCAGAATTCTCGCTCACCGGCAGTCAGAACCGGGATCGCCGCGGGCTCGCCCATTCCGATCGAGCTCATGAAGAAGCTCATCGCGAAGATGAATCTCGTGGACCTGACTAACGCGTACGGGATGAGTGAGTGCGCCTTCTTCTCCGCCGTCCGTCCGTTCCTGATTCGTGCATGTCAGCGGAGACGAGGTCAGTCGGTCTTAGAATTAGCCACCGCGAAGCCTGCGGGCCGATACTGATGACCGAACTACTGACAGCCCGGTCTCGTTCCAAACCACCTCCGGAGACGCGCTCGACAAACGCGTTGAGACCGTCGGGAAGGTGCAGCCTCATGTGAGAGCGAAGCTCGTTGATCCGGACGGCCGCGTCGTTCCTGTGGGCGCGCCGGGGGAGCTGTGTGTTGCGGGGTATCTGCTGCAGAAAGGGTCAGCTGATCCCGTTGGTTACTTGTATTCGCGTGGTCCGCTGATGAGGCGTGAGCAGGTACTGGCGGGACGACGAACGGACGAAGGAGGTCATGAAGACGGATGAAGAGGGGACGCTGTGGATGCATACAGGGGATGAGGCGATTATGGACGAGGAAGGGTACCTCCGGAGTAAAGTCTCTTTCATTCTCTCAAAATGCTGAATCTGAAACAAGATTACACAGTTGTTGGTAGGATGAAGGCTTGTCGTTCGGATTCAAATGTTGGATATGTAGTTAATTTGTTGGCAGGATATCATCATCCGCGGAGGAGAGGTAGCGTTGTACTCCAGGCTCTCAGAAGGACGATTGACATTCTCTCGAGAATCTATTTCCAGTCCAGATCGAAAACGTGAGTTGAAGCGAAACCGCCCTATCCCAGAAGCTCACTGTCTCTAAAAGGCAATCTTAACGAATCACGGGGTGGAAGAGGCCGCTGTCGTGGCCGTTCCTGACGAGAAGTACGGCGAAGTCGTTGGGGCCTGGATCGTTCGGGCGCGCGGAACGTCAACTTCCCGCGAGGAAATCAAGGAGACCGTCGTAAAATCCATCAATCCTCAGGTGAGCCGGGCGAAAAAGCGGTCCTCTGGTTATGTGGTTGTGCAGCATTCTCATGTACCCTCGGGTAGAACGCGCCTGCGTGGATCTTCTTCGTGGGCGAGGACGGTGCTGAGTCGGAGCTTCCTAAAACGGCGAGTGGGAAGGTTCAGAAACATGTTCTGCGCGAGTGGAGCAAGGAACTGGTGCGCGACAATGTTGGGAGAATCTAGACGCGTCGCGTGTGCTGCTGCTGGCAAGGCACGTGATCGCGTTATTGTCAATCCCATGGGCCAACTGATCTACTCAAATTTTTATCTTGAAAGATGGGCCTCGAAGGATCAAGATGCACATATATACGATAATTAACATGAGGATACAACGCTTTTGTTTGGGTGCTACAAGAATAGGATACAACACGCTTTTTGGAACATTCTCCCTGCATTCATGCTTGCACAGTCGCGCGGGGATGGCCGCCAGCAGGAGTGTCGAGGCCGGGGGAAATTCAAGTTGCCGGTGCGGCCGTCTGAGAACTTGGCGGATGAGATGGCCGGCAGCGAGTGCATGCATCAGCGAGAGCTCGCCGGTCATCACAGGCGATGATGCGCGCGAGATGCTGTGCGTTTTGTCCCGGATGCGTGAGATGGGCGCCGCGCAGCCCGAGCATCTCGACGCGTCATCGCATCCTGCGTCAGGACAGTCGTGACGCCGCCGCCGGCACTCAGCGCTTTACAGCCGCGGGAGGTGGACGCGACGAGCGTCCCACCGGCAGTAGCCATCGGGAGGAGAAAGGCGACGCCGTCGGTCGTGAGCGGGCCGGCGATCCCGAGCAGTATCGGGACGTACCCGACGATGTTCCCGCAGCAGGCGCCGTGGACTTTGCCGTAGTCGTAGTTATGGAACGGCGACCCTGACGCTCTACAGTATACTACATAGGGAATAATCGATGATGCATTGCAAGCACAAGTGTGAGCGGGCTGAAGTGCTCTATCCTTGGCTCGAAATGAACAGTGACAGGGCAATGTGAGAATACACGACACACGAATAGAGTACACCCGAATCCCTGGGTCTGCCTCGTGTGTTTGCGAATACACGACACAGGAATAGAGTAGCACCCGAATCCCTGGAAACACACGAGGCAGACCACTTGAACGGAGAAACACGACTTTCTCGCGAACGATGTTCCACTCCTGTTACTCCGCTTTGTTATTGCAAACACGGCGATTGCGTGGAATATTGATGATACGTATGCTGTAACTTGGTGAATGCATTTCATGTCGACCATCCCCGCCGATCCCGCCGTGCGCCTCAGCGATGTGCGGGACTACTCAACAAGTCACCCAAAAGATAGCCGAGGTCGCTAGAATTTTGCTATCAAAGCTCCAATTTACGATCAAAATTGCCAAGACATCGTTTTTTGGGGGCTGCGAATATGCTCTATTGCAAGCATGACTTTCTCGAGCTTTCTCGCGAGACCCGCAGTGGCTGTGTCTGTTCACCTGCCATCACTGCTCATTTCGAGAGTTCGCAACGTTCAACCCTTGGGTTTCCTTTTTTGGGAATCTACCAAAAAGGGAATCACAAGGGCTGAACAAGGGAAACACAAGCTTTTTTGAGAACCTGTTCAGCCCTTGTGTTTCCCTTTTTGGCAAATTCTCAAAAAAGGAAACCCAAAGGCTCAAGGGCTGAACGTTGCGAACTGCAGATGTTACTTCAGCCCGCTCACAATTGTGCTTGCAATGCATCGACTTCGCTCTGTGAAGGCTGATACCCCGTCGGTCCTCCACCAGCATGGACATGATCGACGTGTCAGTCCATCTGCTTGCATCGAGCTTTCTCTTTCTCGTATATATACCGCACAACCCGCCTCTCATCCCTGCACTTTGCTAATGAATCCCACCTACGAGGACTCACAAACAAGCCCTCTCAGCAGCGACGGATCGCGCCTTGCGCATGGTCTCCCGGACTCAAGTGCGCCTGATCTTGCATCGTTGATCACCAACACCGTCACTCTGTTGTCACTGCCTGCGATTGGTCTCACGCTCTCTCTGTGTGCGGTATTCACCGCATTCGTCCTCTGGGCCGCGCCAGGAAGGGTCTCTCGTGCAATGGTGGCCGACGTCGAACAAGCCGATGGAGAGTTCTGTGATGCTGCCGAGCTGGGAGCTGTACAGTTTCGTGGAGAGATGGCCAATGAACTCGAACAGTGAGTGTTTGTATGTGTGTCTACAGAGAGTACTTCACTGACAGCTCGCTGCAGACTACGCACGACGGCATCGGTGCTCAGGGAGGAGTATCTGAAGAGTTCTCTTTCGTACCAGAGCAGTGTCCTCTACCTCTTGAAGGGATGCCCCATCAGACTCGTTCTCTGCCGACGCGCAATCCAAGTCTTCCGAACTCGCACTGAGGTACATCTGCGTGTCCTGCTACGCAGACTGCTGTTTTGTACTGATCCCTTACTCAGATTGCCAAGGAGACGCATAATCGCGTGCCACCAGAGCCGGAACCTATTGTGTTCCGGCGTCGTAGAGCTACTGCTCAAACACGTCCCGGCTCGTAACCGCCATCTTTCCGTCAGTGGACTCTTGTATCATCGTTGTCACAATCTATCCTGTACCCACCGAGTTCTACATATCATGTTCTACCCATCATTTCATGGACCGTAATCTATGTTCAGTCTTTGATCTTTGGACGGCCCGCTGCGGGCCGACGATACAGATGACCGAACCACTGACAGCCCGGTTTTGTTTCAACGAATCACCGGAGACGCGCTTGACAAACGCGTCGAGGCCGTCGGAGAGGTGCAGCCCCACGTCAGAGCGAAGCTGGTTGATCCGGACGGCCAGGTCGTTTCTGTCGGGAGTCGGGACGCCGGGGGAGCTGTGCGTTGCGGGGTATCTGCTGCAGAACAGAGGAGGTCAGCCGAGCCTGCTGGTCGTTGTATTTGAGTGATCCGCTGATGGGGTTGAGTACGTACTGGCGGGACGACGAACGGACGAAGGAGGTCACGAAGACGGGTGAAGAGGGGACGGCTGAGACCGATTGTGCACCGTATGGGCGCGGATCAGATGGCTGGCTGGCAGCGAGTGCACTCATCGGCGAGAGCTCGCCGGCCATCACGGCAGAGGCGACGATGGGCGCGAGGCGCTGTGCGTTTTGTCCCGGCTGCGTGGGATGGGCGCCGCGCACGGCACGCAGCCCGAGCACCTGGAGCACATGGGCCTGCGGGGTTAGAACTGTCCCGCCACAGACAGTCCCCACCTCAAGAGACGGCGTCGACACAGTCATCAGCAGGTCTCGGCCGTATGTTCGTGCTGCAGACGAGGTCAGAGGATGTTCGTGGCATGCGCGTTGAAGCCGCCGATGGAGCCTGCCATCGCACTGCCGACGAGGATTTTCTTGGTGGTTAGAGTGCAGAGCGCGTCGACGGTCGTCTTGAGCACGTTTTGCACGACATTGCCATCGATCACAGGGCCTCCGCCACGACGGACTTGCCCCGTCCTTCGTTCCAGTTGATCGCCGCGGGTTTCTTGTCTGAGTAGTAGTTTCCGCTCAGCGCGAGGACGACCCTCTCCGGAGACGCCTCCGACATCACCTCGAGCGACTTGTCTCGGTGCCCGTGGAGATTATATTCATGCCTATTGCATCGCTCGTCGCAGTCGCAAAGCGGAGAAACAGCGTGTGACCCACCATGGCAGTCTTTGTACCCGTCAGCCGCGCGAAACGCCACGGGCTCTCGAACGCAGCCCTGAGCGCTTCGGGTCCCGCGGGACTTGCGACCCAGGCCTCAGCGTCTGCAGCCACGACAGCGGAGGGGAAGTCGATCGCGGGCCCGCGTGTCATCGCATCCTGCGTGAGAACAGTCGTGGCGCCTCCGCCGGTATTCAGCGCTTTGCAGCCGCGGGAGGCGGACGCGACAAGCGTCCCCTCGGCAGTAGTCATCGGGAGGAGGAAGGCGACTCTGTCGATCTTGAGCGGGCTGGCAATCCCGAGCGGTATCGGGACGTAGCGGACGACGTTCTCGCAGCAGGCGCCGAGGACCTTGCCGTAGTCGTAGTTCTGGATCGACACCGCGGACGCCTCGAGCGTCTTTGTGAGCGAGGCGCGGGAGATCAGCGCGCGGCGGATCCGTACAGCACGTTTGAGGCCAGCCGGCTCCCGGGCGGGTGTGAGCACTTTCTCCAGCCCATAATCCTGCGATCTTCTCCGCCTGAGACAGCAGCAGGACCTCCTCGTCCGACAAGGCCCGCAAGCCATCTAACTTGGGGCAGTTTTCCATCGCGGCGATCAACTAGGGCAGGGGACGGGGCTCGTCATTTTCAAGGTTCAAGGCCCGCAGTGATCTAAAAATAATCAGAATGTCAACAACGTGTCCAAGGCCAACGGGTCCAAGTCACGCACCGCCTGGGGAAACTGTTTGTTATCCACCGTCGCCAGCAATTTCCAGTCTAAATCCAAGAGCAAAAACGTCGGGATCCTCTGACGGATCGTCCGCGCACGCTCCACACCGGCAAGACTCTGTGCGACACTCGATTGATTAGCTGCTGGGAGAAAACACTATTGACCCTATACCGTCGCGCAACACGTGATGATGACACATCCCTGATGGGCGGCTTTCCCGCGCGATTTGTACCCTATACAGTGTCATCGTCGCGAGGACTTGTGCGTTTTGAGCGCAACAGAGTGTAGATTAGGTATCTAGACTGGAGATAAGAAAAGATAATGATTAGTAATCCCCACGTGATCTGTCTTTGTTTATATCTACCAAAATAGCTTGATGCATTGGAGGAACATGGCCGGAAATTCGTTGAAGACATGCGTCGAGCCGCAGACATAGTTGAAGGTCAACTTGGTAATGTCGAGGGCTCCCAGATCCTTCTGCGCAGTCTTAAAAGGCGGAAGATCGGGAATGACGTAGGTAAATTTATTACTGACTTCCGGCACTCAAACGAGACTGGACGTGTGAGGCGGTTGGTCTGGGGGATCAATGGGAATGCAGCCGAAAGGCGCTAGCGGCTACAGCAATAATACCATGGGCGCCAGTCAATCTTAATCGTAACAATTATTTATCTTGTAATTGATCTTATCTATCTCTTATCCACACTCTGTTGCGCTCAAAACGCACAAGTCCTCGCGACGATGACACTGTATAGGGTACAAATCGCGCGGGAAAGCCGCCCATCAGGGATGTGTCATCATCACGTGTTGCGCGACGGTATAGGGTCAATAGTGTTTTCTTTTGCACTGATCCCTTGCTCAGATTGCCAAGGAGGCGCACAATCGTATACCACCAGAGCAGGAATCTATTCAGCTCCGCCGTCGCAAAGCTGCTGCTCAAACACGTTCCGCCTCGTAGCCGCCCTCTTTCCGTTAGTGGACTCTTGTATCATCGTTGTCACAATCTATCCTGTACCCACCAAATTCTACATATCATGTTCTACAAATCATTTCGTAGATCATGATCCACTTCCAGTATTTGGACGTTGGATGGCCCGCCGCGGGCCGACGATACCGATGACCGAAGCACTGACAGCCCGGTCTCGTTTCAAACCACCACCGTCGAGACCGTCGGAAAGATGCAGCCCCACGTCAGAGCGAAGCTGATTGATCCAGGCGGCCGGATCGTTCCTGTCGGAACGCCGGGGGGAGCTGTGTGTTGCGGGGCATCTGCTGCAGAAGGGATCAGCTGAGTCTACTGGCCGTGAGATCTGAGTGGTCCACTGATGGGGATGAGTAGATACTGGCAGGACTGCAAACAGACGAAGGAGTTCACGAAGACAGATGAAGAGGGGACGGCTGACTGATTGTGTACCGTATGAGCGCAGATCAGATGGCTGACTGGCAGTGAGTGCATTCATCATCGGTGAGAGCTCGCCGGCCCTCACGGTAAAGGTGATGATGCGCGCGAAAGGGCGCCATGCAGGCCGAGCACCTCGAGCACATAGGCCTGCGGGGTCAGAACCGTGCCGCAACCGACGGTCCCCACCTCGATAGACGGCATCGACACGGTCATCAGCAGCTCCCCGCCATCGTTCGTGCTGCAGACGAGGTCAGATAACGCACGTCTGCCAACGCGGGAAATCGACTCACGGCTCCACGAGTCTGATGCAGTTCGATCTCTCGACGTTCTGGGCTGGAGCTTGCCCGGTAGCCAGGAAGATCGCTATCGGGATGTTCGCGGCGTGGGGGTTGAGCCCCCCGATGGAACCCGCCATCGCACTGCCGACCAGCCACCCGCCATGGCAGTCTTCGTGCCCGTCAGCCGCGCGTCATCGCATCCTGCGTGAGAAAGGTCGTGACGCCGCCGCCGGCATTCAGCGCATTGCAGTCGCGGAATGTGTTCGCAACGCGGGTCACCTCGGCCGTGGCCATCGGGAGGTGGAAGGCGATTCCGTCGATGGTCAGCGGGCCGGCGATCCCGAGCGGTAGCGGGACGTACCCGACGACGTCCTCGCAGCAGGCGCCATGGGCTTTGCCGCAGCCATAGTTCTGGAACAGCACCGCGGACGTCTCGAGCGTCCTTGTCAACGAAGCGCGCGGGAGCAGGGCGCGGCGTATGCGGACAGCGTCTTCGAGGCCCGCTGGATCGCGGGTCGGTGCGAGCAGCTTCTCCAACTCATAGGCTGCGATATTTTCAGCCTTGGACGGCAGCAGGACCTCCTCATCCGACAAGTTCCGCAAGCCGTCTGACTGGGGGCAGTTTTCCATCGTGGCGATCAACTGGAGCAGAGGACGAGGCTCTTCATTGAGTCAGCAATCATCTCGAACTGTCGAAAGACGTTAACGTCCTCGAGTGAACGCGTCAGAGTCACGCACGTTATCCATCGTCGAAAGCCATTCCCGGTCTAGATCGACGGGCAGAAACGTTGGCATCCTCTGACGCGCTGCCCGCATACGATTCACCCCAACAGGGCTCTGTGCGAAACACGATCTCGCGAACTGATTCGCCCGCCTGGACTCTCCCGCCGCCCCTTTCCCCATGATCAATGTCTGCGCCTGTTCATTATGCTCGCGATCAACCTCCTGCGTGGCAACGAAGCAAACCCCACCGCGGGCATGGCTGATACCCTGTATCAGTACCGCGTTCAGCAAGATGCTGGCCACGAGAATCGGTACGAGCCACCGGGACCACATGGGGTAACCCACTGAATGAGTCTAGATGCTCAAAATCTTGTCGAGAGACAGCCCGAGTCTCGTGTTGACGGCCAAAAGGAGTACGACGAGAACCGGCGGTTGCAGGCAGGGGACATAGCTCTCGGCAGCACCATTGGACGGGATGGAACTGGAAACTGAACCACACAGGGGAGTGCAAGCCCCTTCGGCGCCCAGCGAGGCGGACCGGGACGACCATTTCGGTACCGTGCACGCCGCGGGGGTGCTCTAGCATGGCTCGTGCGAGGCGCGGCGGTTTTTCAAATCTGACGACGAAGGCGAGGAGCAGGTGCCTGAAGGAGTAGCCGGTCACGATGAAAAAGGCATTCATGCCGGACCCGCCTATAACGCTACACCCGACACGCACTCTCTGTAATACTGGCAACTCAACAGCGTTCGAAAACCTTGTACAGCTCTGGTAGACTTGCGATCTGCACGACGTCCCTGTCCAAGAGCGTCTTCGGTGCAATCAGATACCTGCGCAGACTGGGAAACACGACGTGCTGGATCTGCCAGCGCTCGACTTTTTCCTGCTCTTCTCTGGTCTTGCCGTCGGGCGAATCGTCGTCCGGGAAGTCTACCAGAGGGCCAGGCACATAGAAGTACGCCAGCTCGCGCAAGAAGGTTTCGAAACACTCTGCTTCGGACGTCCAATTGACCTCCAGAGTTGTCTTGAGCCGGCATCACCGTACTTGGCAGCAAGCAGACTCACCTGCGGCCCAAGACGCATGAGAAAACTGGGCAGCTTGTCCAGATTGGGGGAGTAGTCCCTCAGCAAGAGAGGAAGACTTTCTATGAGCCCCGATGCCGACACGTTAAAAGAGAAGTACTCGGACAGCATATCACGCCGAGCCATGATAGTATCCACGATTCTCTAGAGGATCTTGAGCATTCTGTACAGAAACCGAGCTGCTCTTTGGCAACGCACCCCAACGATCTCAACCTTGCTCAACTCACTCGCAGACGTATCCTCGACCTCCACCGCAATCTCAATGAGCGTCCGCAGCGGTGGCGGTGGATCCAACTTCAGCCGATTGAAGTTCCCGAACTGCCGCAGGCCCAGCTGATAGAACAGCTCCTCGCTCAGCGCGCCGTGGTTGACGAGATACAGCTTGGTCGCGTGCTGGATCAGAGATAGGCATTTGTCCAGCGCCACGATGCCGACGAAGGTGTGTTTCTCCAGGATCTCAGTGAGCTCTAGGAGGTCTCAGTGCACGCAACGACCTGTCCCTGGAACACTCCACGCACGGCGATGTTTCCCTTTCGTCAACGCCTGGCGCAGCGAGGCTACGCTCGTCAACGTGCACTCCGACTCTTTGATCTCCCTCGCCCTCGTCGTATTCGGCGTCGCAGGCGCTTGCGAATCGGAGTCCCTGCTTCCTGATGCGATTTGCGACGGGTTCGCGACAGGAAACATCGACTCGAGCGTGCGGTCTTGCATCGACGTCCGTACTTTATATTGAGACGACGTCTTCTTCGGCGCTGTGACTGCTTAGTGCCAGGACGCTGATGATGAAAGGTAACACACGCGTCGGAATGTCCTGTTCCTCTTCCTGAGCAGAGCGCTCTTTCCCTTTCCTCTGCTTCGATTCTGGCTCAGCAATACCGCCAGTAAGGAGTGTCTGTGTTTCGCGTTAGAATGAGCTGGACTGACCAACGACGCGTCGCTTCCGCACCTGGTACTCAAACACCCTCGATTGGCTCTTCTCAGCCAGGCCGCGTTGCAGCCCATTAGCAATCTGCTCGATGATGGCGTCCTCGTTCAGAAAATGGACTTCCTTCTTCGTCGGATGCACATTCACATCCACATCCCGGGGGTTGATGTCCAGTCTATTGCAGTTCGAGAGCAAGGTCGTCGCACAGAGAGTCGGATCCATACCGGAGATAGATGAATGGAGCTGTGCCCTTGGGCAAGATCCCGCTATACACTGCTTCTAGGGACCTTTTCATCCTCGCGGATTCCACCAGCCGGTCTGCGGAGTTGATGTGAGCCATAGACACAAAGCATCGACTGCTTACTGTTGATGAACAGAAGGAAGATCGTCTTCTTCGACTGATAGTTCGCATTGGTGAAGAAGGACTCGGCCTTCCAGGACTCCTTTTCGTCAGTGGGTTGAATGACGCTATGCAACAGGTCCTTTGCTATCGAATGTCCGTACAAGAGCCGGATCGACTGCCGAACATCGGAAGACGTCGGCGTAGACAGATCAGGCGATGGGGACCCAGCCTGTAGACAGAATGAAAAATCAGCGCAGAGGACGTGTCAAACTAAATGACAGGACCTTCTTGCACAGGAAAGAAACGGCTGGATTATGGACCGCATACTTCGTCATCACGTCCAGCAGCCTCGAGTACTCTTCAGAGGTGCTTCTCAACGCTGCGAGTCGCGTCGGTGTGTTGTAGAACAAGTCTTCGATCTTGAGAGTTGTCAGAGCACATTCACGTTTGGCAAGCTACACACAATGATCGTCGTCCCGTCGTTCCCTGCACACGGCTTTGGCTCTGTCGATTGTCCAGGCTTACCTTCCGTCAAGCGACCGTCCGCGTAGTGCGCCCTACACACTGCTTAACCCTAAGAAGCGAGGAGTAGAATCAGCAACACGCACTTCCAGGCACAACTCTCCGTCTTAGTCTTCGTGACGACTGAAAGCCGTGCAACGTGCGATATTGAAGCCAGCGCTTCTCCGCCTTTCCCGAAATTCAGAGCCCGCGCGTCATGTCATACAGCGTATCCACCCACGGAAACCGTACGTCTGGATCCGCGCCAGGTCGGAGAACGTGGTGAGTTTTGAGGTCGTGAATCGCTCCGCGAGGATGGGCAGGTCCGCTTTCTAGAGCACAAAAAATGCTCGTTAGTCTATGCCCTGCCAGCGAGCAGCCGCCACGCACGCGGATCCCCGACCCGTTGTCCTGGATCTGCAACAGCTTCATGCCCCCGTCCTTGACCGTCACGCGGATCGTCGTCGACCCAGCGTCGAGGCAGTTCTCCAAGAGCTCTTTGAGGGCAGAGGCGGGGCGATGGATGATCTAATGAGGGGGAGGTCAGACTATTCCTGGTGTAAGTACTAGCAGCCGGAGGAGCGACTGACTTCGCCTGCTGCGATGCGGTTTATGAGCGACTCTTGTAGTCGTTTTATAGGGAGAGGTTCGCTTGGAAGACATTCCGGGTCGTCCATGACAGTGCAGCCAATTGGACTGGCACAATCAGGTGGTATAATGGAAGAGCAGCGACGCGATCACATGACCTGACGTGATCAATGAAATGACAGGGTCATTGTGATCTCAGGAAGGAAGTTCAATACCAGTACAGCCTGATGGATTTGCACAACCAGGTAGTATAATAGGAAGAGCAGCGACGCGATCACATGCGCGAACCACATCCCGCCATCGACCACACCGAGCCAACACTTCACGGAACTGAGTGGGGAACGGGAACTGTATGGGAGGTTGATACAGTGCAGGACAGGACATGGATACACGGGCGAGTTCTACCAACGCTTTAACATACCCGAGGACGTTGACTGCCCTTGCGGCGAGACAGTACAAACCCGCAAGCATATCCTCCGTGAATGCCCTCTATACAACGCGCAACAACCAATCATACGAGCCACCTCCGCCAACTTCGGCCTGCGCGACATCCTTGGGACGAAAGAAGGAATCATTGCGTTGGCAGAATTTCTGAAGGAATCCGGGGCATTCACGAGAAATGTTGAGCACTGGGGAGAGCGTCTAGCAGCTCACCTGTGTGAGTGAGAGCTTAGTGTGGGCACTATGCGGGAGTAGTCAAGAGACTTGTATTAAAGGGTAATAGAGCCCTCCTTATATATGATACAGGGGGCTGTTTGTGTCTATTTGGGACGAGTCGATATGACTCTAGATGACACGTGATGGAGTCATAGATGTGTATCACGACATCCATCTGGCAGACGATAAGATCATCATTTGATCAATATTCCGCATCAAGTAAACTAACTATTAAGACGCAGTGCCCAAGGGCAGCAGGTATGGAAGGACGATCACGTCTTTTCGGCCGTTTCAATCGAGCATGTTTCGTCGCCTGATTTTGGTTGTATGGAGATGTCGTGGAGGAGTTTTGAGCGCAGCATAGAGCATAGAACATAACCATACGGGGAGGGGGGATTGGCTTGGCTAGGGCCGGTTGGAGCCGCATCGGGTGTTGTTCAGCCGTTGTCCAGGTTGTCGTTGTCGTTGTCGTTCTCTTTGTCGTCCGATAGCTCCGGTTCCGGTTCGTCTTCTAGCACGGGATTCTCTCGGTCCTGCCACACTCGTCCATTTCTTGTTGATCAAATATCATCTGTCAAGATGGATGTCGTGATACACATCTATGACTCCATCACGTGTCATCTAGAGTCATATCGACTCGTCCCAAATAGACACAAACAGCCCCCTGTATCATATATAAGGAGGGCTCTATTACCCTTTAATACAAGTCTCTTGACTACTCCCGCATAGTGCCCACACTAAGCTCTCACTCACACAGGTGAGCTGCTAGACGCTCTCCCCAGTGCTCAACAGGTTATGGACCCCGAGAGCTATGTCTGCGCCTTGTCCCACGATGCTGGAAGAAATCGAGAACAGGGACAAGGACAACGAGTTCCTCAAGGAGATCGCTAAGAAGCTGCGCGAGAAGGGTTTTTGAAGCGCTCCACTCTTCTAGCCAAGGAGGTGGAGCGTCCGGACTATGGACGTTTTTCTATACTTGTTTCGATTAGAGATATGAACGATTCTCCTCATGCATACACGATCTCAGACTCCCTACGTACTAATATTCATGATTTTCTTGTCGCTGATATGGAAAAGGAACGTCAAAAGAAAATAGCTTTAAATAGAGAGTATTTACAGAGTAAAAAGGATCAGAAAGCTGCGGATAAATTAATTTTGGACTCCTACGTATTTATGGCTCGTGGAGAAGGAACCACGTCAACAAAGACCGAAAAGGGGAGCATCGCTCCGGAGGCTCAATCCTTGAAAAAGGAGGAAGCGCCCAAGGAATCTGCCGAAATCAGGGTTCCAGAAGCACCCAAACGCACGAGGGTGCCGGATGCCGTTCAAAGGAAATGGGCAGCCGAGAGGCAGAAGGGCCCGCAACCCAGCAGACTGGCACAGGAACTGCGCAACTACCAGGCTGAAAGGAAGAGACATTCGATGGATGTGTATGTCCAGATCACAGGCCTGGACTCAGGAAAGACGCGCGGAGTCAAGGCGCTACTCGACAGTGGCTGTAGCACCTGCTGCATTGATACCGACTACGCGCGGGCAGAGAAGCTGGATATCCAAGAACTTCCCCAACCCATTGTGGCTCGTAACGCCGACAACACCGAGAACATCAGCGGTCGGATCACGCATTACGTCGACCTAAGGATGAGAATTGGTCCTCACGTGGAGACACGCACGTTCCTTCTGACGTGTTTAGGGAAAGCTCGGATCTTCATCGGTCTTGATTGGCTGACGGAACACAACCCCGAGGTGGATTGGCAGGAGCAGACAATGAGGTTCAGTCGATGTCCAGAGCGGTGTCACATGAGGGGTCACAAGGAGCATCAAGCGATGATCGACATGGATGCAATTGACCTGGACGCAGGTGCACCGGATCTGGAAGAGGGAGAGTCAATCCTGTTGATCGACTTTGGGAAGGAGGTGGATCTACGGTTGAAGGAAACGCCGGCGCAGAAATTCGCAGAAGAAGCGGAAAAAGAGAAGGAGAGAATGACCGAGGGGAAGATTCCGGATCAATATTGGGAATTTGTCAAAGTATTCGCCAAGGAATCGTTCGACTCGCTGCCAGACCGACGGGCATGGGACCATGCAATTGAGCTCAAACCAGGTTCCAAAGCAGTGGACTGCAAGGTGTACCCGTTATCACGAAACAAACAGGTCAAACTCGACGAGTTCTTACAAGAGAACCTGGCCAGCGGACGGATCAGGCCTTCCAAATCACCCATGGCATCAGCGTTCTTCTTTGTCAAAAAGAAGGATGGCTCGCTACGCCCCGTCCAAGATTATCGGAAGCTGAACGAAATGACAATCCGAAATTGGTACCCGCTGCCGCTGATCTCCAGACTGGTCCATGATCTATGCAACCTTGAAGGGGGGATTGTCTCTTGTCCCCCGTGACCGTCCATTGGTCACTTGGCACCTGCTTCTCTGCAGGATCGGTTCGGATGGAGCATCCCTTGCTCTATCCCCAGCTGATTGTGATGTTGCACCTGGCGCAGCAGACCCTCTCCCTCCGTCCCATCTCCTCTGCACTCCTCCCTCTGTTCCCATCATCTCCGCCTTGGTCCATGACCTCTCCCCCCACTGTCTTGCCTCTACGCACGTCTCCACGGGCATATACCCCTGGCTTCGGCCAGCGGAACATCCGCTACGTGCCTCCGCTGTTGTGCGAGGCCTTGCGCTAACCATGTGATGGCTGGCCCCCTTGGCCGGCTTGTTACGTCTTGAGCGTCAGAGCAGTCGGTCCTTCTGTTGGCTCTGTCCCCCCTACGTGTGTCTCCATGGGCGTATACCCCCGGCTTCGGCCGGCGGAACATCTGCTACGTGCCTCCGCTGTTGTGCGAGGCCTTGCACTAACCATGTGATGGCTGGCTTGCTGTTGTGGCCGGCCTGTTACACCTTGGCTCCGGACATCCATGGCAGGTGGTAGACCCGTGCATCACCCGCCAACCCCATCTATTAGGTGGCTGGTGCACGCAACATCCCTCCCTTCCGCATCCGATACGTGCCTCTTTTTTCGGTTGCCTCTATTGCTGCTGTGCAGCTAGGACAACCGATTGGTGCGTCGAGGGTGCCGCACCTTGAAGGGGGGATGAAGGGGCAGTGGAGGGAAGCGACTGCAAGGGAGCTTCTCTCTACAAGTGGGACGACTTCAGGAGTCCTGGTTGCCCTTACAGGCACCTGAGCTTCTGGGAGGAGCAGAGTGACGACCACCCTGACCATAGGGAAGGTTGTGGTACAGCCACACATGCATAGCTGTGGGGCTGGACCTTAGAGCGGGACAGCGACCGACCACTAGGTCATAGGGAGCTGACATGCAGCTCAGTGGCGATGCACCGGACGACAGAGTGGGACGCGCAGCATACCACCGGAGTAGTGCGTCCTTCTTTTTCCCCCACCCACCCTCCCTTTTCTTCCATCTGCTTTGCGCTGCCTACGTTGGGACGCCATAGCTTGAAGGGGGGATGATGTCAGGGGACGCCGCGCTCCTTGGGCACATGACCATGCACGTGACCCACTGCACCCTCTCTGCCGACCCGTGCCTGCTCACCTGTTGATCACCCAGCCTCCTCCTCCTCCTCCGATCCTCATCTCCATCCATGCCGACATCCACCCTCTCCCTTCTTCCCCCGGCCATCTCCCTCGAATCCCCGCAAGCAGTCCAGCCAAGCCTGATTCCTTGCACCAGGGAGTGCTACTGCCGTATGCACTCCTCCCCCTTCACTTCGGCCTTCTCCCCGCGGATGTGGTCTACTGCTGTACAGGCTCGTACCAGATGCCCTTGCGCTCATCCGCACCACCCCTCTTCCCAGTTGGGCATTGGTCCTCGCCTCCAATGTCTCCACTGGCCGGCCCGGCACTGGCCTGGCCGCTGGGCTCCTCCAGTGTGGCCTTCCACTGTTGGTGTCTCAGGAGCTGGCCATCACTGGCCCCTCTGAGCCACTCACTATCTTATCTGGGTTTGTCATTATCTACTTGTCATCTGCCATTGTTCCATGGCAGTGATATCCCATCATCATCAGTCACTTGTCACAGCTGACTATATAGTGTGACACCTGGGCACATGGATCCTTGAACTGTTCTCTAAGGATCCCCCTCTGTGCTCAGGTGAGTAGTATACCTCCCTTGTATTTGATAGTCTCTAAGGATCCCCCTCTGTGCTCAGACTCATGTGAGGTTGTTGTGTGCTGTGTGCTCTCGTCCTTCGGGCTGGCAGGAGTTGCCCTTACACGCCTCAGTGGCCGCGACATTCATTGTATGCGCCGTCACTGGCTGCAACAATGAGCAGCGTCTTTAGCCTATCTGTATTCACTTCAGCTGCTGCATAGCACTGGTGAAACCATGCCGGATCGCAATTACATCGCTTGATCCAGATGCATCGATCTCTCAAGGAGATTATGATCTATGAGAATCTGATCATCTTGATCTTTGATTTTATCTATCAGATTAGATTGATGCTGATCACTCACACAGATCTAACATGTCGTCCAACTCCAACAACATCTTCAATGCTGTCTCCATCTTTGATGGAAAGCACTGGCTTGTCTGGTCCGGAACTATGAAGTCCTACCTGGAGCATCAGGGGATCTCCTATGTACTGACCGAAGCTGCG